TCCTCATCATAGGGGGCATATGCTCGCTCTCGGGGAGATTGGTAAATCAGCTCTAAAAATACTTAACTAGCTTCGTTGATGACGCGAAATGGGACTGTTGCGGTGAAGGTCTTCTCAGCCACCCATGTGACAAATGCGGTTAGCTCGTCGGCTGCGCATGTATCCATGCATGCGCATTGCGCACATGTTCGTTGTTGGCCATTCGGCTCCATCTGACCAAACCTCACCCAGCTCAGCTTTGATGAGACCCTTGCAAATGCCGTTAGGCAAACGACTGACCTTCGCGCTATGTGGCGTCCAACTCAGCCCCATGCTGCGAGCGCGTGTGGCTTTCCAGGCGCGTGCGATGCCGCAATGGCACAGATACCTGCCTGATGCTGCCCCTCCCCCGCCGCCATAACATTCATCTTCAACACTCTCTTTGTCAACACACCGATTCACCATTACCACACAATACTCGATAATTGTAGAACAGCATGTCAGGTCAGGATTATTATAGTCAGGGTCAAGCCCACGGCCAGGGCTACGGCTACAGCCACAACGGCGCAAACCAGCAACAGCCTGCTTATGGAGCCTACAACCAGGGCTATCCTCCTCAAGACCAGCCGTACGGGCAGCAGGCGCAGGGCCAGTATGGACAGCAAGCTCAAGGGCAATATGGGCAACACAGTCCTTACCCCCAGGGACAGGTTCGTTTCATTGCGCAACTGTATTTATCCAGGCCCGGCGGCTAACAGCCTTTCAGAGCCCATATCCTCCGCCTTCGCACGACTCGTATGGACAAACTCCCCAGCACGGCTATGGTGCGCCTCCATCGGAACATTACCAGCAGAGCTACGACCCAAACCGCAGCACCTCTCCTTACCCACCTCCCGCGCATCAACAGCAAGGCTACAATGACCCGAACCAGCAATACGGAGGGCATCAGCAAGTAGGCTACCATGATCCCAACCAGCAACACGGCGCACATCAGCAACAGGGTTATCAAGACCAACAACAAGGCTATGGCGCGCCTCAATACGGCCAACCTGGTGCTCCAGGCGGACCCGCTGACGGCGACCGTGGTCTTGGCTCTACCCTGATCGGAGGTGCTGGTGGCGCATTTGTAGGCAACAAGCTTGGTGGTGGAGCCATGGGCGCCGTAGGAGGAGCGCTATTGGGTGCCGTTGCTGCCAACTTTGTGAGCGACAAGTAAGTTGTATCAGCCTTTCTGTATGTACTAATAGACATCTACTGACTTGCTCAAAGGAAAGAAAAGAAAGACAAGAAGCACAAAAAGCATAAGAAGCATGATAGCTCCGACGAAGGCTCGCATCATGGTTCCCATCACGGCTCTCATCACGGCTCTCACCATGGTTCTCATCACGGGTCCTCGCACCACTCGCATCATGAACATGGTGGTCATCATAAGCACAGGAGCCACAGCAAACGTAGGGACAGCTCTAGTTCCAGCAGTTCATCAGATTGAGCTCTTAGTACAACTTCGCCCTTGTTGAAATTCCTGCGATCTAGTGTACTGCATATCAACGGCGTTGATTGCTAGATAAGAGTGGTCGACCAAGTTACCTAGAAGGCAGCATCCTTGCGACATAACCTATACCTACTTTGAATACACAGTAGTCATGCTTCGAGACGCTTGCACACATTACAATCCCAATACAGTGAATCCCCGTACGTGCATAGTGCTACGACTCAATTCATCTTTCAGGTGTCTGCATTCGATATGCTTCCTTCCGTGAGACTCTTTTGCGGCGTCGCCATGTCCAGACTAGAAAGTACCACCACCCAAAGAAGCTAGTGCAACAGCCCTTTTCACAGGGTTTTCCCCACCACAGCGTTACTCATCGCCGCAAATTCCCAAAGTAGCCCCGCAACCAGGCTATCAAGTTGCGAAAAATTAGTGGCAACAAGTGACAGACTGTTGCTGTAAAAAATACTCTTGCAGCGCATTTCTCCCACATCTTGCCCAAGAGCCGTCGTTTGTTGATAATCTTCGCAAATATGGCCGACGTATTCCTTACTTTTTTCCGGAGCACCTTGCCAGATGACCTCGCTGCTGTCCTGGAAACCGCGCTGCAAGCAACCGAGACCGGCGATTTCTTAAAAGTATTACAATTACCAGAAACGCAAATCTTGTTGGGTCACCAGGAGAATGAGGCCACAAAAAATGTCAAGAGCAGCGATTTTGGGCTTTGGAGCGATTACATCTTTCATCGATTAGGACTCTTGCTGTCGAAAAAGAGTGAAGAGGAGGCTTCCACACCGATCCAGGAAACAGCAGCGTATCGACAGCATCTGTACTTCCTTGTTGCAGTCGCTGCATTGCATGCGTTTCTGCAGTCCAATGTCACGGGTCCGCCGCTGCCTTTCAAAGCCGCGGAAGTGGCGTTACCGCAGGATGTAGCGAGTGATACAAAAGCAGTGAGCAAGACGCGAGCAGAATTGGTCGCGTCGTTGAGCACAGATGGTGTTGCAGCGTATAAGCTTACACCGAACATTGAGCTGCTGTGTCTGGCACAGACTATTCTCATCAGCCCACCTATTGCGAAGAACGTTGCAGCTTCTGCGTGGACAAAACTCAGAGTCAACTTCATACACCAGAGGCTGCTCAGTGAACCAGCACCAAAACTCCAAGATGCGATTTACGAGGACGTCAAGGTTGTGGAGGATTTGATTATGAACTCGGCAAAGAAAGAGGAGATTAAAGAATTGTACACGAGCTTTTTGCTTGAGAGAGCTGCGATCCATACGCATCATGGGCTGGATAAGAAGGCCAGGGCGGATCTGGAGCAGGCGACTTCCGAGCGCAAGTTTGAGTTTGCGTTGACGGGGTTGATGGGAAAGAGGACGAAGTTTCAAACAAAGGATACCAGCCAGTTGATCGTGTTGGCTCGAAGCGCGGGTTCGGATACTAATGGCACTACGGACGGTGTTTCGCAGCCAAAAGCGCTGGATTTGAACGACGATACTTTACTCGAGTCCATCTCCTTCACCAACAACACTGCTTCAATGGATATCAAGGACGAGTCTGCCCTACCCGCATCTCTTACGTCAATGGACCCTTCAAATCAACCGCTTCTAGATCCCTTGGACTCTGTCATCATGCTTTCTCTAGCCGAGAGCATCAAGAACACGAATCCGGCAGATGGGATCACAAGAGAGCAGACGGAGCCGTATGCTACGCGTGTATTGGAGGGTGGAAGCTCGAACTGGCAAGTCTACACTCAGGCTTTGCTAGTGCGTAGTCGCATCGAAGGTTACAAGTCGCGAACCCTTGAGCGTGGTCTATTGCAGCTTCAAGCGCTCGTTGATCAAGTCATTGCCGAGACATCGGGTGATGCTACTACGGATGCTGAGACGGGGGAGAAGATCACTGCTTTCCTGCCAGCGGCAAAAGAAGGAGAATCAGCACCTGTTCAAGAGCGTCTCCGTTACGTGTTCCCGCTTTGCTCTCCATCACGATGGGAGCTGGAGGCTGAGCTTGCTGCTCGCTGGGTCTCGCTCGGTGGTCTACGGTCCGCACTGGAGATCTACGAGAGGCTGGAAATGTGGGCTGAAGCCGCGCTTTGCTATGCTGCTACAGAAAAGGAAGACAGGGCGCGAAAGATGATTCGACGACAGCTCTTCCATGCTATCAACGGCGATGAGGAGACAGTTGATCTTGACGAGGAGAAGTGGGAGGGCGCTGAACGCGATCCTCCACCCGCTGAAGCACCGCGGTACTACTGCATTCTAGGAGACCTCGACAACGACCTCGCCATGTATGAGAAAGCCTGGGAAGTCTCTGGCAAACGGTACGCACGCGCCCAGCGTTCGCTCGGACCAAAGATATATCGCCGCCCGCAACTACGAGAAAGCCGCAGAAGCGTATTCTCTCTCCCTCAAAATCAACTCCTTGTACCAGCCGGCCTGGTTCGCTCTCGGTTGCGCCTACCTGGAGCTCATGCAGTTCAAAAACGCCGTCGAAGCCTTCTCCCGCTGTGTGCAGCTCGATGACCAAGATGCCGAGTCGTGGAGTAACCTCGCCGCCTCACTCCTACATCTCAAGCCCAAGACCACGGAAAATGAAGACGGCGTAGTAGAAGAAACACGGGTGTCAAACCACCCACGTACCGACGCCCTCAAAGCTTTCAAACGCGCAGCCACAATCAAACACGACGACTACCGTATCTGGAACAACGTCCTCGCCGTCGCGGCATCGACAAACCCCCCCTCATGGTCCGACGTCATCACATCCCAACGACGCATCGCCGAGTTGCGTGGCGCCACCGACGGCGAGAAATGTGTGGATGCGGAAATCGTGGATATGCTAGTCAAACACGTCGTCTCGTTGGAAGGAGGCTTCGATATCACGCGTCCGGGTCTCGCCCGCATGGTAAACGACCTCCTAGAACGAGTCATCAAGCCCCTCATCACGTTCTCCCCGAAACTCTGGATTATTCTAGCAACGCTATACACGCATACACGCCGACCTGGCTCAGCGCTAGAGTGCCACGAGAAGGCCTGGCGCGCAGTTACCAGCCAGCCGAAGTGGGAGTCGGGAAGTGAACAAGTGTGGAACGCGGTAGTGGATATGACGATTGACCTCGTCGACGCATATGAGACGTTGGGCCCACGGGATAGGACTGAGGGTCTGGGTGCGGGTAGTGGGGAGCTGGTGGCCAAAGACTGGAAATTCAAGTCGAGGAGTGCGGTGAGGAGTGTTATTGGCAAGGGCAAGGAGAATTGGGAGGATAGTGCTGGGTGGGAGAAGTTGGTGGAGAGGCTGGAGGAGCTGAAGGGTAAGGATTAGATGGCTGTTTGGGGTTTCAATGATAGAAAAAGAGCAAATAAGTAGGTATCAAAAAGCTTCGTGTTCCTAGATTTGAGCTGTTCTTCACTTTCTAGATGCTATCAGCTGCGCATAGAAGATCTTCGTATAATGCTAATAGAGTCGTTAATATCCCACCATGATCGAGATAGCCTCTCACGATTCGAGTCGGCGTACGAGACCGCAGCATTCATGACCGTGCATCAACTACTGGTCATTTACTGACAGCGACCAGCTTACATTCCTCGCTTACAACAGTCCCTGAGTACGTTCCATCATGTTACAATCGTATCAAGATGCCACCGCTGTCAGATCCGATCAGTCTCATCGGCCCATGGCTTGGACAGGAATGCTTGAGCCGCCGAAAAGGGCCGTTGATCACGTGCCTACGTGAGCATGCATCCATGCAAGTGTCGCATCGTGTTCCCAGTGGCTTTGCTTGGAAGCCAGGGAGATTATGCAAAACATCGAGTGGCTTTGAAAAGCTCTAGGGAGGCTGGCGATCGTTGTGCAACAGGGCCGTTGGGGATGTTGCACGTCGGTCATCAAGGTGAAGAGGGTGTCTCGTATTCAAAATGCGTTGAGGGGGAGGCGCGTCTACGTAGTGGCGGCAAGCTCGCGGTCGAAGATATTCGCAACATGTTACATTCTGCGTTGTCAAACGCACCCATGTTGACGTAGACGACGGCTCCAACCGAAGCGACTAATAGGCTCATTAGTGCAATGCAGGCAGGTGCATAATCGAAGAAGTTTTCCCTTTCCCCACATGAAATTTTGGGAGAACTGCTTGTCAAGCGTGACCGGGTAACTGGGTGTCTTGCCTTGGCCAGTGGCAACTATTGGGCAAGGTTTGGTGCAACAAAATGCAGGAAGTTCCCGACAACCGGGTTCATAAAAAGTGTGTTGCAAACAGATCCCGCCATGGTTATTCCGACGTTGGACAAGACTTGGGAATACAAAGCAGCCCTATCGTGGCTTCTGCAAACCATGCTGACGTAGGTATTACCTCGGCAACCACATGTTGTCCAAACTCTCCCCTGGTGACAGCCATGAGACTTGCGCCCTTCTGTCGAATCAGCAGTCAAGACTACTGAAGATGACATATTCTAAGCGATGCTTTTAGATGGGTTCAACACTGACAGGAGACACATGATGTACCAGTGGAAGGGAAAGCCAATACAATCGTCAGGGCACGTCGTAAACGAAGCTTTTGCAGAAGCGGCTCCCCCAAGCGACCTCGGAGTGCGGTGTGTCGTTAGCCTAAAGCAGACTGCACTCCTTATGGCGTAGTAGATGTAACAATAAAAGGCCCTGTGTCCATTTTGTGGCACCAAACCAGTGGCCAATAGTCCAAGGTCTCCTCGAGCACAAGAACCGTTGGCAAGATTGCACAGGCGGACTATCTTTGCAAGAGGCAATTGTTAAGCTACAAGTTAAAACCAGGTCAGATATCTTCGTGGTGGCATTTGTGGGTGAAACTAGTTGTCTGTTGGCTCTTCATGGTGACCGGGCTCGCAGGTAAAAGCGGATGACTGCATGCTGTCATTCGCTGTGTACCACGAGCATCCAGAAGCGCGTTTCAGATGCCGGAGGTAATGACCCGGTTCCATGGCAGAGGTCCTCGTGGAAGACTGCATCCTGGTCGCGACCAAAGCCTCGCAGCCATGGTACGCTTTCCAGCTCCTGCAGCGGTTGAAGCAGCAATCTCGGATCACTCATGCGTGACTGTAGTCATCCGTTGGCGCAAAGGGCGGAGCCGTAGGATGGACGCACCAGATAGATTGGCTTTCAAGCCATGGTGAGGGCAAACGCGTCGCGTTGCAATGTGCACGACGTTCTCCTTCGGGAAGCCACAACTGTTGATAGCCAACCCGTGGGAAAGGAATCTGGGGACTTGGTACCCAAGCGAGCACATGATTTGGTGCATTCTTCTTGACCCCCCTGGCCGGGATTTTGTGAGCGAGGCCGACAGTCGTGCATAGTGAATGTATTTGGGTAGTGAGCAATCAGACGCGGCCAAGACAGACGCAGGTTTCCGTGGTGGTGCTCTGCAGCCGGGGTGGTGGCGGAGCAGCGAAAGTGTCTATAGCCGCGGGCATTTCGGGACTGGCAGAGAGGATTCAACTGATGCTATCCTGAGATGTGGGTGTGGAAAGTTTACGACGCAGGGTCCCGGTGTGCTCCGAGATGAATGTGGTCGGTCCCCTGCAGGACAGCACCTGCCTCTCGTTCCTGACAAGCATGGATGAGCAAGGTGAAGAGAATGGCATGGGCAAGACGAGCATAATCTCCCGATGGGTGTTATTATGGCGGAACGCTGATGTGCTAATGGTCTACTTCAGGTCATGGGCGGCTTACACACAGCCACCAGAAAGCCGCTAAGGTCCGGTTCGGGCCAAGAGTAGGTGGTGATACGACATCAGCTTTCTAAGAATACCAAGAGGCCACACTGACCATGTTCTGCTGAGGGGAACTTGTGCAGACGCGCAAGGGAGCGAGCGGGCTGATGTTGAATGGCGGCGCGGAGGATAAGAGAGGAAGAGTAGTTAGCAGTGGACGGAGTTGAAGGCAGGCTACAGGCGAAGGAAGGATCCAGTCATCCTCATGTGGCGGAAGGAGCGGCGCGGGCGTAGTTGCTTCTTTCCCAATCGGACGACACGCAAACAGAGGGAGGCAGCTGCGATGTGGTGGATGCGCCGGCCGAGGCAGGAACGACGGCTGGTGAGGCAGGCGCTTTCGGCGGCAGGAGAGGAAGTTGCCATGGCTTTGTCGACGACGACTACGAGTACAAAAAAGCGCCGGCGTGGCACAAGGACATCTCCCTTGGCCGGCGCATCTCTCGCAGGCAGCGGTGCGCGCAGAGTTGCGGTGCCTGGCAGAGGGCCGTCTTTTGCGTGGCTTTTTTGGCGATGCGCAGGATGGAACAGGGATGGCGGCGATTAAGCTTCTGCAAGCCACACCAGGAATAGATGCATCTTCGCTTGACACCGCTGGCGACGGAGCTCATTGCTCACCACACTCCAACATATGCCCTCCCTTTTCTGCACGTCTGCCATCACCGCAACGCTCAGAGGGGGCCAAGCCTAGCATCGCCGTGCACTGGCCGCTATGGATAGTCGTCTGCCGTCATCGCGGCCAGTCGTAGTCCGCAATGCCCGGGACGCCCATCTCCCAGCCTACGGGCTCATGGGTCGCCCTAACAGCTGTCGGCATCAGAGGCCGTAGAAATTGCTGCTGATGCTCGCTGAAGTGCTGGGCCGCATGTATATCATCGTCAATGTCACCGCCGCCCTGGGCGGTCTTGCTACGCCCACCTCATGCGTCAACCTCGCCATAGCCAGCATAATCCCCCCCCCCCCCAAGATCCCCTTCCACCCCTTCCCGTCCCAGTTGTCCATCACATCTTGCGTTTGCATATCAACATAATTACAATCTTGCCCACAAACAACGCCTCACAGACCTTGTCTTAACGCTTTGGCCCAGGTCCTCCGCATCCGCGCTTCTTACCATTGCAGAGGTCTTAGAGCACCACTCTACACCTCACCTACTGGCCAAGACAATCTCCCTCTGGCATTGGACCGTCGTTGCTTTTGGATTTGCATTCTGAGGCTGTCTGGAGTGATCCACTGCACGCAGCCATCGCTGACTAGAGATATACATCACTTGTCGTCAGCCGCGGAGCTCAGCTTATTGCCACTGCGTGGGCTGCGCCATCCAAGGCCACCCCGTCAGAGCCTCAGTGCACAGATTTCAGGCGGCTGCTGCCTCCTGCCGTTTGGATCTTCCTATACGAACCTAGGAGCTGTCAGGCTTTGCGCGACGTGGTGCTCAACGGCCATAGTACTAGCCTCTGGAGGGCGTGCCTCATCGTCAACTGGCCCGCTAGTTTACCAGGTTGACGGGATCGGTAATCACCCAGAGTCATCCGAACCCCCCCAGAGCACACTGTGCTCGTTCGCACTTCCTTGCAGCTGCGTCTATGCTCCGCCATCGACACTGGGCCAATCCCGCTTCTTCTCCGTTGTCCTGGGTTGCTTCATCGCCTGTTCCGTACGGTACCTGTTCATTGCCGCCTATTTCCACGGTAATAGCTCCGTAGTTCCGCAGCTTCCTTTGCCTTCTGCACGGCAAGGCTGCCGAGCCTCATGCATATTGGTCAGCCTTCATCCCATGTCTCTGTTCCTTTGTATGCTATGTAAGTCATGCCATCAGTCACATCGAAATGCGGGCCGCAACATGATACATCTCGTACCAAGTCACTCACATTCATTTCAGCTCCTGGCATTTGCACTGAATCATTCTCCATTGCGGCGGGAGCGACACGTCCCGTTTCCTGTTTCGTCGATAGGGAGTTTGCATTGTCTGAGCTGCAGTAGGCGAAGAGCTGGACTCACCGCGTTTGACACGGATACTCAAAATCGCCCCGGTTCCCGTATGAATCCAAGTCCTGAACATCCCGATCATTTGTCTCTAAACAGACTACTTTTGTCCGCTTCACTGGTCACAAGGCCCACCCAGTTTGTCTCCGAATCTACCTCTCATCACATCCGTCACAGTGTTTCGAACTTTCGAACCCGCCTGTTGCAACATTTGCCTCCAACAAGGACTCCATTGTCTCTCTAGCTCTGTCAAGGACGCAAGCTACAGCCCCACGAGTTCTGTGCCAGTTTGCCAGTGTTCAAACATCAAAAGACGACAACATAGTTTTACACTCTCCATCTAAGCGCATCGACCAGCGTCAATCTGGCCTGCTCTATACAAGCAAGCTGTCAGGTGCGTACTCTGTTGTAGCTAGCAGCTCTTCGAGGTGTGCCAGGGCGCGCTCTCGCTGACCCCTCCATTGCTGCCTGCGCTGCGACCCCACAAATGTCCTGCCTACTGACATGCAAATAGTATCAGCCTGACAGCCATCGGCCACCGCTCTCAATCAGTGTTGAAAGGCACCCATCAGCACTGCGCAGTTTGGACTTTGGTCGTGGTTCACCGACTATCCAATTTGCAAGAGCCGCACAATTAGTGTCCATGTCAGGATACTCGAAAAACCATCAATATGTGTATGGTAAGTGGTTCTCGGCTCATCTGACGAGTATGGAAGAGCACCTGCCATAGTTGGGTCGGAATAATCCGGCATTAGCCCACGTGAGATTGATTAGCACGTTTGACTGACCACCTCCATTCCAGATGCCGAAGCCACCAGATCAAATCAGGATGCAAACTACCCAGGTATTGCACAGCCCGCGTTCGCCTCGCAGTACACGGATGTGCCCGCGGGACTAACGCATGAGGCCTCGAGCGCAGAGATGCCCTACATCCCTAGCTCGACGCACGAGTCACGCGGTGCAGCAGAACATCGAACTAATCGACCATTTATCGATGCAGGCGCTCGTCATCCCGCTTCACTGACAGTTACTGAAACGGAAATCACCGAACCGATTACTCCTGCCCAAGGCACCGCTGGATCTACGGTAACGCTGCAACTTCGGACGAATTACGACCTCCAAGCCACTCAACGCACCTTCATACTCATGTTTGGCACCAAGAAGTGCGTCGCAGCACTCCAGAAGGTCGACTACGACGCCCCAATCCAGAACGTTGACTACGACGACGACGATCAATGGTACAACTACGTTCTCAACGTTGAAGTACCCCCATTTCCACTGACCAACACATGGGACCCTACCATGATGTTGAAACTCCAGATCGAGGACAAGATGGGCCATTTACAGTCTCAAACAGATGCTGGCAAGTTCACCTACACCGACATGTCGCCGAATCTCGCGTACCAGTCCTCGCCCGACTTCTCCAGGAAACGAAAGTACTCCACTGAGTTTCGTGACACGCAAGATTATCCCGACGGAAATTCTGCGAAACGCGTTCAGTCCCGTCAATTCGCGAAGCCGCGCACAATTCCTGGAGCCTATTCTGCTGCACAGGTATCGCCACTGCCCTCTCGCCCTGTACTCCCCGAGACGTACAGACACGGTGGCGGGTATGATCTGTCCAAGCAGGCAGAATATGGCTCGCAGATCTCGCAGAAAGGCCTCTATGCAGTGCCTTCGGGTATAGGAATGGCCCACGCAGACTACAAGCTTCCACATATGAGCCCAAACTTGCACTCATACAGCTCCTACAACGCCCGTAATCACGGAAGTCGGCATCCTGTGTCCACATCGGCCTCGATTCTTCCTCCACCGCCCGCCATGACGGCACCAGTGCTTGTCCGGGCTACCCATCTCGCACAAGCTAGCAGTAATAGCTCCTCAGCACAGCCATTCAACCCCTACTCAATGTATCAGAGCAAGGCCATACTCAAGATTGACGGTGATCTTGATAAGATGAGCGAAGACTGGACGCAAGAAGAGGTGGACGCAAAGAGGCGCCTGGTCGAGTTCAAACGATCGCAACGCGGTAGCACCATAATGACTTCTTTCGCTCCTATTGCGCCGGAAGCTCGACAGCACGGTAGCATTTGCGTCAGCTGTATCTGGTGGGAAGAGAAGGATGAATGTTACATCACAAGCGTCAACGTAATATATCTACTGGAACAGCTCGTAAACGTCCGCTTTACTGTTGAGGAGAAGAACCGCATTCGCCGCAACCTCGAAGGGTTCCGGCCTCTCACAATTGCAAAGGCAAAAGCGGACAGCGAAACTTTTTTCAAAGTCATCATGGGCTTCCCAGATCCCAAGCCTCGCAATATCGAAAAGGACGTCAAGGTGTTTCCTTGGAAGATTCTTTCACATGCGCTGAAGAAGATCATTAGTAAATATGTATGTTTCCCTCCGATGCAGCCGGTCATGTAGCTAACAGTTAGAAGTCTGCAAGTTACTCTTCGACAGCTGGTATTGGCCCGCTCCCAGTCCCATCGACATCGACATACTCCCCAGGCGGCGTCTCGCAGGCAACAATGGACGCTCATCGAATTACTTCGCCACAATCAGTGCCTATCTCGATCGTGTCAACTGCATACACACCCAATCTGACCTCCTCTAGTCTATCCCCCCATCTGAAAATGGAAGGATCAGCAGGACATGGCATGCCGATTGCTCAGAGGACACCTTCGGGACAAGGCATGACTCAGTGGGGCGCTCCTACTCACCACATGCCGCAATATCCAGCAAACCTCTCCCATGGAGAACGAGGGTCGTGGGACTATGGGTATCTTGGAACTTCTGCTCCCACGGGACTCTCACATTCGTTGCAAATGCCACGGCCAAATGCGACGTCAGACCTCACCCAAATGGCAGCGGATCATGCTTACCATCAGTACGCCGAGGGCACAACGAGGGTGTAGAAAAGACGAGGCTCGCAGGATCACGGCTACGACTACGCGTTGTGGGTCTCGATGTCTCGATCTGCGTCGGGTGATCATCCAACGTCCGCATGATCCATTCCGATCTAACCCAATCGGGAGTTGCACCAATAGTCCTGCACACCACTCATCGTCAAATGCGCCCCACGCAGCTCGCACATCTTTTCAAGCTCTCTCTTTCGTTCGGATCTTTCTTCTCATAGTCTTTATGATATGGCGTTTATCACGGCGGTTTCAACTTCTGGTACTGGACGCATAATACCCCGGACAGGCGGCGTTGGATAGTAATTCGGTTTCATCGTTTCTTCTCTACAGGCAACACGCATAGAGGGGAGGTGTGCGATTTGAGCGATCAGGTGGTGCGCCCAGACACACGACTCCTCTACGAATGCACTCAGGACGATCGACTCTGCATCACCCTGGCGTTTGTTGCTATTCTTGTTCATTACAATCCTTACGATCTAATAGTCCTATCTTCCTGATTTTTGACCCGTCAGTTGACCGTTATTGTTTCCGAGGATTGCATACCCCCTGTACCGACTTATCTTAGACGGGGTGGCGCATTGGGCGGTGGACATCTCTGCTTCTTACATGACGACGCCTTGTTGTAGCCTCGTCTCTTTCTTTCAGCCACCGTTATTCTTGAGATTCCCCCAATGTATTTCTGATATCAAGCACCTTATAAGCAGCGTAATATATCTGTAACGCACTTGAAACTTTCTTTACATAACTCAGTGTCCCCTATGATAAGTCAAGAGCTTCGCCGCACTGTAGGAGGGCGCAGTCACGTCCAGCCCCAGATCCTTACGACTGCCTAATTCTCGCCAAGAAACTGCGCTACTCGCTCCGCGGTCCCCGATGCATAGGTAGGCATCCATCATCAGCTGAGCTTATCAAACAGGCTTTTGTTATCTCCATGAGCATGATGCGCATGTCAGTTGGAAACGCGACGGGACAACCGGTTCGCAGCACAAGGCCCTTACAGATGATCAAGGCATGGGTGTATATGCGCATACGTCTCCGACCCCCGGGAACCGCGTCACACAAGATGTCCAGGCGACCAATGCTTCTCGCGGGGTCACATGGCGCAGCCGGGAAGGTTACGGGAAGGTTATGCGAAGGTTATGCGAACTCCCCACGCTGACGGGAACATGTGAGCTAGATGCCGTTTGTGCCGATGCAACTAGTATCATGACTACGCAGCCGTGCTGCACATGCATCTTGTGTTCACTCCAAGTACTCGAGTACGGAACATCACTAACGACTACATGTGGGTTACACGCTGCGACACCAAAGTAAGAACCATCATTGAGCACCTTGGCGCTAGTGCGCAAGTATCACAGTCTGCCCGAGTATGCCCCCGTACCCCTACAACTCTACTCAAACTTTGCCCACAGCCCACGAAACTTTATTTCTGTCATCAGTTCTACACTGACAGACGCCATGTAATCAGCCCAGATCAAACCGTGTCCCGCAAAGCTGATGTAATGCGCATCAATCTGCACACCTGACATGCGTGATTAAAGGGCCACGCGGAAGCCTCGTTGCGTGTATCATCGTCCCGTGCACTGTCCTGTTGATTTGGTGTTGGAATGCTGACGTACATGAACAAGCCCGAACGAGAACTTCCGGGTCGGGGCGGGAGTTGGATATCTTGGGGCTGCTTATCTCACGTCATTACCACGTGGGGGATTTGAATTTTGGGGGGGATATGAGCCCGGAAATTCACTGTGGAAGGAGGCCTAGATTGACGATCAACGGAGTGACTGGGATGTTGAGTGAGTGAGAAACGGGACAGAGGGCGAAAGGCTTCCAGGTGATTATAGGTGGATGATGAATGAAGCCGGGCGTCGATGCACTTATGCACAAGAAGCCTTCTTTTGTAATCACATTTTACATTCATTCAATGCCTGTTGAGTTGTCTTCATTGAACGTTGAGCTCTCTAGTAAAAAGGAAAGAAAAAGCACACTGAGAATTCGATCTATCGTACTCATGAACCACAAGCCATAACCAAACAAAGATTAATAATTTATTGTAATATCGGAATTGGGTCATATCAGAGTACCGAACATGGAAAGGATATGCAGGTGTGCTTGTGACGTTGGGAAGGCTCCACGCCACATCCACAGTGCCTTCCTACCCTGACAAAAACTAAAGTTTACGTCGGATGACTCTGTGATATCCACATTAACCCTATAGGAACCTCCGAGAGCAACGGGCGAGCGGCGATAACAGGGTTTTTCTGCACGTTTGCCCCTTCGTGCAGCATGGGCGGTCGACAGAGCAAAAGCCTATCTGCAGATTAGCTGCCAGCAAACAAACAACCGAGGGATAATGGAGATGAGCTTACTACCCAGTCCGCTACACACAGCGGGGACAGACGCATTAGAATTTGGCGCAGTGATGTCCTGCAGAATCGGGACCGCAGGGGTTTTCGACCCAAGGGCGGAATCAAGCGGCAGAGCGAGATTAGGGAGGACTTGAGGGTTGGGCACGGCAAACGAAAGAGCCGGAGTAATGGTCATGAGAAAGGTGGTAGCGATCATGGAGAGCTTCATGATTGTAGTTGTTGTTGTTGTCGTAGCGGAGATTGGCGCGGAGATGTGGATGTGTTTTGATGTACATCACTCACTTGCACGAGGATCTTGTCTCTTTTATAGCGAGAATCTCAGCTCAATTTACCGATTATGTTGACAGATGCCGGTGTTTTGTTGTGTTGTTGAGCAAGCTAGTGGACGGGAAAAGCAAACAACGGGGAGGTCAACGACTGGATGAATTATGTGATGCTCCTTTTTCCAAAATTTGAAGGTAAGCTTGTGCTCTCTAGCCCCTGATATTCAGATGGGATCCGTGTCTCTCTACTGTCACATCCTCTTTACACCAACAGGCCCTTACTCTGAGCTAACTTCCTCGGAACCTCGTCCTTGTACGCATTGGCCGAAACCAACATTGTCATATGGGCTCTCTGGACTGCACCAAGGGGACAGGTTGTCGTAGTATGTGCGAGTGTTGGGGCAACAAGGATTTATATGCAACTTAGCTGTACTCCAAGAAGATTCTGGATTGAGTCGCGTATAATACCTGGGGACTGCAGTGTATTGTGCAGTTGTTGGATGATGGGGTAGGCGACGCAGGTTGCTGGTAGTGGATGGGTGATGAGTCCAACCTGAATTTGAAAGTTTGGATCGCGTAACTGTTGGGTTCCAATATCCTTTTTCAGGGTCTCCACTATCTTTGTTGGCATAAGAGAACAGCTCCAGAAGAAGCCCTGTCCTATTTCATTACCAGAGTCCGGGTGCATTCAAATTCCCGAAGATATGGACTAGGTATTTCTTGTTCTTATCAGCTGATACCCGAACACGGCACTCTCTAGCGAAGTCGACTGCTCCTACACTATACAGCCAGTAGCGAACAACATAATATTCGAGTACTGGATATTGCTGAAAACTCCCTTGACGCCTCGATACGTTCACCTACAATGCATGCTCCCTGAATATCATCTTGTCAGAACCACCTAGGGCCGGCTGCATGAGTGATTCGTATAACTTTATTTATATGTTCATATACGATAGCATGTATGTGAAGGGGACGATGTAGGTTCTTCTGATGCACACGTTTGCTTTTGTGGTGTGTTCTGACGACCACCTTATTTCCCCAAGCGGCTAGTCCACTACCATGAAGTTACGTCACTCATTGCCTTTTTTACACACGATCGCCCAGGTGTCATAAAATACTTGACATACTAGTGGAAAAAGACCACTGTAGTCGCCAGGCACGCCTATTAGGTGCTCACCCCCACTTTCGAGTATCTTATGATACCCTGTCTGGTACGATGCTTTTTCTACTCCAACATGATTTGAAAAAGGAGAATGAATCACCAACTTCAATCTACATACATCGCTTGTCTAACCTTTGCAACATTTAAGGCGCGGAACATCTGAATCATGGTCTGCTCAATTCCGATAACGACCTAACTTCGAACATTGTCGGCTATAGAGCGAAATCGAGGGCACTGAGAAGCTCGCCGATCCTTTTTCTTATGGCTCCTATCCTTCTTTCAGGTCTAGTCATGCTCATCGCTGATCCTAATCTCGCCGCCCACACCCATACCTACAAGTGGCGGTACATGTAAAAACGGGATCTTCCAAAGTCTGAATAAACCCCCTATCTTCTTGTTCTCTCGATCTACACCACCAATGCAAGGGAGATCAATTGGGTGGGTGTAGCGTTATCAGGATAATTAAAATTTCACATTATTATAGATGAAAACAAGCAATGTTTTGTTCTAAGAAACTTGTATAGGTTGAAGTGATGATCAATTTCACACAATACCAGTGAACCCGAAATTGATTTTCAAGCAGTTCCCGTCCAAAACATATCACGCTACTTTCTCGATACAAACCATGCATGCCTATCATATAATTTTAAGAGATACTTAGCATGTTCGTCGGCAGCGGGTTCTATCACAAGCGGCATTGAGTCGGCTACCAATGCATATACGTGTCTGAAGTCAGTAATAGCTATAATCGCAAGTATAGAAAGCAGATGAATCTGATAGTAGCTAGTATTGGTAGACAATTTGACGTACAACTGTGTGAATAAATACTTTCATTCGTGCCTTCTATAGACCATGAGAAATCGCTGTATTCATTCCACCACTACACTGCAGTGCCAGGCCCCACCCCTTCCCGAAAAAAACGAATCGCATAGAACAAGCGAATAAGAGGAAGAATAAAGACAATTGATAGTGACGAATATCAGAAAGTTCAACCACGTCCCACATGCGCTATATTCATAGCACAGAACTTTGTAGATTGTAAGTAGTCGCCTACTTATCCACGCGGTACTATCAGAAGGTCAGTAAAGTCGAAACAAAAATGGTCATCCGCAAACATACATTGAATCCCCAGCATTATGCTCCCCCAGCACCGGCACCGGCACCGGCATTGAACCCAAACCCGAATCCACCACCACCACCACCACCATCGGCTGCTCCGCCGCCAGAGCCGGCATTGGGGTCAGCGCCAAAGTTAAAACCTATACCAACACCTACAGCAGCATTGCCTGCTCCTTGCCTCTTGAGAATTGTGTTGTCTGCCGCAGGCAGTGATGCTGGTGCGGCTGTTGCTGCAACAGCGAGCAGGACAGGAAGGAAAACGAGTTTCATTGTTGTGTAGGTTAAGAAGCAGAGGTAACTTGGTTCGAATTAATCATACGTGAAGTCAGAAGAGAATTTTGAATATTGCGTTTAAGAGACCTTGGAATGGAACCGAACATATATATACACGAAATCACATGGGATACGCCATTTATCTTGTCCCGATGGCGCGTGGCGAAACGAAATCCCCAAGACAGTGAGGGTGAGTGGGGAAATTGATAGAAAAAAAAGTAAATATGACGGTCTATTGGTTCTTAGAAGCGATTAATTGGTTGCTTTCTCGTGCTATACTAAGACGACCAGCGGGTGAGCGGAAGCACAGATCTAGACTGTACATAGTCTGAACCCTAAAGATTATGAGCTTGCAACGGAATCGGCACCAACACCAAACTGTAGATTTATTTCAACTACCGATTTTCCTAAGGCTTTGCTTCCAGCGCTGCCTCCGGCACCGGCTCCAGCATCCCCATCAATGCCAACCTTAGCACCAACGCCAGCCCCAACGCCCGACCCCCCTCCAAATCCAACTTTAGCCCCTGCGGCTGCTCCTTGTCTTCTGTCGATCAGATTTTCTACTGCGGAAAGTAGAGTCGGCGCTGCAGCTACTGCCTTCACCGCGAGCATGGCAAGGAGAAGGGCGAATTGTTTTGTAGGTAGGTAGGATGAGAGACAAGGACGTGATAATATAATTTAATGTAATAGAACTGTTCATCGGTTGCGAATTATACTGGTGATATTGATTTGGTTTGGAAAAGAAGACCTGTAGCCAGAGGCAAATAGTCATAGTTGTCAACAATCAAGCCAATCCAAGCTGAGGCGTTAGCTTGGATTGCTCGTTTTTTGAGGGCGTCGGCTTGGATTGTTGGGGCTAACAAGCTGAGATCGTGAGCTTGATTGAGGCTTGATTGATAGGCTTGATAGCCTGTACTACAGTAGCGCTAGCCTTTGTCGTCGTCCTAAGTCGCTAGCCCGCACAAAAGCTCCATATTGTCGTCGTCTGCTGCCTCCTCCCCCACCACCTCGTTGTCGCCTCCGAGGCCAGCTCTTTGCCACCGTCGTACGTACTGTATTGCCGGCTTTAAGGGGTCGCCCAGCTCACTGAACAGGCGTTCACACTCACAGCTTGACGATGGGATAGAGAGTACGTCAAGCGCAAGCTTAATTAGGCTAGGGTAGCAATCGCGCATGCTCACCCAGTATTTGATAGAGTTATCTGCGTGTTCTGTACCTCTCTCGGCTACCGGCTCGCTGCGCTTCCACCTCTTAAACTCGTCCTTGTCGGCGGTGAGGCTGCTGACAGTACTAGGGTTGAGTATACTATCTATCGCGTCGTCTATATCGCTTGGGATCACTGCCGACAGCCTTACCGCGCGCGGTGAGGTGTTGTACTGCGCCCAGAGCGCCTAAAAGCTAGCGTTACTGGCCTCGAGCCAGTCAGGCTTCTTGGCCCACGCCTTAACCAAGCCCATCAAGCCGAACAATCAAGCTGACCCTCCTCAGCTTGGATTGCTAATAAATTAGTATAGGCAAGCTTGACTTGATGGGATTGATAGTTATCAAGCTATCAATCAAGCGCTTGCAAGCCGCTTGATTGTTGACAAGTCTGCAAATAGAGTAGGCTACCTGTATCTCGTGTTGCCAACCTGATGGTTAGGGGCAGAGAGCAAAAAGTAAAACCACAAGAACTATTGGAAGCTGCATGCATAAAAAGCAAAGCACAATCTGTTGGTTCCCATCTCGTGCTATACTATACGATCAGCAGATGAACAAAAAGTCTGCACTCTGTGGTTCTTGTATTTACTCCAAAGCGCAAAGATTTTCTAGGATCTGGCATTGATGTTGGAACTTGCAGCAAACCCAGCCTCAGCAGAAGCCCCAGGACCAAAGCTCCCTCTTGTTTCAACCTTAACTCAAATGTCGGCGTTTAGTCCTTGTCTCTTGGTACCACCCGCCGTGCCGTCAGCCTTAGATCTCCTAACCCTCCTGCTAACACCAACACCAACACTGCCAGCACTATCAACACTGACAGCAAAGTCGGCAGATACACCTAATTCTTCACTAGTAGCTTGTTCTACGCCAGTCGCTACACCCAATTTTGCACCAACAGCTATACTTGCGTAATCAGCCATGTCTACGTTCAATTCGAAAGCGAAATTGAAAGACGATTTCAAAATAGAAATCTCGTCATCCGATAGGCCTTTGAGTCCTTCTATTTCACGCAGTAGTTTTCGAACCAACAGCTGAGCATCCGCGGTCGTAACTTGTAAAGGTGCTACCAACGATGGAAGAATTGTTGTAGTCATCATGACGAGAATAGGGAGAATATTGATTTCCATGGTTGCATAAGAAGTTTAAGTTTGATCGATGGGTATGAATGACTTATGAGCTTTTTGTTATTCGAGTATGAGTTTGGTATGAAGAGAAGAGTTTGAAGGAGATAGTAATATAGAAAAACGGGGAACACATAACTTCCTATATTACTTAGCCAAGAAGTAGATAGGTTCTAAATTGATGTCTGGTTATGAAAAGAAACGAGAAGGGCTAATTGAATATTTACATCGAATCGTCAAACAAATGTTTCCGCAGAACTACCAAGTCCATCTCCACCGTCCTCGCCCAAGAGCTTGATACCGACTCCGGTACCAAGTACGAGCGAAAGTATCCAACTTTCTAAGCCTAACCACTAAGAAGTCCCTCAACGGGGAGATTACCAGTCAGGCCGCCATTGCCTTCTCCGTTACCAGAGGCCCCCTGCGTTAACTCAGCGATAAACGCAAGCAACTCGTCAATTTCCTCATCCTCCTGCCTCTTCATAACCGCAGCCTTCATAACAGCATCAGCCTCTGCATGAGCCGGTCCATTCCAGTGGGGCATAGTCTCTGTCTCCTCTTCCTCATCATCATCCGCCATACCGGCAAGCTCATCGGCCAGATCTTCAAGCCCTTCGCCCAGATCGTTGACTGGTAGCTCATTCGCGACCTCATCGTACTCACCAGCAGCAGCCATTTTATGCTCCGTCCTCTTCATCTGCGTAGGATACTTCTGCCCCATAGGCTTCGTGTGCTCGACAGGTTTGGTGTGCTCCTCATCCTTCTCCTCACCGTCCAAAGAACCCAAAAGCTCATCCACAATATCCTCAAACTCATCAATACCAGCTTCCTCCTCATGCTCTCCAATGTCCGTCCTCTTAATACCAAACTTGCCATTCTTGCCAGCAGCACCCTCTTGTCTCTCGAAAATGCCAAGTCCCCCGAGAATGCCACCAAGCGTTCCGCCCCCAGATCCCCTGAGAGCGTTATCAAGCCCTCCATTCCCAGATCCCCCGAGAGCGTTATCAAAAGTATCATCCCCGAGAATGCCATCAAGATCTCCGTCCCCAGCACCACTGGGACCCTCTTGTCTCTTGAAAATGCCCCCAGATCCCCCGATAATGCCATCAAGCGTTCCACCCCCAGATCCCCCAAGAATGCCATCAAGCCCTCCGTCCCGAGATCCCTTGATAGGTTCATTAACCACTCCATCCCCAGATCCCCCGAAAATGGCATCAAGAATTCCGCCCTTAGATTCCCCGAGAGTGGCACGACGGTTTAAACGGGTGGTTTTGGCAATGCCATCAACCAATTTTCCGAGTCCAGTGCCCATGTCGTTGGTAGCGAGGTGGGCAGGTGAGGCTACAGGTGCTGCTGAGACAGCAGGGATGGCGACAGCGGCCATGGTAGAAGCGATAGTAGAAAACTTCATGTTTGCGGTATTGTTGAGTTGGTAAACTGATAAAGTTTTGCAGACGAGAGAGTCTTTCAAAGTAAACAGATGAGAGAGGTAGTCAAGTGGAAGAAGCTGGATGACTTGATGAGGAGATCAGAATGGCGGAAGAGCTGTATAGTTTTATATCCAACACAACATAGACTTCTCTTTTCTCCAACCCTCATTTCCACCCCCATTGCCTATCCCATCCACCCCCTTTCACCTCCACGCGTCCTTCATGCCACCGCTGCTACAGTACCATTGCAACTATCCTTGGCATACTAAATTGACGAACCATCGATTACATGCTTTTGACGATCGCTCTACCGAGCTTTTTCGACACCACCGATGAGGCAAAAGCAAAACATCGGTGAACATCGAAAAAGAAACGAAAAAAGGGAAAAGGGGACACGGAAATCTCTCCAGTGGTGTGAGATGGCATTGTCAGATCGCCCGATTAGATTACATGGTATTTCTGAATTGCGGTAGAAGGCCCACGCACGTTCCTCTATTTTCTTCTATGCGTTGGCCCCTAACCTCCGCCGGATATTCCCAACGGTCAACGAATAACTACTCACCCACGCACCTACCACTTCGAAGTCGACTTAGATGCTGGATTGATTGAGTATCTGTGTGGTTTTGCGGGTGGCGGTGAACATAGTGACATAGTGACGGAAACGTTGAGCTTAGATTGGAATGAATCAAACATCATAATTTCAACAAAGCAGAAGGAGCAATCCGGTCAAACTGGCAATGCTCACGTCGAACTGTCGACTGAAATTGATTCAAACGTCATCACATCAACAAAGGTAGAACAGCCATGTTAAGAACGCAACACACATTTCATTATCTATACAATTCTCATGCTTCATGCTCATTTCTCAGGCTCATACTTTCGTACCGATCATCTCTGTGCATAAACGTTGGAAAACGTGGACCCGTCATTAAAACGTTCAGTCGCAGCAGCGCACATGGAAAAAAAGGAGAGGGGTGGAAACTCAACAACCACAAAACAAAACAAAACAAGACGCGCAGCAAGCAATCTGGGAAGATCCTCCTACTAGCCACAAGGGTGCTCACACAATAACGGTGTGTAGCAAAGGGTATAATGCAACCTCCCATATCCCGTCATTCCCAACCTCCATCTTACTTCACCACTGACTCACCCCCTCTCCTTCGCAGAATCACTCGATACTCAGGCGTCAAACTTATTTCTTGCCCTTCTTCTTGTTCTTCTTCTTTTTAGAGGCACTCTTCTCTCCTCCTTCACCCTCCTCTTCATCGCCGTTGGTGGGTGACATGGGGGTAGTGGGTGTTTGGGGCTCCGATTCGGGTTCCTCAGCATCCTTAGTCTCGGTCTCCGCTGCGCCATCGACAGCTGGTGCATCTACTGGTGCCTCTGGCTCCTTGGTCTCAGCAACTGGCTCCTCGATGGCCTTCTCGACAGGTACTTCAGCAGCCTTCTCAGCGGGAACCTCGGTGGCGGGGACTTCGACAATCTTCGAGGCCTTCTCAAGCAGCTCAGCGTTAGTCTTCTTGAGCTCCTCTTGATCAGCCTTGGCCTTCTCAAGTTGCTCTTTAGCAGACTCAAGTTCCGCCTTAGCCTCCTCTTGTGCCTTCTTCGCGGCCTCAGCCTCGGACTGTAGAGCAGTGGTCTTTTCTTCTTGCTCCTTCAGTGTGGCCTGAAGAGTCTCGAGAGATGTCTTGGCTTCTGTCTCTCCTGACTTAGCGGCCTCGAGCTCCTTGATGGATGCCTCAGATGCCTGGGTAGCCTCGTCAAGCTTGGCTTGGAGAGCAGTGAGTTCAGATTCTTTCGCCTTGGCAGCTTCGACGCTGGCCTCGAGCTCAGTGACCTTGGTCTCGCTTGCCTTCAACTTCTCCTCTAGCTCGCTCTTCTCAGCAGTCGACTTCTCAGTCGATATCTTGAGCTCTGCAAGCTCGGATTCGAGTGTAGAGGCCTTTGCAGCAGTCTCCTTCGCTTCAGCCTCAGCCTCCTTGGTCGCCTTGAGCTCCTCATCAACAGCCTCCTTTGCCTTCTTAGTCTCCTCAAGAGACTGCTCGGCAGCGGCGAGATCCTTCTCCAGGGAAGCAACCTTCTCGTTGCCTGAAGATTGGGCAGTCTGAAGGGCTTCAGAGTGTTCAGATTCCTTCGCAGCAAGCTTAGCTTCCAACTCGGCGACCTTGCTGGCCTCAGCCTTGGCGTCAGCGAGCTCCTTCTCAAGGGCCGCAATCTTGTCGTTGCTTGACGATTGAGCTGCCTGGAGAGATTCTGAGTGTTCAGTTTCCTTGGCTTCGAGCTTGCTAGTGGTTTCCTTGAGGGAAGCCTCAAGCTCTGCGATCTTTGCCGCAGACTCGTTGGCACCACCCTTGGCAGCCTCGGTGGCTTGGGTAGCCTCAGCCAGAGCAGCTTCCTTCTCCTTGACGGCAGTCTCCAGCTCGGTAATCTTGTTGCGAAGACCCTCAGCCTCCTGTGTTGACGATTCTGATGCCTTGGCAGCATCTTCCTTGGCAGTGGTAGCAGCCTCAAGATCTGACTTTGCAGTGGCGAGAGCTTGCTCAAGTTCGGTAACCTTGCCAGCTTCAGCAGACTTGGCCCCCAGTTCCGACTCCTTCGCGGCTAGGCTGTCTTGGGCAGCCTTGAGAGACGCCTCCAACTCAGCGATCTTTGAGCCAGAGGACTCAGTAGCTTGGCTTACATCAGCTTTAGCAGCCTCGAGTTCAGACTCCTTTGCCGCAAGACCATCCTTCGCCTCCTTAAGAGAAGCCTCTAGCTCGCTGATAGTGGAACGAAGGCCCTCAGCATCACCCTTGGATGATTCGACCGCCTTCTTAGCTTCGCTCTTGGCAGCCTCCAATTCCGACTTGTGGGCGGTGATGCTCTCCTGAGCTTCCTTCAGACTGGCCTCAAGCTCGGCAATCTTCGAGCTGGAAGATTCAGTGACCTTGGTGACATCGCCCTTAGCAGCCTCAAGTTCAGATTCCTTGGACGATAGGCTGTCCTTGGCTTCCTTGAGCGAAGCCTCAAGGTCAGCGATGGTCTTTTGCAGACCCTCAGCGTCTCCCTTGGATGACTCAACAGCCTTGGTGGCCTCCTCCTTGGCAGCAGCCAACTCAGACTCCTTGGTGGCAAGGCTCTCTTGTGCCTCCTTGAGGGAACCTTCGAGCTCAGCTACCTTAGTGGCAGAGGCCTCTGATGCCTTACTGACCTCCTCTTTTGCGGCAGCTAGCTCAGACTCCTTAGCAGCCAGGCTATCCTGTGCCTCCTTCAGCGAGCCCTCGAGCTCGGTGACCTTGGCATTGGAAGCCTCTGAAACCTTGGTGACTTCGCCCTTTGCAGCCTCCAGCTCAGCCTCAAGCTTAGCTACAGTCTCGCGAAGCTCCTCGGCCTCTTTCTTGGCAGCAGTGGTCTGCTCATCAGAAGAACCCTTTGTGCTCTCAATCTCGGCCTCAAGCTTGCTGACGGTGCTCTGCAGGCCTGCAACCTCAACCTTGGCAGATTCGGCAGCCTTGGATGCGTCGCCCTTTACGGTTTCAAGCTCGGCATCCTTGGCGGAAAGGCTGTCTTGTGATTCCTTGAGGGAGGCTTCAAGTTCAGAAATCTTGGCTGTGAGGGCATCAACCTTGCTCTTAGCCTCTTCTGCAGCCTTGACTGCCGCTTCCTTCTCGGAAGCAAGGGAGGCTGAGGATGCCTCGAGCTCAGACGTCTTGGCAGAAAGATCATCTTGTGCCTCCTTCAGCGACTTCTCGAGGGCAGAAACCTTCTGAGCAAGCTCATCAGCGTCACCCTTGGACATGTCGACAGTCTTGAGTTTCTCTTGCAAATCGCTAATCTCAGCCTTGAGACTATCAACCTCACTCTTGGATGACTCAGTCAATGATGCGACCTGATCGGCAGCAGCAGCATGCTCCTTGGTCTTAGCGTCAAGCTCTGAAGCCTTCTGCTCAAGGGTATCCTTTGCCTCCTGGAGAGATGCTTGCAGCTCAGTAATGGTGCTGCGAAGACCTTCAGCCTCCTCTTTTGACGCCTTCTCAGCATCAGCGTCTTGGGTGCCTCGTGCTGCAAGTTCTTCGGAGAGCTTGCTGTGTGCGGCTTCGAGTTCAGCGTGCTTGGACTTCAGCTCCTCTAACTCGGAGATCTGCGACTTCAGGATGGCGACCTCAGCAACGAATTCCTCAACCTTGGTCTTCTGAGCGTCTCGGTCCGCAGCTAGGGCATCAAGATCAGCCTTGGCGACAGTGTCCTGGCTCTGGCTCTTGAGCTCCTCAATTGTGGCAAGAGCATCGGCGAGTTCCTTCTCTGTGTTGCTCTTTGCAGCGGTAAGCTCGTCCAACTGCGCCTTGGCAGTAGAAAGCTCAGCCTCCTTAGCTTCAAGCTCAGCAGAGTTGTCAGCTGATTCAGTACCGGCTGCCTGATGGCTGTCGATGATGCCCTTGAGCTTCTCGATCTCATCCTTGTAGGATGCAATCTGGGCCTCAAGTTCGGAGACGGTGCCGCGAAGGCCTTCAGCCTCCTTTGTGATATCGGCAATCTTCTCGTTGAACTCAGCTTCGCACTCCTCGCGAACGGTGTTCCTCTCCTTGGCCTTGGCCTCGCGTACTTGTTGAACAACGACGCTGACCATGTGCTCCTCAAGATCCTTCTTGTCCTGCTGCAGCGACTGCTCGCGGGACTCGAACTCCTTGGTGCGCTCCTTGTGGTCCTCCTCAAGACTCCGCACATGCTCATCTTGGGTAGCAGCAACGCGCTGGGCTTCGTCAAGGTCGGCTTCGGCGTGGGCGAGCTTCTTCTTGAGCTTGGAAATTTGCGTCTCCAAGTCATCCGAGGCTAGTAGAGATGGGGGTGAAGGAGAGTCTGCCGCTAAGGAAGAAGAGTGAGTTAGTATTGCGTGGGATGGAGTGTAGTTCAATGGGGGAGAGACGCATGAAGCAAAAGAGGGTATTGGGGAGGGGTAAAGAAATCAGACGTACCGGCCTCGTCTTCGCTCAACCGTCTAGGCGGCTCGCGCGGGGTTTCAGGCGGGGTATCGACGCCATTGTCCTGCTGTCTTATCGACTCTGCCTTTGTGGGTGGTGTAGCATCGGTTGTGACCAACGGGCTTGTCGGCTCAGCCGGTGCAGGCAGTGGTGCAGCTCCACCGAAGAAGTAGTTGTACGCTCGCTTCATACTGCTGGTACGCTTGGGGAGCCCGGGTCGGCCTGAGCTGGTCGACTTGCGTCCTCGTCGCTCTTCTTGCTGACTTGCTTCGCCAGTTACGGTGACGGGTACGATGGTATCTCCGTTCCTTGCTCGCCTGTTGTCCTGGCTTCTAGGCGGTAGGAGCCGTCTGCTGAACTTTTGAGATCCCGACTGAATATCAGCGAGGATCTGCTTCTGCTCTTTTGAAGAGACTCTGCGGAAGAGGCGTTAGTTGATTGCTCTAGCAAAGGCTGATGACAGGCGTTAACTAAGGCAAGCTTGGCGAGTAGGTTGAGCCAAGGGCCAGTCGGTGGTGGACAAAAATATTGTTATAGGCTGGGGTATACAAGGCGGGGTCAGGCCAGGGAACTCCTTACCAAAAGCCAGAGTGAGATAAGGGTAGTATAGGGCGAGGGACAAAAGCTTGAAAGTGGCGTGGAGGGGAAGTGGGAGGGGGAGGGGGAAGAGAAAGTTGGTCGAGCAAAGGACATTAACGGGTAGCACTCACTCATAGCTTTCTTTCCTGCCCCAGCTCGGCATGATTCACGCTCTACAGCTGACTGCTATCAGTTGCAGTCAAGCGCCACTTAAAACCGCTTTTGCAATCCAATCAATCGAATGTCAAAGAAAATTTTGTTGCCTTTCTGAGTCTGGGCGGGCCGTCAAGTCTCCTCACCGCACGGAACGAATGGAGCTTTACTTATGTACGGCACAACAACAGGCTGGCTCATGCATGCAAGCCTGGTGGATTGTCGGGCGCTAAGGTTCCGCTACGAGGGATATAGGTTTTGTAGAGGCGGGAAGAGCCAGTCATATACTTAGCTACCACGTAGCACCTGTTGCATGGGCGAGGCTCAACAGGCATTAATGCAAGCACAACGCAGCTCGCGACAAAATCCCATGAGAGGCGGCCGAGGCCAAGCTCGCAAGCGGCTCCACTTTTCTTCTTACCGCCTCGCCGGGGTGGCTGTCCAGGACATGGACCACGACGACGACGAGGGAAAAAGCTGGTGAGGGCCCTGCCCACGCACCAAACACATTTGCCCATTATTTTTTGTCTGGGAGAGAGATGGAGTGTGTCTGATCAAGGGACAGCTTGCTCTCTTGTACTCGCCACCAGCGTGGAGCCCCAATGCTACCATCTTGACGGCTATCTCCGCCTGGCCAATCACAGCTAGGCACGTAGTACCACCATGTCGCGACTATGTACATGTGCTTTGGGATCACGGAACGGCGTGGAACGCGATGAGCAGCCATCAAACCATCACTCAAACCATGACAAGTGCGCATGTGAGCGATAAGCCAGCGCACCATCTCTTCTGTCAAGCAGTGACTCGGCATCATGCGAACACCAATTGCCTGCAGGAACAACGGCCTTTCTTTTGCAAAACATGTCGTCTCACCTCGTCGCAGGGCGATCACTCAAATGACAATTCATCAGGACACACGGTCCGCGCCTAGCACGCTGACACAGGAAGGTAGCTTTCTTGGCGCGCGACAAGGCTGTTCATCGTCGTCGTCGTCGTCATGTGCAGTCGATGTGGTCGATGCGTTGATGCGTTGTCGGGGATCCGCCGCCCGCTCAACTTTTTTCCACTCGCCAATCTCGCCGGGCGCATCAATGCCCGCCGTCCTACTTGCCTCACCATGTCATGCTCTCTAATTGCTGTTTATTGCACCCCTCTTAGCTCTGACGTGATGATCATTTGCCCTTTACCTTCATCTTGAGAAGCAAAAAGTCTTCACCGCAAAAACCCATGCACCCCAGAACCCAGCCCATTCGCCGCCTGCCCTGCATATCCGCACCCCACCCGTTGACACGGCCCAGACGCTAGCCAAATCAGTCCTCGCCCTCGCGCTCCACCGCTTCTTCGCATCAATCCATGTCCATCAACATGATCCAGTATACGAGCACACACTGCACAGACTGCAAAGCCTAACGCCCGCCTTGTTGACTCGACACCGCCAGTGAGGGGCTGCTCGGCATGTGAAAGTGAGGGCATCCGTCATCGGCACTTGCACACTTCAGTCACGCCTCACTGTTGCATTCATGTATGTCATCAAGCACACAATCACACAATACCACTATTGTAGCTCGTCATCGAGAACCTACCTCCACTTGTAGTTGTGCACCTCATCTTCACATCCATGACCGTGCTAGCAAGACATTCATGTCCATTGAGAAATACAAGGGCTATGTACAGCATGCGCTGAGCAAACACGTGGGGTGGAAAGAAGCAAACACCAACGCCCACCGCTAAACCAATACATACCACGCCAACGCAAAATCCTCTCAAACCGAATACTGACGCTGCATCTTTGCAGCACGGCTAGATCGCCCGCTTGATCTTTGGCTACTCGACTCAGTTGACTGCGTGATGCCATCTGCGGGAATCCATAGTGGAGTAGACTCGCTCGGCCGCTTAGAACCATATACGTAGACTGGTCAGTGCCCGGACGCACCCGCACCGCACGTGGCTTAAGTAACGACTGCACGTACAGAAGATACCCGACGAGCCAAGTGAGTGTCAAGCCTGTGCATGTGGCTGAAGATATCACTGGGGCGCTGGGCTCCCACATCTAGACGCTTCATCACGCCTTTTACGCACCGCCTCTCTTAGTGCCTCCCTGCTCCTTCTGAAATGGTCGCGTCCTAACCATGTTATATACATTAGCTTGATATCACAAACACATGATCCGGATCCTATTGCGGGGAACCAAACAGACCCCTGCGTATCCGATCGCTGATGCCATCATTACCCGACTCTGCGTTCGCGTTACCAGACGAATTGCCTTGATTGTCAGGCGGTGAATCTGGGTTAAACGAGCCAGGCATGTGGGACGTCCGATCCGCCTGTGGTTCGGCTGACGCAGGGTTGTTTGACTGGCCCTCGCCACCCTTGGTGATGCCCTTTCGACAATGCGGGCAGGTATCGTGCTCGCGTAGCCATGCCGAGATGCACGGGTGATGGAACCAGTGCTTGCAGGGCAGTAGCGTGACTTGCTCGCCGATGTTGACCTCATCCATGCATATACTGCATTCAGCCTTGTGCTCATCGCCTAGCATGTCCTCGGTGACTTCTTTACGGGGAAGGGCATCGATGTCGTTTTGAGTCGCCGGTCCCGGTGCGTTGCTGGTCGCCGTTTGTTCCATGAGCTGGGAAACGATGCGGTCGAGACCCTCCTGTGAGTAGACAAAGTCGCCCAAGTTGTTGCCAGCAGGGCCCATGATGCCCATAGTCGAGAATAGTTGTAAGATGGGGTTACCAGCAAATTGTTCGCCAGGGACGTGGTTGTGTTCGCCACCAAACATGCCCTGAGCACCGCCCTGGGGGTGGGGGTAGACATGAATGTGACCAGGTGGCGCACCGAACGCTGCCATTAGACCTGTCACGATGCTATTTGTGTGATTAGCCATTACCAATCCATATATAGAGCTTACTTTGCTTACTTTGTCATCTCGTCCACAGGCTCGGCCCGTCCAGCAGCGTTTCCATCCCTAGGAAAGATCCTAGCGCCACCACGATACGTGAATCTTCCTCCGTGAATCTGGGGTCCTCCTTGTGCGCCTTGATTTTGGGCTTCTTGAAATGCGGTTTGGTTGGGGTTCTCTCCAGTACCAGGAGGCGACCTCGAAAACGGCCCCTCGGTCTGACCTGCTTGACCTTGGGGTCGTAATGCCGCTCCAGTCAACCCGTTCAACATAGCCATGAAGCCGCCTATTGATCCCGGCGCAAGGCCACCCTGGGGAGATACAGAGCGGGTAACGGTGGCCTGTAGGTTGTACCTTCCGGGCGCCGTCTGGGTAAAGTGGATATTACTAATATCTCCCTCCTCAGGGTCATCGTTTTGCCATGGGTTGTGCTGATGTAGGTGGGGTAGCGCGTCCTCGAGATCAGGTAGAGAGTTGGTGTCGTCGCCGTCGTGACCAAACATGGTCGTGTCTCTCGGGTCGTTGTTATCTTCTATCTGCGCGGGATTAGCGGCGGTTGGTGCATGTCGGCTTCATCTCGTCTGTTGAGTCGGAAGCTGCATCTGGCGGCCGGAACTCACGATCTCTGTGAAGTCTGAGCCGCATTCTGGACACGAGAGGCCATGTTCGTCCCGATACCACTCGTCGTTGCATTCGTGGCAAAACATCATGTCGCGGTGACCTGACCGCTGGTTCTGCGACGGCGCATCCTGATTACTCGACTGGTCCATGATGGCCGACGTGGGGTGTATCGTGTATAGGATCTAGGATGGGATGGAGAGAGAGTGAAGGGAGCTAGGCCAAGTCAGTCAGAAAGGAAGCGACATTTGACCAATAGATAGACCTACCAAGCTGGTCGGGAGCAGGCGCGGACCTTGGGTGAGTTCAGAACCCTGTCATGCGCGGTTGTTTGCACCAGTGAGGGTGTGGCGACCTACAACTGTAGGCAGGTATGCGGCGGGGGAACAGAAGGTGCGCAGAAGCCGAGTGCGAGTATGTTGTGGATTGATTTCCAAGGCGCGAGTTGCGGCGGGATTTGGGCATTCGATGTGTGAGCTGTCAGAGCGGGAATGACGTTGTTGGTCAAGCAGGGTCCAGCGATTTGTCCCGCGATATCGTCAGATGGGTCGCAGCTGCATCAGCGCTTGCACTCTAGAGCGAATAATTGTGACAATAGGAGAGATGATGGAAGAGCGATGCGAGCAATATCTCTTTGTCTTCTTTTGTCAAAAGATACGGGTTGATTGTCTTACTCTGACTGCGTTTGTTCAGACGTCTATCGGCTTCTCTCAGCTTCTATCGGATTCTGGGCGAATCCACCAAATCTATCGCAGCAGCAAAAGATAGCATCGCACATAGCTGTGGACGGTCTAAGAGCACCACGTAACGTTTTAGGCACAGTCGCGAACTTCAGTAGGAGAGCCTTGTATGTACAGATATTCAAAATGCCATGACGTTGTACTAGCCTGGCCAAAGGTATAAACCCCACCAACGCCTGTGCATGTATTCACGTCGCAAAGTCTGTCTTGGCCGTCCTTCACCTGGCGCTGAAGCTGGCGACAATCGACTTTCCCATGGCCGTCATTGTTCAGTTCCTTCGCGGACCGCCTCTCAGCAGCAAGCTCCCCACCACCCCCGCCGCTACCACGATGCCTCCCACAATCGCAGCGCCTACCAGTCCCTCCTTCGCAACCTTTTCGTCGATCAGGCTCTTCAAACTTCCGGCTTGCAGATTTGCGGGCTCCAGCTCTAGCAGAAGCTCATTATACCGTCGGGCTTCTGCGTAGTTGCCGAGCTTGTAGTTGCCGAGGGCGAGGTAGTAAAGACATTCGCGCCGACGCTCCCGCGAGTTGCGAAAGATCTCGGAGAGCAAGCGCACACCCTCTTGTTGGTCGGGACGGGACGTGGATTTGATAAGACCCTAGAATGATGCCATGAGCTTTGTCGTTGCGGCTGGAGGCGTGCGCATGCAAATTCAAGACTGCACCCGGGCGCCATACAATACATACTGGGACAGTGTGGATAAGCACCCAATAGATGTGTTTGGTGACTACAGTGGCTTTTTTACATTGGTATGTCCAGTATTATATGACACCGCGGGTGACGAGAAGCGGGGAAGTCGTACGTACCCATGCATAGTTGAACTTTGTCTGCAGACCAACATATTCACCCTCTTTCTCGTACTGCGCTCGCAGAACTTGCAGCTCCTCTGGCTTGAGCGGCGACTCTACGTCGGCGGCATCTAATGGGAATGAGCGTTCGTCGGCCCAAAAAAATCGGTATCCCACTCACATGGTAATGACGGCGGCATGGCTCGTTATGATGCGCAAGAAGAGCAGAAAATTATGTGCAATGTAGGCGGCTATCGCTATCCTCGGGAAGACTGAGTTGCAGGTGTCGGGCGTTAATACAGGCTGTCTCGTGAACCGTCGGTGACGTACGCCTTGCGGCTGCATGGACCTGGCGCGCCTTCCGCCACTTCGTTCGTGGTTGCCATGCACGCGACGTCAGCACAGACCATGCAAACAAGACCATCAACACCACACCGTCTCATATACACGCAAACACCACCACTCAGATAGACAGAGTTGCGCATACATCGCATACCAGTTTGAACAGAACCAGCGTCTCAACCATTCTCAAAAAACACACAATACTCTACCAAAATGCTTCTCGACGAAGATCCGGCTGCCGTATGCTCCCATCTCCAAACCCCCTGGAACCAACCATCGCTAACACGTTCCAGCTCATTGCGCAATGCACCTCACACTTTAAGATTGCAAACGACAAGACGTCACTTCATCGCATCAATGAATCGCTTAGCACACTCAGCGAATTCCGCACACAACACCTACGGTCCATTCAATCCTCCCTCAGCGCACTAAACCGGACACATCAAACCCTTTCGGCGAACCACAACCACACCTTATCACAACACAATCCAACCAACCATGCAGCAGAAATCTTGAGGTTAGATACCGAAAAGTTCAAGATTGCGAAACAAGCAAGCGATTTGGAGATTGAGGGCGAGAGGTTGCAAAGTGATTTGGCAAGGCTTGGGAACGTGGCTAGCGAGTTGGAAGAGGAAGGTGTGGAAGGCGGCGTTGAACCTAGGGCGGGCGAGGATGCTACTGTGTAAGTGAATCCCTCCACCAGTCCACCATGGGATGTGATGGTGGTAGATGACGCTCGCTAACAATATCCTAGTCTAAAACTGAAGCTTTACCGCACTCTTGGCATCGACGTCGAAGCCGACCCTACGACTGGCGAGTACAATAAGGCCGTCATCCGAAACGCAGCAAAGGGCGACGTGCACGTTGTAAACATCGACCCCAAGTTCTCACGTCACTTTTACACAAACTACTTTTGGCGGACCATGTGAGCCGAATGTGATATACTATACGGTTGTATATTTGAGATGGCGCAGAACAGTTTCATGTATTGTACGTGGCGAAGGCGTTCTATTGATCTGGGTGGTCGTTACGTCGTGGCAGCAGGCGTTTGGTTATGACCCGTTTTCAAGATACCTATGAATTTGTGGCGTTGGGTATGCAATGTCAAGCTACGGTCAGAGTATATACCTTGACGTATGTCTTGTCGTACTCGATTATGAATAAGAAGCGCACTATCTGTCTTATGATGTCTTGTAGGTTGGCATGTTCAATGCGTTTTGTATACACTGGGTCTAGCGCGAAAAGCCACGAGTTTCTTGGTAAGCGGGGTGGCTGCCTAATCCATACATAAGGCTGTGGTGCGCTGTTTCCTACCATCTATTCACATGCACCCTTTCTTTCTATGGGCTATCGTCACGAATCTCGTGCGGCTCTTGTATCTGGCTCAACACACTGGCCAGTTCTGCGCCGTGCATCGCTCCAAAAGTTGACCCAACCACACTCCATTGCTCAAGAGACATTCCCCGTTCAGCCTCGGACATGGAACCGAGTTCAGTATGAATACCCAGCTCTCCTCTATCAAGGCTAAGGAAAGGCGTCGTCAAGGCGACCTTTGCCACCGTTGTTCCGTTGTTGATTGGCCGCGACTTATTTGGGAAGATCATTCGCTCTGTGGTGGTGCCAAACCCCATTTGTTCAGGATCCCTGAATCTACCAAGGAACTGTTGGAATCAGATTGTCCAATGTGTCCAATGTGGGCATGTGAGGACAGTATCGATAGAGATATCACCTCCGATGATAAAGACTCTCTAAGAGAGCTCATAGTGGGATGTACCTGTCGCCTTGCCGAACGTCCAACAGCATCGACTGATTCGTTCAACAGTGAGAAATATCCCCTGAATGCGGGTATACGGCATATACCACTTGTTCGTATGTGCACGTACTTCGGTGGCATAAGACATGAAGATATTTGGAGCATATCAAAACTTCACGACACTTCCAGCACTCCAGCAACCCGTATTGTTGACCCCAATATCATTGACTATGAAGCTGTTTTAAACTGGTTGGAAAGTTGCAAATCTCATCATTCACATTCCTGTCATGCTGTCCTGCGACAGACTATCCCCGGTTTCAAGGTCATCGACTGTGAAACTTTGCAGGTCATATCCGCACCACAGGACTCTGACTTCACATACGTTACCCTGTCATATGTATGGGGCAGTACCAGGGATCCAAAAGAAAACTTTGATCACTTCCCGCCAACTATCCGAGATGCCATCACAGTCACTTCAAATATCGGCCATCGATATCTCTGGGTCGATCAAGTGGTATGTTGCGTGGAACTGTGTTTAGTGTTCTTCGGCTAACCGTTTTTTGTAGTGTATCAACCAGAATGACTTAGCTGAAAAGCAAGATCAAATTCGAGCAATGGACTACATCTACTCGCAATCCCAATTAGTCATCATTGCTGCTGCTGGTGACTCGGTCTACCATGGATTACCGGGCGTCAGTAACACACCCGAACACCGCAGCACAGGTGTAAACTAGATAAGGATACAGAATTTACTGAAATATTCAGCCCTCTGTACGAAGTCAAACAAAGCGCATGGGCTAAAAGAGCGTGGACATACCAAGAAGGCTTTCTTGCAGCCCGAAGGCTAGTTCTCAACGAAAAAGCAGTATTCTATGTATGTGACCAGATGGTATGTTTAGAATCGTTTAAAATCCCACTAGAGCGACCGACGCACCACTGTGGAAATGCGTGGTGGATAGAGGGTCTTGATGACTATTTCTTTCAGAACGACTCACTCGCATTTACTGAAAGCTCCAATCGAATTTTCAGTATTCTGGCCAATTACACAAACAGAGCCCTTTCATTTGAAACTGATGTCCTCAACGCATGCACTGGAATGCTCAACAGACTATTTCGCTTTCACTATTGGGGCATGCCTATTTTGCGAGACCCAGAGACTCCAATTACTTACATGCCCTTGCTTTGGACAGCAGTCAAGGGCCACCGGAAAAGAAGAGACGGATTTCCCAGTTGGTCATGGACTTCGGCTACGTGTCAAGCATATTTCCTAGCCGGTGTGTACGGAGTAGAGCGAAATTACACTGTGCATGTCCGCCTGGACAATGGGAGCTGGGAACAGGTAGATAAACTCACCGGAAATTCCCACTTTCTTTCCACCGCCAGGATCGGATCGACATTGCGAATTACTGGCACATTTCAAAAGCTGTACTTGGTTCCAGGTAAAATTGCCTGGATCCATTTTTGCAACAACGGGAGGTTCGAGTGCGATTTTACCAATGACGCTGAGTTGTCAGACAAAGACAAGCAGGATGACATCAAGGCCTTGTACATGGCTGACCATTCGCCCTGCGTCCCATCCGGGTTTAGACCTTACCGGTTTTTGGTATTTCAAAAAGTGGGACGTCATCACAAGAGAATTGGAATAGCAGAAGTCAATTTCCCGCTTGGTATAAATGAGTTCCCTCCGACATTGAGCAGCGTTGAGGAGACCATTGAAATTATATAATGATTTCAGGGATCGAGTATGAGAGGTCCTCAAGCGTGGAATCTCTGAAATGACTCATCTCAGCATCCTGTCCCCCAACGTATGATCTTGAAGAGACACCACACCGGGTCTTGACTGGATCGCTGTACCAATCGCCAAGTGGGGCCAAGAGTAGATCCCACTCTTAGCCAAACTAGTTCTTGAGGAAATGCTGTAAGACGCAATGTGGGGCAGAGCAACCATGTCGGTGGATGCATTGTACACCATACGATCGCTTTCCGCCGGCTAGATTCTCAGTATACACTCCGGCCTCTTACACGTTCTTCTTGTGCAGATGTCATACAGACGCCACAGCCGCGCATATCATGGGATTTCAATCATAACTGCCGTCTCACGGCAGCCGGTTTCAAGGCGAAGCGATATTGGTGTAAGCCGGTATCTGAATTACGACGACATACAAAACAGCCGAACCGCATCACCTAAAGTCACGCGCGTCCCCAGCCTCCGCATGGGCACCAACAAACGGCAATAATCCAGGTCACGCACTGTTCCGCACGCACGAGAGATGTTGAATATAATTGGTGCCTTACTTTGTGTAGCTGTATAACCTATTACACATTTTAGTGTCGGAGACCTGACGGGTGACCTCGATATCAAGGGTTGCCCATGCCGAGAACTTCACATTCCCATCACCCCTCGTGGTTTTCCGGTGCAAACAAAGGAAATGCCGGGGTGAAATATGGACCAGCTACGCCCCTTTCCCCTTGGTGTTGCTACGCACGGGCCATAATCAGACAGTCTCACCCACGCTTCTGTTCATTACGGATGCAGCGGGTGTAGATCCTCTTCTCGTATTTAAGCTTGTCCACGAACACGGTTGGCTTATGATGATGACCACCGCTGCACGTTGCGGCTCGTTCTGACCCCCCTTCGGCTCTAATAGAAAAGGGCTCTTCCTAACACCAGAAGAGGGTTCGTCGCCGAACTTAAAGGTCCTACCCCAGCTTTTTCTATATCGACCCTTTGTCCTTCCTTTTTGTACCGACCAACTCAACCAACCAAAGAATCCTGTTCTCTCGGAACAAGTGTCTTTTGTCTTAAAAGCACCCTTGATCGCATATTTCACTCATTTACATTATGCGTTTCGAAATCCCAACTATCGTCGCTCTCTTGAGCAGTTTCGCGTCTGCTGTATCCGTTTGCAGACCACACTCGAAGCTGAACCCTTTCAACGACAGTCGTGGCTGCACGATTTTCAAGGACCAAACCTGCGGTTCAGACCCTGGCTTCGCTATTCCTGGTGACAGCGGCTACTGCGCGGACCTGAATAACCTCTTTGCCGACTACGATGGCAAGGTGCGCAGCTTCCGCGTAGAGAAGGGATACCAGTGCGAGTTCTACTTGTAAGTTTATCCTTACTTTCTATAGAGGATGATTCCGCTCCCCCGACCGGGTTCGGTTTTGTTTGTTTACACGCGTCGCTGACAGTTTTGGTGTTAGGGATATCGGCTGCCCGGCTTACAAAAGTCACATTTCATACGGCAGCCTTACTGAAAGCGTCAACGTCCCAACGCTCAACAGCACCTACGATCGGAAAATCCGCAGCATTTACTGCTGTAACCTTAACTAGCGATTTTTGTTCGGTACGTATAGACAATGCGGCAGTCAAGTTTCTTCGGGTCGTTTGCGGCGAGACGGCGCGGCGACATTTCGCATTCAATCTGCCGGCGGCTTGTACGCACACGGTCTGTCTGCCTGTCTTTGTGCATAAGATGAAACTTGCCTTCGCATTCGTACAACGCATTTAGCTAACGATGTTTGGACAGTGAGTACGCATACTCTCGAGCTAAGCTAGACGGTAAAGAATGCACGGCACGACAACTTGTCGCTTGCTCACCTGCCGGGTCAGGGTGATGGGTACCACGTGTAGCTGCCAAGCGCTGGATTTGGAGGTAGCTACTCGCTTTGATCTGGAGGCGACGTGGAATGGCATTGTGGACTGAGTAAGAAGACGTACATGGGCTAGGACCAGTCTCCAGCATCCTTGATTCACCACTGGGGAAAGTAATTTTAACTTCTAATTCACGGGGGACAACACATACCTAACTTATTTTTCATTCTGATATTGATGTATATATGTATACTTTGCATGTATACTTTGCAAGAAGCCCTTTTCTGGTTCTTATCTGGGCATAGCGCTTGAGTTCGCGATGTGGTCGCAAATGACTTGGGCGCCAGGTCGCGCCATTGACGCTGCAACGAGAACGTAGTGGCTGGCATATAGTAAACTTCGGAGATAGACATCACTCTAAACTATGACTATCTCTCTATCATTTACCGCTTGTTGATATCTCGTCAAAGCGCTAGTGATTATGCAATGCAATAGCATGCACATTCCACCCCTAAGTCCTAACAGCAGGCTTACCTGCCTTTTGGAATAACTCCGGGTGGTCAATTGCATACTGCGCACCCGCTGCCCAATGATATAATTTGGCCGCAATAACATAACCTTCCTTGGCAAACTCTTCCAGCCTAGTATAAAGCTCAGCAATTGGGATATTGACCCTCTGAATGTCCTCGCCCTCGTCCAAATGCTGCTCCGGCTCTGGATCTCCCTCGTTCAAATGAATCTCCACCATGCAGAGACAAAGATTCGCCGACGTCATGCCCGGGTCCGCAGCTACGGGAGGCGAAGTGGAAATTACTTTGCCCTTGTAGCCTGTTTCCTCGTAGAGTTCGCGGACAGCGGCTTCTTCAGGCTTCTCATCTGCGTCGATAAGACCAGCGGGCCACTCAACGGTAAAGCCACCAACCGGCGGCCTGAATTGAATGACTACAATCGTCGAGGGGGCTTTGGTGGGGTGATAGATGATATTTCCCATTGCGACCGCGTCGACGCCAGCAGAGCCCGTGGTTTTGCGTGAGGCTATCTCCCAGACGCGCTCTTTGCCTTTGGCGTCGACATAGGTCGCCTTTTGCAGCTTCACCCATTTGGCGTCCGAGGAGGGGAGATCCACGAGGGAGGTGACTTTGGGGGTTCCGGAGTTTGAGGCCATTGTGACTTTGTTGACGCGCTCGACAAGTGGAGAGGCGAGAATGCGGGATGTGGCGTGGAAATATCTTTTTGGTAGTAGATAGGTAGTAGCGTGTGATGTTGCTCGTCGACTGCAAAGGGCCGTAAACATTGGCTTTGAGCGATGTCGGAGGGGTGTTGATGACGTTATCGAGCCAATTGGTATCGTAGTGGGGATCTCAGCGAACACGCAAAGTCGCAGCAGCAAAGACCTGAGTCTATGTCTCTTGCAAGTCACTAAATCTGCTCGCAATATCTGCGTGTCAGAATAGACGTTGGCAGCCTTAAGAAACCAATTAAGGTATCAAGTCCACCCCCACTTCGCTAGCGTCAGGAACAGCGGCTCAACCTAACGTCATCCATATCGCGTCTCAAGTCACTGATAAGCATCAATCATCAACTTCAGCATTGCGCCTGTCCCATTATTGCTATTATCCCCTGTCCTTTCCACATTGTCAATGCTTTCTCGTTCTTCTGTCTTACAGCGGAGTCTTCCTCTCAAACCATGTTTTCATTACGCGCCACACGTCTCACCCCATCACGACGTGCACCAAGCCTCATCCGACACTTCTCATCCAGCACCCCCCTAAATGCAGATTTCACACACGCTATTATAGGCGGCGGCGTAGTTGGTCTAGCAATAGCCAGAAAACTGCAACAACGACCCAATGTCTCCACCCTCCTCATTGAAAAGCACGGCTCCGTAGGCACAGAAACCAGTTCGCGCAACAGCGAAGTCATCCACGCTGGGCTCTACTACGGTCCCACGTCTCTAAAAACAAAGCTGTGTTTGCGCGGGAAAGAAATGCTCTACGACCTCTGCAAAACACACAGCATCCCATATCGCAACACCGGAAAATGGATCGTCGCACAAGACGCTGAACAAATGTCTGCGTTGCAAAAAGTCCACGACTTCGCCAAAAGCATTGGCGTCCCCATCTACTTCCTCACCAAAGAAGAAGCAAAGCGCCGCGAACCAGATGTCCGCGCCGAAGCTGGCGTGCTCGAGAGCCCAACAACCGGCATCGTAGATTCGCACAGCCTGATGCAATACCTACAAGGCGACTTTGAAGACAGCGGTGGTATATGCGCCTTCAAGTCACCCGTAGTGTCCATCACACCACTAGATTCTGGCAAAGGTGGCTGGCAGATCACGACAAAAGACCCTACCACGGCAGAAGAAACCACAATAACATGCGAAACACTGATAAATTCCGCCGGCCTCTTCGCAGTCCCCATCTCAAACATGATCCTCCCTGAGCATCGCCAACGGAAACCGTACTACGCAAAGGGAAGTTACTTCTCCTACAGCGTCTCGCGTCCCAGACCAAAAACTCTCGTTTACCCGGCTCCTGTACCCGGTCATGGCGGTTTGGGAACCCATCTCACGCTGGATATGGGTGGCAGAATACGGTTCGGGCCGGATGTGGAGTGGACCGATAGTCCGACGGATTATATACCGAACACGAAGAGCATCAAACAGGCCATTGATGACATTCAAACCTACCTGCCGGGCGTAAATAGAGATGCTATCCAGCCGGATTACGTGGGAATACGACCAAAGCTCGGCAAGTTGGCGGCGACCAGTGGGAAGGATTTTCAGGACTTCTATATAAACAAAGAGGAAGGATACGAAGGGTTTGTCAATTTGTTGGCAATTGAAAGTCCTGGGTTGACGAGTTCGCTGGCCATTGCAGAGGAGGTCGAAGAGCTGCTGTATCGGTAAGACCAAGGTACGTAATCGTATAGACATGTAATATTTTACAAACATTAATAACACATATGTTTGGAGCACAACAAGATGACAGCAGTGGCAATAATACCAATCAATTCTCGCCTCTCGAAAGAGAGTAATTTCTAGACATTAAGCAAAGGGGTGATCTGGGTACTCCACCACATAGCTCCCACAAATATATACCGCGAGGTACTTTTTGAGAGCGTAAACCAGTCATCATCTAGAGTCACATCATGCACCCAAACCCCGCATTTTCCATCCGCCCGACCGGTCATGTAGTGCTAAGTATATGTACAAACAAGGAAAGGTGCGGTTACACTCGAGGGTGCTCACTAAAACGCCGATAAAAATCCAATGCGCATTTGTTGCTGTTAATGATAGCGTATGCTGTGTACCATCGGTGCGATCCTTTTGGAATTGGAGACAAAAATGAGATTAAAGCGCTAAATGACAGAACAACGATTGCACCTATTTGCTAGGCTTCTGCTTGCTAAGACGCTTTCGCTTCTTCGAGTCTGATGAATCGCTGCGCTCGTGTTGTGGTGCAGCAGTTTGGCCGAGTGGCGCGGGTGATGCTTCGCGCATAAGGCTGCTTTGTTGAGGAGCCTGGAGTTCAATGTTTTCACCCGGTGCTGTGCGGATATAGCTCTGACGAGCAAGAGGGCTACGACCCTGGCGCATGTCTGAACTGTTTGTCCTGTTGTACGACGGCTTTGGCGACTCAAGTCCGCTAGTCTTAGGCTCAGCGGAGAGAGGCGATGTGCGAGACGGTTGATGAACACCGTAGGGGTTATCGTTGTTCATACGCATTTGTGCAGGTCCTTTCGAGCCCTTCACCTGGTATACTGAGTCATCGTCGATAGAATCAATAGACTCGCTGTAGTTGCCCTTGCTAGCGCCAACGCCGACATCGTATTGTCCCTGTCGTGCCTCTTCGAAGAAGGCTCCACCAGCAGGCTTTTGCGTTTGCTGAGTCTTGTGGTAGATGCGGGCGTCCTCGGGGTCCATTGAAGCTCTCGACACGGCGGGGCATGTAGATGGAGTTGTTGGCAGAGGTGTCGTGAGATGCGAAAGAGTCCATGGAAGTACGCGGGTGCAGGGGAACGTTGGGGACGTTGGGGTTGCGGGGCAGAGTGTTGGGAAGAGTGAGACCAGAGTCGTTGGCTTGCTGGTACCATCCGTTCGGCAGACGTTCTGCAGCGGCGAAGCGGCCTTCGATGTTGTCTGATGGCTGGAGGGGAATGGCTCCTGGACGGTGCTTGTGCGCTTCGGCAGAAGCCTTGAAGGTCTCGGGAACGACGTTCAAATCATCACCAGTGGCTTCGGCAGCTTCGATAGCCTCCTGAGGACTAGTCTGGGTATCGGCGCTACCAGCATCGGCACGAGGTCCTCCCCATGTACGCTGACCAGCGGTGAAGATACCGTAAACCATGTAGACCCAGTTGAAGAAAGGGTTGACAATGAACATGAGAGGGTAGAGCATGATCTTGTAGCGACCGAGCTTGGCACCGAAGTACAGCATGAGAAGCCAGTTGAGTCCGAGCGAGATGGCGATGAAACCGACAGGAAGATTGGCGACCTTTTGGGAGGTAGTGATCAAAGAGATACACAGAATGAAGAAGAGCAGCGCGGTTGTTCGGATGGTGTTTTGCATGAAACGGACAACGAGAAGGATCGGGTAGCGCTTCCACAGACGGATGTCAGTCAACATGCAAACTTCGTTAGTGATAAAACCCAAGAACCAGCGGCGACGTTGCTTGAGCAGAGATTGATAGGTCTGCACGGCTTCGGTCTTGCAGAAAGCGCCGGTGTTCATTTGGATTTGGTATCGCTCCTTTGCGCCAATCATGAACAAATGAGTGAGCCAGCGGTCCTCGCCCAGATGGCACTTGCCGTAGTCGAAGAGGTCGTCGCATTGCTCAGCCTTGTCGGCAAAGTAATACTTGGCCATTTTGCGGAAAGCAGAGAATCGCAACATAGTGAGAGCACCGGGCAAGCAAGTGACGGCACCGCAGCCGGATTCGACCGAACGCTCGAACAATTGACCGTGGACGTACTCCATATCCTGAAGAAGTGTGATGAGCGAGTTCTTTTCGGTGGTAGATGTGATGACACCAGTCTGAGCCAACATGTTCTTCTTGCTGCCGGGCTTGAGTTCCATCTCGTACATGAAGTTTTGGATGCAGGTCTTGTCGAGAATGCAGTCGGAGTCGATGAAGAGAACGAAAAGGTTGTCGTTCCGCTTGAGGTACTCGCTGTAGATCTTGTCGATGAGCTTGAAGGTTCTCTTCTGGCAGTGACGCTTGCCACCGTGGGGAAAACGAGAGATGGTGATACGGCAGCTACGGTAGATGACATCGATGGATTTGGGGTACGAGTCGAGCGTGAGAGGTACACCGAGCTTCTCAATGGTGTTCAGGTACAGCTCGTCCTCTTGGTCTCCATCGAATGAGAGGAAGATGTGTAGGCAAGAAGGCGGGTATTCACAGTCGACCAGGGAGTCGCAGGTTCGTAGCAGAATCTCGGGGATTTCCTTGTAGCAAGGCATGATGATGACGACCTTGGGTGCAGATGACTCATCGAGAACGGACTTGATCCTGCGAGTACGCCCGACAGAGTGAGTGACAAGCTGGTAGACACAGAATAGCCATGGCACCGTCAACAGACCAGCGAAGGACCAGAAGGCAAACCATTGGAGGAAATCAACCATTTCCTGAGGGAAGTACTTTGTGACTTGAGAAGGTAGGGGCAAAGTGACGACCATGATTGGCAAGAAAATGGCACTGTTGCTGTTAGTCGATTTCTAGACTCGATGATGGTTACACTTGCCGGAGGAGGAAGAACATGACGCCAAAGAAGATGGACAAGATGCGTACGCTGATTGTCTCGGCCTTTTGGAAGACCTTGACGATGCAGTACAAAAATGCAGCAACCCATAGAAACCATTCGAGCAGAGCGGCCAACATGAGACCGCCAATAATGGCGACATAGACAATCTACTACAGTCAGTTTCCAAGCAAACATTCCAGTCACTGGCAGTACTCACATCCTTGACCGGCCAAGGATCGGTGATATCAGGAATAGAGCCATCTTCGGCAGCTCGGGCGACGAGGCCCATCATCTCCTGCCACACCATGGCGAATTATTAGGGACGTATGTATATCGTGATTGTCGTCAAGCGGGGTAGCGAGGGATGCAGCCTCGGTTTCCAAACAGTTGTCGGCCGTATATGACAGGCGATGAGAGTCAATGACGCAAGACTCTCGGTGAGGAGCTGGTTCACAGCAGCTGCGTTGGCCGTCGATGAGGCGGGTAAGGTATGCGCCAGGCGACGGAGAGCGGCGTGGGTAGCACAGGACACGCTCGCAATGCAACGGTCGCACGAGGCTAGATAATTGACGTAGAAAGCGGGGAGGGGGGTTAAGTGAATCCAGATATGACGCAAAAACTACTAGGAGCGACGGTGCTGAGTGTTTGGCGGTAGTAGTAGTAGTGCTAGTATAGCGCTTGGCGTGTCTTGTCGAGGTGCGGATAAACGAGTGTACAGGTGAGAAGCAAGCAAAAACGAGTGGTGAGCAAGATACTGCACGCAAGGGCAGTCCTGTGAGGTTTGAGAGAAGCGCCTTGAGGAAAGAATGTACAAGGCGAGGGGAGCGAGGGTGTTTACAGGCACGAAAAGCGGGAGCGCTTTGGCCATATCGCCTTCACCTGAGCCATGCTGGCTAGACTGGGCAGGAGTGGAGATGCACGATCGGCGCAGGGGCCGTCGCCTACTTCTGGTAAACAGCCGGCGCTTTGGAGTCGAAAGAGAGTCTGTTGCAGGGCTTTGCCTTGTCTGAGTGGTCCCGACTCGGACTAAACGCGCTCTGGCTGCAGCATGCCTGCAGACTGATAGTTTATTTTGGGCGCCCCCATGCGCCGTCTGCCGTTAGGTGTCTGAAGCATGCAGGCTCCGCACTCGGTTTTGTTTCGCCAGCATTTCATCACAGGCCTAAGCCGGTTTCCCAGGGGCCCGAGTGTTTGAGGCGCTACCATAGCATTGCAGGTCGTGGTATCGTTGACGTCGCGATATATCATTTTCACCAGTCTCGAAAGACGGGAAAAAATCAGTCATGAGAGGTGGATCAGATTTTTGGGCCTGCATGAAAAAGGCACATGGCGACTGGCACTGACTGGAAACGAGCGCTCAATGCCGGTGGTTACCTTTCATTGCCAAGCTATATTTTAGCTTCGCTAAGACGCCGGCTAGTCGGAGCCTGCCAGCACCCACAGTCCCTAACGCCTTCTCTAAGCCAATAATGGCAGCACCCACTTAAGCCTGTCTCGTAATCCATTGCCCGTGGACCCCCAAGCTTTACGGCACGGTCAGTGGTCGTGCTGTCAGGCTGAGTTGTGGCGGCTGTCGGGAGAGGGGAAGGATTCCACCCCTATCCCTGAGCGCAAAAAAAAAACACGAGCTTGTTGCGGAGTTATACTAGAGGCCCGCACGGAAAAAAGCAGAATACGAGGCCGCCCCAACAGCCATTTGGACGGTTGGGAATGGGCATGCCAAAAGGAATGTGCCGTATCCGCCTGTACCGAACATTAGTCAAGTTTTCATATCATTCTCGTCCAGCCCACGCTCGTCGTCATGTCGCATGTAGAAGCGTTGACGAGACCATCGAATCAACTTGGCCAGCCCAACTCGGCCGCAATCGATAACTAATGCTGGGCAGTTCCACACTCTTGGACCTGTGTTTGCTGGCCCGTTGCCGCGACAAGATCAATCTGCAATCTTGCTGTTGGCGCTCGATCCTCAGCCGATTGCTTTACCTGCTGCTTTTGCTGTAGGGCTAGCTCAGAATAGCGTTGAAGATTACATAGTCGCGCGTCTTGGCATGCTCGTTTCAGCAGTACTTTCGGACCCATGCTTCTCGTATAGGCTAATCTTACATGCCCTTGGTACTAAATGAGTCGCCCGCTAGTAGATGAATGTCTACCTGCCGACTCTCGGTGGAAAGAGTCGCAGATGCCGTGGTGCAACCTCAGGCTCCTTTGGACCCCTGAAATCCAACAATGGCGGTAGCATACCTCTGCGACGCTGCATCTGTCCAAAGCTAATGCTAATCTACCTAGCCCTAAGCGCCATGGCAGTCTTCAGGGGCCGAGTGTTGAGTTTAATGCTAGTTCAGCGACTTTGCTCCGCATTGCCCGAAGCTTCCACTCCCTTCCTGACCGCCACAAAGTCGGGGAGAAGTTTAACATGACCAGTGCAACTTGGGCTTGTGAGAAAAGGCTGCTTGGCCACGGGTGAAGCGGTCGACTGTATTGGATACTCTGATTCTACCCCTGGAGAGGCGTCAACACATGTGGTGGGCTGGAGTCATATGTGCAACGCCGGCTACCTACTTTTGTCCAACGGCGACATGTGCGTCACCATTAACCTCACCCACCACATTGGTTCTACCATGCTCGCGGGAAGCGAGAGCTGAGAGTGTGAACAAGTCCACGACAAGCCAATAATATTGCCAACGCTGCTACCAAGACAGCGCTTGCGTGTATACATAATGATAATGCCCGTGATTGCCATGGCAGAGGTGCCGAGTAACGTGACCTATACGGACATGCCAAGGACGGGCACCCGTGGTGTTGCGGGATGCCGGCTTAGTCATGCACCGCCAACTGCGGGACATGGCCTGGCGCACAGACACCTGGATGAGTGAGGGAAGTCGGGGCTGCAGGTACAATTCACAAAGCAAGCAGTAAAATCTTAGTCCTCGGACGTCGCCGCCGCCGCATTGCTAGACTCGCAAACACTCTCGCTCTTCCAGGAGCGAGCCCGACCGAGCCCGAACAAATGCTAGCAGCAACTGCGCCTGACATATTTCCCAGTTTCCATGTGCGTGTATCGTAACCGACCATCCTCCGCCGCCCCTCGACAGCTGCGGCATCGCCTACTCCACCATGGAGAGGCAAAGGAAGCGTACGTGTACAAGTTCTGTGTCACTGCGCAATGCTAACGGGTTGCAGGAACGCTTCGCGCACTTAATATTCGCGCCTGGGATGGCGACCAAGGTACATATAGACAAGACGTAGTCCCGACTGCACCTCCAATGCTGACTGTGCACAGATGTCTTCGCCGTGCAAGGCTCCCTCGACTCGTCCATGAAAAAGAACACTGCCTTCATCAAGCGCCTACGAACCGCCGTAAACGCGTCCGCCCAAGCCCAATTCCTCCAAGAAATCCGTACCCTGTCCCTCCACAAATACCTCTCCGAAATCATCTCCGCCTGCTACGAAGGCCTGTGTAAACTCAAGACACCCGGCGAAATTGCTGCTGGCGTGGAAATTGTCAGCGCCCTCCACCAGCGCTTTGGCCCCGCAGACTTCACCGGCTACATTGGCTGGTACATTGGGCGGGGACTGGCGACACCGGACAAATCACACCTGAAGACGCTCCCACAGGATGTGCGCGAGCGAGAAGAGAAGGACCGTCTGGCTCGTCAGCGCGTACTTTTACGTGTCGCCACTGAACTCTGGCTTGTCGGTGTTCTGCGCAGTTTGGATGACGTAGCCCGGCCTGAAGAGGCAAGCAAGACCAAAGACAATGGCAAACTCATCGAAGGCTCTGCAAAGGCAAAGTCACGGGCAGAGAATGCCGACGCCGAGCCTTTTCCTCTCGAAGTGCTCAAGGACATGCTTGGACACGACCGTGAGCATATTAACCTGCCGCTGGTCGTCATCTTCGTCAAGGCCTTTTCCTGGGACATACTGGGCACCAAGCCGGCGTCTGCAGAAGGCCGTAAGACAGTAAACGACGACGGCAGTACCGTGGCAGAGAAGAATGGAGAGTCGTCGAGCGCGGAAGACGAGGAAGAAGCCAGCAGAGATCCGCCCATCATCTCGCCAGATTTGCAACAGCGATTCAAGAACATCCTCAATCGTTATTTCGAAGACGTCAAGACCCACCTCCTCCGCGATCAGAAACACATACTCAGCCAAGGGCGCAAGAATGCCGAAGCATACGTGAAATCCGGGGAGGTCTTCGAAGACCGTCAGTCCAACTACGAGAAGCAGATGAAGTCTCAGGAGCGACTGGTGTCGAATGCCCAAGTCTTGGCCGATGCACTGGGTGCTGAGATGCCAGACTTGAAAGAGAAGGATAGCTCTGCAAACACGGGGGACGGTTCTATAGGCCTGATCAAGACGGGCGAATACTTACGCGGCCAAAGTGACGGTGCGGGCATCTGGGAAGATGAGGAGGAGCGCCGCTTCTACGAGAATCTGATTGACCTGAAGGACCGTGTTCCGGGTATCCTGTTAGAGGAGGTAAAGAAGAAGAAGACCGACAGCGATGAACAGGTTGGCAAGAAGATGGAAGCAAAGCCCGACACTGTTGACAAGGAAGTAGCCGAGACTACTGCGGATAACAAGGCAGCCGAGGGCGAAGACCAGTCTACTGCCATCGCCAACAAGTCCGTCGGAGCTCAGGTAGATGCCCTTCTGGCGCGCCTGCCAGAACTCGCGACAAAAGATGCCGTCGACCAAACCGCCATGGACTTCTGCTTTTTGAACTCAAAGGCCTCTCGAAACCGTCTCATAAAAGCTATACAGGAGATCCCCAAAGGCCGCTCCGACTTGCTACCTCTATATTCGAGGCTCATTGCAACGCTCGGGAAATACATGTCTGACGTTTCGCAAGGCTTGGTTTCTTACCTTGATGAGGAGTTCCGAAGTTTGCAGCGACGAAAGTCAAAGGACTTTCTGGGACAAGTACGAACGCAGAATGTGCGTTATCTTGCGGAATTGACAAAGTTCGGCGTTGTTCCTGAGCACGTCATCTTCCATTGCCTCAAAGTCAGCTTGGACGACTTTTCGCGAATGAATATCGAGATCATCTGCAATCTGCTGGAAAACTGTGGGCGATACCTGCTTCGCAACCCAGAGACATCGCCCCGTATGGCTTCCTTTCTAGAGACTCTCCAACGCAAAAAGAGTGCCCAGGTTATTGGTCAACAGGAGCGTATGCTGATCGAGAACGCCGTCTACTATGTCAACCCCCCAGAGCGCGCTGCGATTGAGCAGAAGGAGCGAACGCCGACCGAGCAGTTCCTGCGCAAGATCATGTACCAGGATTTGACCCGTCGCTCACTGGACAAGACCATCAAGCAAGTTCGCAAGATGCACTGGGAAGAGGAAGACGTGGTCAATCTTCTGCACAAGGTCTTTGCAAAGCCAGGGAAGATCAAGTACAGTAACATCCATTTGCTGGCCGTGATGCTGGGGACCATCCATCGATTCCATCAAGACTTTGCCATCTCAGTCATTGATGATCTCCTAGAATCCATCACGTTCGGGCTGGAGTTGAATGACTTCAAGTTCAATCAGCGACGAATCTCTGAAGTCAAGTACCTCGGCGAACTGTACATCTATCGGCTGGTAGACTCTCCCCTCATCTTCGACACCATGTACAAGCTGTTGAACTATGGATGGGAGGGCGGATATGCTAAACCTGGATCGTACAATCCGTTGGATCTTCCAGATGACTACTTCCGGATACGCCTGGTTTGTAACCTTCTTGAAACATGCGGCATGTACTACGACAAGGGTGCGACTAAGAAGAAGCTTGACTTCTTCTTGACCTATTTGCAGTACTACGTTTGCACCAAGGAGGCCCTCCCCATGGATGTTGAGTTCCTCGTGCAGGACGCGTACAGCCTTGTCCGACCGCAGTGGAAAATCATCACGAACCCAGAGGATGCTATGCATGCGTTTGGGGAAGCTGTCAAGCAAAACTACCAAACTGCAGCAGCCGACAAGCCTGTCGAGCCTGACGAAGATGACGTGTCCGCGTCGGATGATGAGCTAGACGGCCCGGAAGACGAAGACATTGTGATTCCAGACGGCGAAGGAGATAAGTCATCTGGTGACGAGGATGAAGATTCGGACGATGATGAGCCCACGAAGCAAGGTTCATCAGACGAAGAAGAGGAACGGATTGTTGTGACCCGGCCAGAAGACGAACGTGACCCTGAAGCTGATGCCGAGTTCGATCGCGAACTTGCCAAGCTCATGTCGGAGAGCGCCGAGTCTCGCAAGCACGACCGAAAGCCTGTCTTTGATGTACCGCTGCCCATGCGCCGCGCTCGAGAGACTACTGTGAATGCTGAAGACAGTGGCAACGAAGCACCGGCGCCAATCGCTCCGGCACCCTCTCACACGATGAAGTTCTCGCTGCTTAGCAAGCGTGGTAATAGAACTCAAACGCGGTCGATCGATTTGCCATCGGATTCGACCTTTGCTGTCGCCATGCGCAACAAGCAACAAGCCGACACGGAAGAAAGGCAGCGCATCAAGAGCCTGGTTCTGAACTACAACGAAGCCCGAGATGACGCTGACGATACGACTGGTGATTCACCTTTTCATTACACCCTTCAACCTAACACCAATAGAAAGCATACTGAAACGTCTAAAGGTCTGGACAAGACTCCGAATCCATACGCACAGCCGCGTCTTGACAAGGCTGGTGCCAATCGCAGCAACCAGCGTGCACGGAAACTACAGCTGTCCGATGTAAATTGGTATGATTCCCGCTTTTCTGTTTTGTAAAGTCGCTCTGGTCTAGCGTTGCTTCTGCTTCCAGGCTCCACCGTCGGCATTTGTGTCGAAGCGTTGTGCAGGTCCAGGCATCTCCCAACCCTGGTAGCGCTTGCGTCCGACATGATCATTCGCACTGTTATGGACGCGCTTTTTACCGACACGACGCTAACCACGAGGCCCTCTGTGGGCGACTGATTGTCTAGGACATGATTACTGGGTCTACGATGCTATAGCTAGCATCCATTACGAACTTCACAAAAGCTCCCTATGCTCGCCGCTACTACCGCCGTAGAGTAAGCCATCTCGTATGGTATGTATCACCTGTGGATGCGCCCTGCATGGCATTGCGATTGTACCTCGCAGACAAGGGGATAATTGCCGCTCATGATATGAGAAATATGCGTCTGAAAGAGCGTTGCTCGAGCAGGTGAGTATTCTATACGGATTCCGTGGATATGCCGGCAATGAAGTTTGCGACGGGAGAAGGGGTGGTTCGATGGAGGATGAGCAGCGAGAGCGCGGTGCCCAACCATGCATTGTCGTCTCGCACGCCCCATTTTGTTCACACCAGGTGGCAGGACCATAGGGGGGTACGATGACTATGCGTGTCGAGTGCAAAGTGCATTTGCATGCTTTCGATATCGTTCGTGGTTACACAGATTGAATTCTAGTTTTTACCGATGGAGCTGTTCTCACTATTATCGTGATACCGCGTGGTGTAGATTACATGTAGCATACCTTGATACCTCGGCAGATGGCCAATCCGGCCCAACCTTGGATGCCGACGAACAAGATCAACAATGGCAGTGACGATGTCCAAGCTCTTGGCTTGCGCCATCGCGATGCCGCGCGCTAGCAGAGCGCGTACCTTCCACTAGCCATCTTTTGGAAGTACCTACGACGTCACCGATAATGAGAAAAAAGGGAAACAACAAAACAGCGCGCATGCCCCTGCCGCCGTCTTGCGAGGTTCATCCCAACAGGTCACTTGACCTGCCTTTAATATTTGCATCCAACAGTTTGTCTTTTATTGCTTGAAAGAAGTTTGTCATTATGCCATCTCTGCTTGCTATTCTGCTGGCCGTACCAGCCACTTCAGCCTTGACATTGCCAGCATTCCTGCAAAGCCAAGCGCAATCACCACTCCAATCACTCGATCACTCCCAGAACTACCATTTCGATCCGCTATTACATCTCCCTGGAATCTCTCCATACTTCGACGCCGTAGCCTTTGGTTTAGAGTAAATCAATCCTGACGCCATGACCTTTATAACTCTTGCTTATGCTGTTACAGACACACACCTCCTCCGGGATGCAATGTCACAGCAGCGTCTTACATCATCAGGCACGGTGCCATCTACGCTAATGACAAGGAGTATGAGGAATATATCAAGCCGTTTCTCTGGAAGCTCGAAAAGCACCGCCAAGGATGGAGTGGGCCGTTGGCATTCATGGAGAAATGGCAGTCACCCATTCTGGAAGACAAGCTTGAACACTTGACACCCTCTGGCGCCGTGGACGCAAAGGAAGTAGGCAAGCACCTACTCCAGCGCTATCCTCACCTCGTCCCGGAAACCAAGCGCATCCTCGCCGACAAGAAGAGCCGAACCTTCGACACTGCAACCAATATGATCAAAGCTTTTCCCCAAGAATCCGAAATCGAAATCGTGCGCATCACCGAAAACACAAACGGATCTATGGAATCTCTTATCCCGCATAAATCCTGCAAGAACTTTTCCAAGAAGCCCGGTGTCAAGCAGCAGGAGAAGGTTATTGATTTGTACGGCAAACCAGTTGCTAAGCGACTATCTCCATACACGCCGTTTGATCTCTCGCCAAAAGACATTGTAGGCATGCAAATGCTGTGTGGCTATGAATCCGCCATCAACGGTCGCCGCAGCCCCATCTGTGCCACCTTCACAGACTCAGAATGGATGGCATACGAATACGCGTGGGACCTCAAATATGCGTATATGGTCGGACCCCTCAACCCACTCTCGCCATATCTCGGTTTCCCTTGGTTGCAAGCCCAATCTGAGCTCTTCGCCCACATCGAAGAGCATGGCACAAGCGGTAACGGCTGGCCAGACAAACAGCGCTTCTTCCTGGGTTTCACGCATAGAGAAGTGCCCCCCTTCATCGCCACTGCCCTTGGTCTTTTCAACTCCAGCTCAGACGCTGCAGAGCAGTTCCCCACAGACCATATCAACTGGACGCGTGCGTGGAAGATGTCTGATCTTATTCCTTTCCTAGGCCATGTGGGTATGGAGAAGATGGTGTGTGAGCGTGGGGCTGTGCATGGTGATGGACCGGGCACGTTTGTGAGGTTCATTGCGAACACAGCTCCGCGACCGATTCCGGCGTGTCAGGATGGACCTGGTGCGAGCTGTGAGTTTGGTGCTTTTAGAAAGTTGATTGGGGAGGGGGCCAAGGCGCACGAGGACTTTCACAAGGTTTGTGATGTCAAGGGGTGTGGAGATGCCGGGTGTGTTGATGACGAGTATGGGAGATGATAGGGATACGGTAATGCTATTATGTTATGTGTATATATAGTCTACCTAATATATTTTAAAAAGATGTCTCGTCTGGTTGTCTGGATAATTGTTTACTTGGCTCAACAAACTCGTGAAGTCTGATTACCGCTGAAGTCCCCATACTTAGTACATGTATAAAAAGCCAACGAAATAATATCACAATAGTCTGTGTGTTCTTTTACATACATGTCTTTACTCATTTTCCCTACGTTTCTGCTTGACAGAATCCCATCACGTACGTAAAAGAAAGTGTTGAAAACCTACCTAAGTTGAATCAACAGCTACGCTACACGTTACGTTACTGCTGGCACAACCTCTACACCACATATAGACTGCAGAATCTTTTTACTCAACATAAGCAATCGCATTTTAGTGTTTATTGACAAGGGCGTCCATATTTGCTTATGATAACCCATGGGTACGAATTTCAACAATCTTAACAATACACCTGCGTTTAGTCTAACTTTATTATCCTTGTTCTCCTCATTAGTGGGGAACGGCAATTGTGTAACGCCCAAGGAATTCTGTTTTTGGACTGTCCGGGGTGCCTGTTGATGGATTTGTAGTCTTCAAATAATTTACCATTCTAATTGCACAGAAGGATGAAACAAGCACATATTCTCAAATAAGTCTAGAAGAACGATAACAGCACAATCAAAAACAATTTACCCAGACATTGGCTAAATGAAGAAACTTTGTACACCAATTGAGATGAGGATATAAAGTTTTAGTATAGCAATACATCGTCTATAGACTCCAAAACCCGATAAACATACAACTCTCCTACCTACCCATAATTACCGAACCTTCTCATCATCAATCTGCCTCCTCAGATCCTCCAAGACCCCCCTCCGATTCTCCAAATGCGCCTGCAACCCTTCGACCTGCTCCTTGACCGTTTCAATATCCTCCCTGATGCCCTGCAACCCTTTGACGGCACCGCCATCATCGTTGTCCAACTCCCTCAGCACACCTCTCTTATAATCAAGCAGGAGCTCCAATTCGCGTTTTACCAGCGCCGGCTTACTGTCCTTGCTGCGCCCGTGCCGGCGGTTCTCCGCATCCTTTTCGACATCGCTAATCTTCTGTTCCAGCTCCCGCAGCTGCTTCTTCAACCGGACTTCCTCCCAATCTTCTGTTGTGCGGCCGCCAAAATCCGTGCCTTTGCCACCTCGAGCACCGTAGTTTGCGGCGCGGTCGCCAACGCCGAGACGCGTGAGGTATGCGTCGCCGAACTTTGCTTTGCGGCCCGTGGCGGTGCTTTCGTCGCGGGTAGCAGCCCATCGTGAATTGGCAGAAGACTCGATGTCGTAGTCAATGTGCGCTTTTTCGAAGCTGGAGCGCAGCGAGGGCGGCACCGAGCGTGGGACGCGGAAGCCTTCGCTGCGCTGGTTGAGGATGTGGAGGAAGGCTAGGGCGGCGTCCTTGCCTACGCTCTCGCGCGCCTTGGGGTTGACTAGGTTCCAGGCGAAACGTATGTCCGAGTCTGGTACGTCTATAGACTCGTACAGGCCTGATAAGCTGTCGAAGCTGATGTTGCCGTGGTTGTCGCGGTTCGCAGTATAGATTTCTTCGTACTTGTTCTTGTCGTTGGGCGACATGTACCAGTCGAAGCCATCGCGTAGACCTGGGGTATCGTCTTCGTCTTCGACTGTTTCGTATGCTGGTTGCGAGCCGGTGAGAGCGCGGTTGGCTTGCACGAGGTGGGCTTTTGATTCGGGTACGAGCCAGTCGGGCAGGACTTTGGGGACATCTACTGATATCTGAGAGTTGGCAATTAGCTTCTGTGCATGTTCATGTGTCTAGATACTGGTGGCTTGTATATGTGTGTATGTGTGCCCAGGTACGAGGTAGCGCAACATACTCCATTGATCAAGTCGAAGATGAGTCGCATAGCCACGCAAAACTCCTCAAAGTCCAGCTTTCCGTCATTGTCCACGTCGGCAAGATCCCACACGCGCTCAAGTTGGTCATCGCGGAGATGTGAGTTCTTGAGTACGGGCGCTGCTTGGGCGCCGTCGAGATGTGTACCGCCGTTGGACAGCGAACTGAAGATCTCCCAGTACTTTTCGATTTCGTCCTGCTCAATGCGATTCGGTGCCATGGTGCAAGTCAATTAGTTGTCGTCTTCAGAGGCAAGAGGAAGTCAGGGCGGAGGCGGTTTGGGTCGGAATCGAGGTGTAGTTGCGGCATGTCGGAATGGCGGAGCTCTGGCCGCGACTGCGGAGCTGGGGTAGGCAGCTAGCCAGGCGTTGGGTCGTCACCGCTAACCCGGGACGTGTCTGTCAGCCTTCATCTCTGCCACATGCATGACCTATTAATAATGTGTTACAGCCAAACTATGCATTATCTTAACCGAAATCTCACTTATCATACATCACTCCAGAGCAGACTACATAATCAAGTGAACTTTGATGTATATGTAATAGCAGTTCCCTATCAACATTATATCAACCCGGCGTGTAAATACAACCTAGATTCCCAGAACCCCCACCTTTTCCTATATAGATTTGCGCCGTGTGCCAAAAGTGCGACATTTTAAAATCAAAGACAACATGTGTCGTGCAGACATGGTCGGCATACAAACACCGCTATATGCAAAAAAGGAAAAATCAAGCCGCCACATGCTTTACACCATATTCGCAAGCTCATGGTCAATGGCCTGAGCAAGGAAAATCTTCCTCTCACCACTGAGCTGCATCTGCAGCCTCTGCTCCGCGAGCGCAATGATTTGTTTACGCGTTACACGGTCAAGATCTGCATCCTTGAGACACGCCTGAACGGTCTCGATGATTTGTCCATCAGTCGGCCCATTCATCATGCTTTGGAAGTTGGTTGTGCTGCCCGGTCGAGACTGAGCTGCGCCATAGCCAAGAGGGCTGCGTCCACGAACAGGCGGTGTCGACGAAGTCATGAGGTTGTCAGAGCTCTGGAATCCGCCCATGCTTTGCCGTTGACCGTACGGTGACGCCGTGTTGTTGCGGTAGTGGTCGCTCATGTTGCTCAGGGACATGCCGCGGCTCTGATCCTGGGGATGATCTTGGTAGCGCGAGAAATTCGAGTAGGTTGATTGACGCGTTTGCATGCCTTGGTAGGGACCAGGAGACTGAGGTGGCATGTGCGAAAGCTGCATGTTGGACATGACGGTCGAGGCTGGCTTGTGCGATGAGTACACGGATTGCATGTCGTTCATCTCATAAGCTTCGTCTTCGTATCCAGCAAACCCGCCCTTCTCAGCTCCACCAGGAAGACCGCGACGACCAGGAAGGTCATTGCGCTCCGCGTACTCGTCCCATCGCATCATCGGGATGGCCTTGGGGTCGAAGCCCTCATCGTCGGTCGTGAGGACTTGCTTGGTACCTTGCTCGCCAATGACGACACGCGTGTTACCCCACGAGAAATCGTCTTGCTTCCAGAACGAGTACATGGGGAGCGCGAGCGAGTAAATGGGGAACGCAAGAAGATAGATAATCATCCATCCCACGTGCTGCCATTGTCGCTTAATGATGAAGATGAGAGCCTGGAGACCGTACACAGCGGCAAGCATGATGATTGAGAACATGGGGAATTGGCCTTTGCCACTGGTGACTGAGTAGACCAGGTAGACTAGGTACGCGCAGATGGATGGAAGGACGAGGGTTCCGAACAGGTCGATAAAGACGACAAAGCGCATGGAGAAGCAGCAGAAACCACACAGATCCTTGAGGAAGACGAGTTCAGCCAAGTTGTGGATAGTCGAGTTGATCCATCGACGTCTCTGGGAAAGCAGAATGCTCCAGGTATCGGGAGCGGCCGTTAGGGCGTACGCATCAGGGATAAACTTGTACGACATTTGCGGGAAGTACTTGGTCATCAACGTTGTCAGGTAACGATCCTCACCAAGTGAGAGAAGGTTCTTCTTGTGAAGCGTGTCAACGACGCAATCGGCATAGTCCTTGATGATCTTGTCCGAAATGATGAGAGGCTTGCCCTTGTCGGCGGTGCGCAGACGGTACATAGTGAAACTGGACCAGGTTAGTGAAGATCAAAACAAACATCAATAGAGTACTCACCATCCAGGTAAACAGGTAACACTGCCAAACAGACTCTCAAAGGCCTTTGACAGATGATGCGAAATATAGTACTCGTAAACTTGAATCATGGTCCACCAAGACCTATCTTCGTTCTCCAAGCTTGTCTCGCCGCAAATGCCAGCAATCTTAGAGTCATTGGCGCAAGCGGCCACTAGACGGTTCAGAGAATCGGGCTTGACCATAGTGTCGGCATCGATCATGAGTAGATACTCGTACAGCTCTGGGTCAACACCAATGATGTTGTTGATCTGATGAAACATCTCCAATTCGAGGGGGTTCATGGCGGAACGGTGGTGTACGCGGTTGAGGAAGCTCATGAGCAGAATTTGCGAGTCTCGCTTTCCACGGTTACCAGGCTTCGACTTGTGCTGTTCTGACTCCTTGCCCATCTTCACAACGACAATGTAGGGGACCACGTTGCCCTCGAACTCGTAAAGACCAGAGTAGACTTTGCCGTAGTTGAGTTGCTGACTTCCCTCACCGACTGACCAGAAGGGAAGAGCAGGCGGATCAACCTTGGGATCAACACCGAGAATGTCCAATACGATCTTGGGTGTAGGACGGTCGTTACCACCTCCGACAATCATTCCATCACAAATGACGCAGATGAGCTTGCGCTTGTTGTCGTAAGAAAGCGCGGTAAGGGAGTCCAAACTCTTACGGATAGAGTCCTCGCCTTCGGTGTAGGCGGGCACCTGGCAAATGACAAACTTGTCCTGGTTGGCGGGACGCTTGCGAGAACCCAGTTGAAGAGCAGCCAAGAACTTGACGACAACGACTATACAGAGCATGATTGTAACAGCGAGCAGAATGTAATCGTTGACCTGGCATTTCGCGGTACTGCGGAAATCAGTCCTGCCAACGTAGAACAAGTTGTCGAGGCACTGGAGGTTGTAGGCTTGAGCGGTGTTGTTGAGGTTGTTACCAAAGTCCTCTTTGAGATCTTGACCAGCTTTGCTCTTGACCATATCTACTAACTTGGGGTCGAGGAAGTTGTACTGGGGCTGGTTTTGCATGTAGTCGATCGTGGCAAAGTAATCTGTCAAGTCGTAGATCTTTTCGCCAAGCCTGAACCACATGTGGTTCTGTTCAGCTCCCTCAGTAGTGACCTTGTCAGTGGTCCATACAAGCTCTCCCTTCCTGTACTCCTTGATCTTCGGCAGAAACACATTGGGATACCAGTCTTCCTTCTTGAGCGCGGCGCTGTCCGGGAAGTTGGTCATTGATCCCGATGTATGAACAGCGAGTGCGTTAAGATTCTCGGTTGAGGACTCGTTAAGCTTCAATTGCAGGACGCGGTTCTGAGGTGTGTCCGTGATGAGGTTGGGGCAGGCGAGGTATAGCGGAGGGATGATGTAGGGGTTCATGTTAGCACCAGCTAATTCCATCATGCGCTCCGGGGTAGCCTCAGTATTGGAGTCGCTGTGCTGCTTCCTCCAGAACGAAGTTAGGTCGTACACCACACCGTGATGACTAACGTAGTAATCCTTTTGACCTTGGTGTGCGGACACTTCCTTCTGGTTCCAGACCTTGTCTTTGTTGGGGCAGAGAAGTTTACCGAAAGCGACAATGTAGAAGACGATGGCGGCGTTCAAGAGCATGATCAAGAGAAACAGAACAAACTTCTCTCGCCATGCCATACGAACGTCGGGCCGCTTCATGCGACCAATCCATTTGAGGAGGGGCGAGGGGATCCAGAAGGTGACGGCCCAAACGAATGAGACCCAGGCCCTACGGGAGCCGGTGAGAGGCGTTTCAGTCACAACTGCGTTACCTCCAGATTCCATATCGTAGTAGGTGACGCCCTTGTTCTCATCACCTTTCATACCAAGTCCGTAGTCACCAGGACCGGTTGTAGGGACGGTCATTGCGGTGGGAGCAATTGACTTGGCGTCTGCACTCGGTTGAGCGAGACTAGCTGTGCTCTGAAAAGGATTTTGAGGCGGCGTATTCGACATGTTGGGAAGGGGAGGAAAGAAAGCGCTGGCAGTAGGTGGAAGTTGAGCAGAGTACCCATTTTCCATACCAGCGGCCCCAATCATACCTCCCATCATGCCGTTAGAGCCGAGCTCTTGTGTCTTGAGGTCAAGCTGCGACTCAGCCTCCCACCAAGTGCCCTCTCGGACCCATACACGCTCCTTTCCTACCATGACTTCACCGTTGCTCCACCCACGTTGGAGGATCCAGTTCTGGATGCCTTCCTGACCGTCCATGCAGCCGAGCGGAGCATATCGGTCGAAGAACTCGTGATGGTCAAAGTCGGCGGTGAAGTCCAGGTTGCGGTTCCGGCGGTTTGCCCATTCTGGTAGACGCCATTCACGGAGTTGTCGTGAGATGACGCCAGCTTGCCAGGTAGAGGTCAGGTCTTGGTTTAGCGAGGTTGGGATGTTGTCTGAAGGATGGAGTGCAAGCTGGAACCAGACTCTGCTACTGGCAACGGTCAGGGGAAGGTCGAAGCGACCGTGCTTGCCTAGAACGATACCGCCGTTGGGAACGGGGTACAGTAATTGCTTGAGAAAGTTGTCTTCCTCTGGGAGTTCGAGGGCAACCTTTTCAAGGACTGCTTCACGCTTCTCCAAAGTAGACTCCCGCTCGCGAAGTGCAGGGCCGTTGATGCCAAGTTCCACTGAACAGGTCTGCATGGCCTCTCTCATGCCCTCGAGCACTGAGTTGGCAACAGGTGGCACTTGAACGCCATCCTCTCGCATCTCAGCATTGATACCTTCGCTGTCATCAAAGACGGTGCGGAGTGCGACGGCCTTGCCGAGGGAACGACTGGGGATTTCGACAACAGTAATGTTCACAATGTCGCCGTCTTCGGAGCCATCAGGTGTCATCCTACCGCTGCCCTCGCCTTCAAAGTTAGCCTTGGCCTGGCGGATGTCTTCCTTGATGGCGGCGTTGGCCTGGCTGATGACAAAGTCGACGATTGCCTCGTAGATGCCCCCAATAACGATTTCACGGTCGTTGGAGCCCAGCTTTTGTCGCAGAGTACCTTCGGGCAAATCCATGAGGGCTTCGACATCTTCGCAGGTAGATGCGAGAGACTCCTCGTCCATGAAGTAATCCAAGGTGTTGCCCAGCTTCATCAGCCCGGTCAGGCAGCTGATGAGACTTGTCAACTTGTGGCCCTTGATGCCGATAGCCTTGAGGTTCGCGCGGAGATCTTCGGCGGCGGCGGCATCGTCGGCGTCGGGAAGGTAGCTTGGGGGGTTGTAAGTGCCGGATCGGCGGAGGAGGGCATATTGGTCGAGCGACTGAATGTCCAGGTATTCCCTCTCCTGCTTGGTAGCCGAGCTTGAGTTGAGGTAGTAGAAGACGTCAAAGGCACGGAAGCCGCTCTGTCCCGGGACCTGGAGCAGGCCCTGTTGCACATCGAGGCCGGATGTAGACAACTTGATCTCAGCGCCAACGACGGTGCCTGCGAGGTTGATGGTGAAGACGGCGGCCAATGCAGAGTATCTGGGAGTGGAGGGGTTATGGGGCGTGACGCAGTGTGTGAAGGCCTTGAGAGCCTCGAGTGCTGTGTAGAAGTTGCTCGGAAGCGACAGGGGCAGACTGGAAACGAAGGGCGAAAACAACGAAGGGCTTGAATCATGAAGCGAGCTGCGGGTGTCAGTATATCACGACGGAATGCGACTACTTGTGTGAGGTACATACGCAAGGACTATGCAGCCATCCTCTGCTCTTCGGCGGGCGTGTTCCCACGCCTTTCGCCCTAACTCGAGGTCGACTGTGCCGCCAATGCGATCGTCGATGATGCTCTTCGCATTGACCCACGTGTTCACGACGAGACTGGTGCTGGCCTCGAGGTTATATGAGCGGCCATTCTTGTAGGCCGAGTTGAGCGTGTTGAGCAGCGTGGTGGTGGATGTCTGGGCGGGAGGGTTGCCAGGTCGCGATTGGGAAGCCGATGCGGTCGAGTAAACCGACATGCGGGAGTTGTTGACGAAACTCATCGTGGTGGGCTGAGGCGGGTCGCCCCTGGGGTAGACAAGTGCAGGTCGATGCTATAACAAAGATTCGAGTGCAACTGCAACTGCAACTGCGTGGCTGGCGGGTGGGTTGAGGTGGTACGAGGTACGAAGCAGGTGAGAAGGCGCGATGGAGCCTCTCACTGCAAGGGAGCAAAAGGACTAGCGAGTGGACTGATTAAACGATTGTATGGGAAAAAAGAACAAAGTGCACGCAACAAGAGAAGCGTAAACAGTAAAGGTCGTGGGTAGCAGACTGAGCAGCAGTCATGTTTGTTCGCTCAGGGCGACGTCCATTCCCAGCCAGGCTGGATGCGGGCTGGCGCAGTATGGTTAGGGAGGATTAGGAGGCGGTCAATACCGGGGCGGCGCCGGTCAATGCATCAACACGCAGCCGAACCGGGATGGCGAGGCTTGGTTTTTCGAGGCATTACGAGCTGCGGCACCCACCCGATGGACCTGTAATACGAGCGGGTGGCGCTGAGGGCAAGACCAACCCCTATATTTAGCCCAGGTTTATTGTTTGTATTTGCATGTTCATGTTTTCCTTTGCGCGGCACCGCATTGTGTAAACCTCAACGACGTCGGAAACGTCGGAGATGTCGTCTGACAGCAGTTCCGTACCCAGAACCGGAAGAGACATGGAGCCAGCACCAGGCTGTCAATCATATCGATAAGAGATTGTTCTACCGTACCTTCTGGCCCGCCTGTGGAGATGGTGGCCGCGCTGCTCAAAGGCGCTTGATGCGGTGCAGGGTCGTGTATGAGGCGCGCATGCCAATGTCCACTGCCAATCCTCCTCATTCTACCTACAGTAGCCCTAAATTGTGCCCTGGCACGACTGTTTCAACTGCAGCCAAATGGCGCCGAGATACTTCCACTTGCACACGCACACCTGCTGACTGATGACTAACCGACGCCAGAGCACCAAGTTCGCCATCTTCTGTTGAGACGTGTGCCGTCTACGCTTTACATGCAAAAGTCATCATCCCAGCCGTGGGACCGTTTGTGGGCTAGCTGATCCAACGGCCTTGTGCCAGCACGCAATGCACGAGCTGACGGCTGGCGAGCGACAGGCAGGTGGTCATTGATGCGACTCTCCACATTGGCCTCTGTAGCGTGTCGCGCCTCTTAGGTCGCCGCGCAATCGATACATGCTCGACAGTTAGTGCATTGAGGCTTGCAGCGGTGATCGTTCCCGCCGCGCGAGCACTAGGATGCTTGGTGGTGCAGCAATGCGCGTCCGGGCCCGGAACCACCTGTCTGGACATTGGGCGACACAGCGCGAAAATGCTGAACTTTGCATTGTTACTGTCGTCGACTTTTTCTTCCAAACAACCATGGCCGTGCCTCTAGTCTGGCTCTGGAACTGAGCGACGGACTGACCGGGCTGACCATCTTCCACACACTTTCCTAGTCAGTCGCTACAAGCAGACAAGTGGGGCCGCCTCGATTCCTCCGACGCCTGGCCTGGGTGAATAGCCCGCTTTTGCGTTTTCTAACTTTCTATTTTTGCGCCCCCTTTTAACGATCGCTGCATCGCCTGGTCAACACGCACCGCCAATCGGTTGGTGCGGCGGCGAGCGAGAAAGCTAGAAGCATCGTAGCCCGAGGCCCCGGAGCCCATCTGTCAGTAGTAGACAGCATTGAGACCCCTTTGCTGCCTCTGTCAACGGCTCTGTAGACCTTTACCTTCGTTTGTAATTCCTTCACTACGCTCGCTGATTGTCTTTCACCCTCTGGGCCAGCCTGCATTGTCGTGGTTGTTTTTCCGCGCCCCCTCTGCACTGCATTCCCGCCAGCCCTACCGCATTTCACAGTCCACAGTCGTGGCCCTGTAGCACACCACTACTTACCACAAACACCACCACGCCGACGTGCCACTGCCAGTCGACATCTGATCGTTCCTGCTTGAACCTCACCGTCTTGCCACGCTCCCACGGGGACGCGTCTGCCAGCCATGGCTTCCAATCCGTTGCAGAATCCGTCGCTGCCCGCCCTTCCACAGCACCAGCAAAACGACACAGGCCTGACTTCAGCGCTTGCGAGCCGATATCACGCCCACCTGCCCATTGCTACCCTATCGTCTCAGGGTATTGTAGCCATCAACACATGCACCGACTCTAGCTTAGGCGTTGATGGCGGTAAAGAGGGAAGCGCTCACCAGGCGGCTGAGGATCTCTCTCAGAGGGCTTACTTACGCCTGGGACAGCGCTCAGAGGACCAGGCCATCATCTTCCTGTACGTCGTTCCCCGTCTTGACTTTGTATTTCACTAACATTGCCCTCAAGTGGCGAGTCTGGTGCCGGAAAGACAACAATTCGCGGCCACATGCTGAGGTCTTTCCTCTCGTATTCATCCACACCCCTCTCCAAGAAGATCGAGCACGCCAACTTCGTATTCGATGCCTTCACTACCACAAAGTCCCTCACTACTCCACAGGCTTCCAAGTCCGGTCTCTTGTTGGAGCTCCAGTACAACACCGCCACCGCCAACCATGCCACCCTTCTCGGAGCTCAATTTCTCCAACATCGTCTCGAACGTAGTCGCATTGCCTCAGTACCAACGGGAGAGCGGACCTACCACGTTCTGTACTACCTTCTTGCTGGAACCAGTCTCAATGAGAAGAAGCATCTGTTCCTTGATGCCGTAGGCGGAGAAGGCAATGCGGGTAACCGCGCCTCAATCGGCCACAACAAGCGATGGCGCTACCTTGGTCATCCCACACAGCTCAAGGTCGGCATCGACGACACAAAGGGCTTTGCCGACTTCAAGACTGCACTCCGCAGGCTCGAGTTTGGCAAGGAGAGCATTGCAGGAATATGTGAGGTCATGGCCACCATTATGCACATTGGACAACTCGAGTTCGAAATGGGCCAGAACACAACTCCCGCAGCCGATGAGAGCGGTGGCTACTCACACGAAGGTGGCGAATCCATCACCATGGTCAAGAACAAGGAAGCTCTCGTTCCCATCGCTCAGTTCCTCGGTGTAGCCATCTCAGACTTGGAGCAGAGTCTCCGCTACAAGTCAAAGACGCTTTACCGCGAGCGTGTCACTGTAATGTTGGATCCCAAGGGTGCTCGCGCCAATGCGGATGAGCTTGCTCGTTCGCTCTATTCGCTTCTTGTAACTTGGGTCATGGAGCAAGTAAATTCTCGCATCTCAGTGCCCTCTGAGCAGATCTCAAACACTGTCTCTATGGTTGATTTCCCAGGATTTGCCAACTTCGCCGCCACTGGTTCCTCGCTAGATCAACTCCTCAACAACACCGCTAACGAGTCCCTCATCTCTTTCTGCCAGGAGAGTTTCTTCCAGCGACAGATCCAGGAGCTTGAGGCTGAGGAGATTTCTCTCCCGCCCATGGCCTTCTACGACAACACAGCTGTAAAGACTGGTCTCATGAAGCCGGGCAATGGTCTTTTGAGCATTCTCGACGACCAAATGCGCCGTGGCAAGACCGACATGCAGTTCCTCGAAGCGATCCGAAAGCGTTTTGACGGAAAGCACCAGGCCATCGTCCCAGGCAGTTTGACGGTTGTGCAACCGGGTAGCAACTTCCCCACACCAAACACCTCTCCCAGCTTTACCATCCGCCACTTCACCGGCGATGTCGACTATAGCGTTGAGGGCCTGTTGGAGGAGAATGCCGAGCTCATTTCTGGCGACATGATGCACCTGCTCAAGTCTGCCCAGGCGCCCTTTATCCAGCAGCTATTTGGACAAGATGCTTTGCAGAAGATGTCGCACCCTAAGGAGAAATCCACCATTGTGCAAGCCACGGTCAGCTCGAAACCCTCTCGTCAGCCCAGTATGGCACGAAGGAAGGCTGACAAGACTGGACGATTCGGACGCCAGTTGAACGTCTTCGACGAAGACGCTATTAGCGATGTGGAAAGCAATGCTTCCACGTCGAAGAAGGGTGGCGATTCGCAGAGACAGACTGGTGCGGCGGGTCAGTTCATCAGCTCCCTGAGGACGATTGAGTCAACGATGCGAAAAGCCAATGCTTATTTCGTCTTCTGTTTGAAGCCCAATGACCGAAGAATCGCAAATCAATTCGACAGCAAGTGCGTTCGTCAACAAGTCCAGGCTCTCGGTATCGCCGAAATCAGCCAACGCCTTCGTGTTGCTGACTACAGTATCTTCATGCCGTTTGCCGAGTTTCTTGGGCTCGCGCAGACCGACCTCGCCATCGTGGGAAGCGACAAGGAGAAGGTTGAAATGGTTCTTGACAGTAGGCCGTGGCGTGAGAATGAGGTTCGCGTTGGTGCTACCGGCGTGTTCCTGAGCGAAAAGTGCTGGCTCGAAATCGCAAACATCTCAGACATCGCTCCCTATGCCCGTGGGCCTGGTGGTGAATCAAACGACAACTTGCTCACACCCGAAGCAGGTCGGTCGTTTGGTGATGTCCGATCTGGCCTCCTTTCTACCTCACCCAATGCTTACTACGACGACAAAACAGGAAACTACTTTGGTGCCCGGGACATTGACGCTCGTTCAGAAGCTCCATCTGGAGTCACAAACGGCGACATGTTCCATGGTTTGGAGCAGCCCAAAGCCATCGACGAGAAAGCTGCAGATGCGAAGCTGGAAGAAGTCGAAACCATTCCCGTCTCGGGCAGTCGAAAGAGATGGGTCTTCATCGTTTACATGATGACTTGGCTCATCCCCGACTTCGCCATCAAGTTCATTGGGCGAATTAAGCGCAAGGATGTCCGAATGGCGTGGCGTGAGAAGCTTGCCATCAACATGATTATCTGGTGGAGCTGTGCTTTTGTCATCTTCCTCATGATTGGTTTTCCCATGGTTATCTGCCCAAAACAACACGTCTACTCGGCTGCCGAATTGACATCCTTCAACGGCAAGGATGGAAACGAGGCGTTCGTTGCCATCCGAGGTATTGTTTACAATCTTGGTGACTTCATACCGCATCATTACCCGAGTATCGTTCCGCAAAAGAACCTCGAGAAGTATGCTGGAAAGGACGCTACGAATTTGTTTCCCGTACAGGTCTCTGCTTTGTGCATCGACAAGAACGGCAACAAGATCGACGATGCGGTTCAGCTGAACTACAAGAACTCCAACTACACCGGCTCTGCGGTCAACAACCTTATCAGTGCCACCGATCTCAATGCCCAATACCACGACTTCCGAAGTTTCACAAACGACTCGCGTCCAGACTGGTGGTTTGAACAACAGATGTTCCTCAAGGCCAACTATATGAAAGGACGGGTTGGATACAGTCCCCAATACCTGAAGAGTCTGGCCTCGAAGAGTAACGCCATCGCCTACATGAACAACAAGGTCTACGATCTTACTGACTACATTCCTGGTGGCCGTGACCTTAAGTATCCTGTTGGCGCAGACACCTCGAACCCCCCTCCAGACACCAATTTCCTGGACCCTGATGTCGTGGATATTTTCCGAGTCCAAGCTGGTAAAGACATTAGCAAGTACTGGGATAACCTTAACTTGGATGCTCAGAAGAAGAGGAACATGCAGACTTGTCTGGACAATCTTTTCTACGTCGGTGATGTGGACACGAGAAACTCTGCAAAGTGTCAATTTGCCAAGTACTTCCTCCTCGCCATCTCCATTCTCTTGGTCAGTGTTATCGGTTTCAAGTTTCTTGCAGCTCTCCAGTTCAGCCGAAACACCGACCCGGAAAACATTGACAAGTTCATTATCGCCACGGTTCCTGCTTATACAGAGGACGAAGAGTCTCTTCGCCGTGCCATCGATTCTGCTGCCCGTATGAAGTATGACGATAAGCGCAAGCTCCTCGTCATTGTCTGTGACGGTATGATTATCGGACAAGGCAACGACAAGCCAACCCCTCGTATCGTCCTCGACATCTTGGGTGTTCCAGAGGCCACTGACCCCGACCCGTTGAGTTTTGAGAGTTTGGGTGAAGGTCAACGTCAACACAACATGGGCAAATGCTACTCTGGACTTTATGAAGTACACGGTCACATTGTACCTTTCTTGGTCGTCGTCAAGATTGGAAAGCCATCGGAAGTCTCCAAGCCTGGTAACCGTGGTAAGCGTGATTCGCAGATTATCCTCATGCGTTTCTTGAACCGCGTCCACTACAACCTTCCGATGAGCCCGCTCGAGCTTGAGATGCACCACCAGATCCGCAACATTATCGGAGTCAATCCAACCTTTTACGAGTTCTTGCTACAGATTGATGCTGATACCGAAGTTGCGCCCGATGCGGCCACTCGATTCGTAGCAGCCTTCCTCCACGATACTCGTCTGCTCGCCATCTGTGGTGAAACCGCGCTCACCAACGCCAAGTCTTCGTTCGTCACAATGATGCAAGTGTACGAGTACTTCATCTCTCACAACATGACCAAGGCTTTTGAAAGTTTGTTCGGTTCTGTCACTTGTCTTCCCGGTTGTTTCACCATGTACCGTATCCGTGCCGCCGAGTCTGGAAAGCCACTGTTCGTCAGCAAGGAAGTGGTTGAAGATTACCAACAGATTCGCGTCGATACACTTCACATGAAGAACTTGCTACATCTCGGAGAAGATCGATTCCTGACTACTCTGTTGATGAAGTACCACCCCAAGTACAAGACCAAGTACACGATGCGAGCACACGCCTGGACTGTGGCGCCTGACAGTTGGTCTGTGTTCATGTCTCAACGTCGTCGCTGGATCAACTCTACCATTCACAACCTGATCGAGTTGATTCCTCTCACACAGCTTTGTGGTTTCTGCTGTTTCAGTATGCGCTTCATTGTGTTCCTGGATCTGCTGTCGACGGTTGTCCAGCCTGTCATTGTCGTCTACATCGGTTATCTCGTCTACATGCTGGTATACTCGCCTGATGTCGTACCTGTCACTGCCTTTATTCTTCTCGGTGCCATCTATGGTTTACAGGCCATCATTTTCATCATCCGACGAAAGTGGGAGATGATTGGCTGGATGATCATCTACATCTTCGCGACGCCTATCTTCTCCTTTGCCCTGCCCCTGTACTCTTTCTGGTACATGGACGATTTCTCCTGGGGTAACACTCGTGTTGTCACTGGTGAAAAGGGTCAGAAGGTCGTGGTGTCGGATGAAGGCAAGTTCGACCCCTCAGTCATTCCCAAGAAGCGATGGGAAGAATACCAGGCGGAAATGTGGGAGCAGCACACAATCCGGGACGACCGCTCGGAGGTTTCAGGTTACACATACGCCACAAGGAAGCCATTCGGGAACCAATCTGTTGCGGGCTCGGAATATGGAGGCATGGCACCATCTCGAGCCATGTCACATCTCAATGTTGGACGCTACGACAACCATTCACGCATGAGTCTTGCGCAGAGTGGGTACGGCATGGATAGCATGGAGATGTCAAATCTGCCCAGCGATGAGGCAATTTTGAATGAGATCAAGGACATCTTGTCCAAGTCTGATCTCATGAATGTAACGAAGAAGCAGATTAAGGGTGAACTAGAGCAAAGGTATGTTTCCATGGCACGTATCAGTAGGATGACAACTAACACGGCAACAGATTTGGATGCGATCTTACACTCAAGAAGCAGTTCATCGGTTCTGCGGTCGAATCACTCCTCCTTAGCGGTCAGCTATACTAAGCCTCTCAGGCTTGGGCGCGTATACCCATTGTGTCTATGGTTTACGATTCTACGTGTTGCGATAAGACATGGTCTCGTTGTCAGTCAGCTCACTTGTATCACCCCAGCTGGTTATCAGCTCATGGGTTCAGCTACTACTATTATCTAATCACTGCATTCTCCCATTGGGTCGGAGTCATATACTTGGGCAAGGCGTTTGTGTATCAGGGTCTGTGCGAGTCGCACATTGTCGCATTTTTGTTGTCGCCTTAGTGTCGTTTGAATGGAAGAGGCAAAAAATTAGGGTCTAGAAGGAAGTTTGTGGGATCAACGTATAGCTATCAGGAATTGCATAGTGACAGATATGATGATGCTTGTTGCTGTGAATATGAATGGACTATATTTGCAAATGGACTGCGAAGTCTGCAAGTGCAAAGGCAGATGAGGGTTGTGAGGCAACAAGTCGGCGCGGAAGTACATGATGGTGAGCTACATGGTCCAAGCGCCTGCCCCTCCAAAGCAGTAGTTCGCCCCGCTGGCCGCCCGCCACACAGAGCAATCGATAGTACAAGGGAAATTCGCAGCTTCCAGCGCGCCTGTGTGTTTGCGCGCTCTTTCTGATTGCATGTATCTGCTCAGACTCGCATTTACCTCACATCTCACGGTCCAGACCTTTATTGGTTGAAGTCTTTGACTCACGGGACCCGACTTGGACTGAAGGTTCCAATTTTACTGCAAAGCTTCTGAGGACCACTCTGCTGCGTAGTACCCCATCTGCTCCTTGTAACCTCGCCCACTTTCACCACACTTGTCAACTGTGACTTGAAGTGCGGGCCTCAGAGCGAATCATTGCCCCCCGCCACCTGAAGGAATCTCCACCGAGCCCCCGACACACCTCGCATCCTCGCATCCTCGCCTCGTTTGAGCGACTACATACACAATGGCGCCAAAGAAGAAGGGCAACAAAAAGGCACAGAATGACGATTGGGAGGCCGAGCTCGGCGAGTCGGTTACGCCCCAGGATGCCGCTCCAGCAGAGCCCGAGCCCGAAGATGCTGCCGCTGCTGCCGACGATGATGTTGCAGGCGGCGGCCTGATGGCTGCTCTCGCAAAGCGTGGCAAAAAGAAGAACAAGAAGGGCGCAAACCCTGAAGTCGAAGGTGAGGACCCGCCTGCCGCCGATGGTGCGGATGGCGAGTTTGAGAACAAGGCACCACAAGAAGGAACCTTTGACGACGACGAGGACGATGTTTTCGCTGGAAACTACGGTAAAAAGAAGGCCAAGGGCAGCGCTGCTGTTGCAAAGGCGGAGGAGCCTGCTGAGGAAAAGACGGACGATGCGCTCCGTGTGAAGACAAAGGCGGAGAAGGAAAAGGAGAAGAAGGAGAAGGAGAAGCAGCGAAAGAAGGAATTGGTATGTCTACAAGCTTCATGACTTCATCTCATGCATGCTACGTAGCCCTATACTAAAATAATGTCTTAGGCTGCGAAGAAAAAGGCCACTGGCCCTGCCAAAGCCGAACCTGCAAAGCCCGAATCCAAGCCAGAAGCCGCTGCTGCGCCCGCTGCCGCTACCCCTACACCAGAGGCTCCCGCTGCTGGTGGCAAAAAGAAGAAGCTCAATCCGGCGCTGGCTGCACTACAGAAGCAACAGGAAGAGCGCAAGAGGAGGGAAGAAGAAATGGCGCGGGCTGAAGCCGAAGAAAGGGCCAGGTTAGAGGAAATTGAGCGACAAGAGGCAGAAGAGCAAAAGCGCAAAGAAGAGGCCAAAGCACTGAAGAAGCAAAAGGAAAAGGAGAAGATTGAGCAGCTGAAGAAGGAGGGCAAGTACATGACGAAGGCCCAGAAAGAGGCCAAGGCCAAGGCCGATCTCCGTCTGCAACAAATGCTGGAACAAGGTGGCGCAAAGGTTGCAGGTCTTGCCGAAGATGTCGACAAGAAGAAGAAGCCCAAGTATGATGACCGCAAGAAGAAGAAGAAGCAGGCCGAGACCCAAAAGGAGAAGGAAGCCCGTGAGGCCGAGGAGGCCGCTAAGAAGCTGGAAGAGCTCAAACTTGCCGAGGAGCAGGCTGCAGCAGCCGCTGAAGCAGCAGAGAAGGCCCGCCTAGATGCTGAAGCCAAAAAGGGAGATGGCAGTGATGCTGCTGACGACTGGGAGGCCGAAGCTGACGAACTTGAGGGCGTCAAAGACAGTTGGGACGTCGACACTGATGAAGAGGAGGAGCGCAAGGCGACTGAGAAGAATGGCCAAGGATGAGACGGCTGCGGCTGAGAAAGCAGCATTAGCAGCAGCAGACAAGGCCAACAATGATGGCTCCGAGACGGATTCCGAGGACGATAGCGATGAAGACTCATCCGAGGACGAGCAGGGAACCGCTGCGCAACGAGCCGAAGCCGCACGCAAGGCTGCCGCTGCTGAGCGGCGAAAGCAAGCCCACGAGGAAGCTCTTGCTGCACGGTCAAAGGACAATCTGCGATCCCCCATTTGCTGTATTCTTGGTCACGTCGATACTGGTAAAACAAAGCTGCTGGACAAGATCCGTCAAACCAACGTGCAAGAAGGCGAAGCTGGAGGTATCACACAACAAATCGGTGCCACTTACTTCCCAGTAGAAGCTCTCCAGAAGAAGACCGCTGTCGTCAATAAGGACAACGACTTCGTCTTCAACGTTCCTGGTCTCCTAGTCATTGATACTCCCGGTCACGAGTCTTTCACCAATCTCCGATCTCGTGGATCCTCTCTCTGTAATATTGCTATTCTTGTCATCGACATCATGCATGGTCTTGAACCCCAAACTATCGAGTCCATGAAACTTTTGCGAGATAGGCGGACACCCTTCATCGTTGCCCTCAACAAGATTGATCGTTTGTTCGGCTGGAAGAAGATTGACAACAACGGTTTCGAAGACAGCTTCAGCCTCCAGAAGCAATCTGTTCAGTCTGAATTCGAGGAGCGATGGACTTTTGTACGCACTCAGCTACAAGAGCAAGGTTTCAACTCGGAACTCTTCCACAGGAACAAGAACATGGCAAAGTACGTCTCTGTATGCCCGACATCAGCACACACTGGAGAGGGTATCCCGGACATGATCAAGCTTATTGTCAAGTTGACACAAGAGCGGTTAACAAACAACCTCATGTACCTCTCCGAGGTGGAATGCACTGTTCTTGAAGTCAAGGTTATTGACGGTCTTGGTACAACTATCGACGTCATCTTGTCCAACGGTGTCCTCCACGAAGGCGACCGGATAGTGCTATGTGGTAATCCGGAACCTATAGTAACCAACATCCGAGCCCTCCTAACACCGGCCGAGATGAAGGAACTGCGTGTGAAGTCACAATACGTGCACAACAAGGAAGTCAAGGCTGCCATGGGAATCAAGATCGCTGCTGATGGTCTCGACCAAGCTATTGCTGGTTCACGACTGCTCGTTGTCGGTCCGAATGACGATGAGGAAGATCTCATGGACGAGGTCATGGGCGATCTTGCCCATTTGCTCAGCAAGGTCTCCAAGACCGGTCGCGGTGTTTCCGTCCAAGCATCCACCCTGGGTTCACTCGAAGCGCTGCTCGAGTTCCTCCGCGTATCCAAGATTCCTGTCTCCACCATCTCAATCGGTCCCGTCTTCAGAAAGGATGTGCTTCGCGCAGGTATCATGTTAGAAAAGGCCAAAGAATACGCGGTCATGTTGTGCTTCGATGTCAAAGTTGACAAGGAGGCGAAGGCCTACGCTGAGGAAATTGGCGTCAAGATTTTCGAAGCCGACATCATCTATCACTTGTTCGACAAGTTCACAGCGCACATGAAGCAGCTCGAGGAGCAGAGGAAAGAAGAGTCAAAGATGCTGGCTGTCTTCCCCTGTGTACTTAAGCCCGTTGCCGTCTTCAACAAGAAGGATCCCATCATCATTGGTGTCGATGTCACAGAAGGTGCTCTGCGCATGACTACGCCCATTTGTGCCATCAAGAAAAACGCAGCTGGTGGCAAAGAACTTGTCCAGCTCGGAAGAGTGTAAGCCTTTACCTGCCTTTTACATTGCCATGACATCATACTTACTCATGATCTTCTAGTACCTCGATCGAGCGCGACCACAAACCCATGCAAATCTGCAAAAAGGGCCAGCCATCCGTGGCTGTCAAGATTGAAGGCACCAACCAGCCCATGTATGGTCGCCATTTGGAAGAAGACGATATCTTGTACTCTGCCATCAGTCGGAAGAGTATCGATACGCTCAAGGAATTTTTCAGAAGCGATGTCAGTCAGGAGGAGTGGAAGTTGATTGTGCAGCTGAAGCAGATGTTTGATATTTCTTAAGCGTGGGGTGGGGCTGCAAAAGGGAAGAGACGACAAGGTGTGTATGATGCAATGCAGTCTTTTCGCGTTCATTTTCCGTCCTCTTGTGTGTGTGTGTGTGTCCCTGTGAATGTACGTATATAAAAAGACGGAATAGCATACACTGGTTTTAGCGCCACCTTTTGTCACAATACAGTAAATTCGCCACTTTACACATGCATTGAATATTTTCCTTTTATCTTATGAGTCTGCAGTGCCTCTAATCCCACTTATCCTCTCACCGCCCCATAGCTTTAGATTTGTGTTTTGGAAACCAGAAGTATACATGTCAAACACTAGTTGGGTATTTTACAAGTGCATATTTGCTTATGGCGCCGTTTCGATACCTTTTTAGCAAAGAAGAACTCAATGCCGGATAAAACACATCGCTTGCTTCCTTGCAAGGGTATCTCCCAGGCTACTAATACTAAGGTTGTTACTTCTTTTTATAAGCTAATAACGGGCAAAAGCAACACAACGCTAATCTCACCGGATACTTGTAGACCCATTGTTATTAGCACGTTCTAGACTTGCTCCCTTGGAAAGTCGGAAGGTTTATCCACCATCGTTTAGAGAGTACAAGCTTGACTGCAGGACACCGACGGAACGGGATACTGGTTAGCTGGGTTTACTATAGATGATAAGCGCTATTGATCGAGCTTTCCATGGACGCCCTTTCAAGCCGGCTTGTGTAAAACCTAGCAGGATCCATGTATTGAAACCATCGATAACGCAGCCGTTGTTGTGATGAACCGGATTGTTGCATTAGAGATTGAAGGATATTGATATAGAGTGCCAACGCTTCTAGGATAAAAACTTGCGCTACGATAACGTGGTTTGTGTCGATTTTGTATGAATTAGTTATAACACCCCGTCACATGTACCTATATAGTGCCCAGGTAGTTTCTGGACCGTGTGTGTGTGGATAGTATCAAGCCTATAACCGTAAAAGTATAGTTATATGTTCTTCTCATACCGTTGTCCAAGATTATCCATGTCGGAATGACTATTATCTTGACGTCGCGGCATTCGGGGTCGTGAAACAACCGTGCAGGATATTGCGCTCGCTGGATAAACACCTGTATGAGGACTTTTATGGAGTTTCCGATACAACTGATTTTTTTTCTTAATTAACCAAGTTTGTCTAACAAAGACTGGATAACACCTTGACTGCTTTTTTGTATTGCTACTACAAACACCGCGTTGTGGAAATCTGCTACTACTAAACATTGATATTACTTACTTTACATGTATATATATAAAGACTGGATTTAACACAGTAAGACGGCAACGAGTCACAGAAGATTGCATTACATGCTTGTGATTGCTCAGGAAATCGACGGGAGGAATAGGTAAATGATTGTGTGAACTACTCTAAAAAATGACAGCGACGAAGAGATGGAGGAGCTCAAATGAGGTACTTGTCAGAGTAGAGCTTACTAGCCACTGTTCCTTTTCATGGCCCGGTGGAAGTTCGTATAATTGCGCAACATTAGAACATATGCTAATTAGCATGGTTAATGTTTGTCGCATATACAGGGGCATGTAAACTGATGATGCCAAGACGCCTCGGGGCTGAAGAAATGTGTCGGAGGAACATGGATATGTTCGGCCGATCAGCCGCCAAAGGCCGATGGTGTCACCGCGACTCAGCCCCAACTTGGACTCTTCTGCGACGCGATTGTTTGCTTGCGACTCTAGATTCTTTGAGTCATCGCCATCATGACGGAACAACGCGTCGCGAAGCGCAAAACACACACAAAGTCGCGTAAGGGATGTTTCCAGTGCAAATCCAGACATACAAAAGTACGTGTAAACTGTACCTCTAGCCAATCAGAGTGATATGCTCACCAGTCGTCGCAGTGCAATGAAGCGCGCCCGCGCTGTGGAAATTGCGTTCGTCTGGATATCAATTGTACCTTCCCATTCATACCAGAGAGCTATTCAGGATCTCCGCAAACCAGCCCAGGCGTGTCTTCGCCGTACGTGGACGTAGCTGCTCCGGAAAGCCCCGATGTAGCTCCCAGCAGTTCCGAGCTTCACATCGCGGACCTGCGTCTACTTCATCACTGGACTAAGACCGTTGCTAAAAGCTTGCACCCCAACCCTTCAAATAGGAGTTCTGTATTCCAGAACGACTTCGTGGAGCTGGGCTTCGAGTACCCTTTTCTCCTCCATGGCTTTCTAGCTCTCTCTGCGGTCCATCAGGCCATCTTGCTTCCTCCAAATGACAGGCAGCACCTTCTTCTCCAAGCCGACTCCCACATTAGTCGGGCGTTGGAAACCTATAGGGGAAACCTGGAGAATCCCAAAGCCGGACTGGCCGTTCCCATGTTCATGCTTTCGTCCGTCTTGTTCACATACAACCTCGGCTCAGCGCAACTCGAAAGACCAGAAGACCCCATCGCCGCGCTCCACCACTGTTTCATGCTACTGCAGGGCATCAGAGTCGTTGTATTACCTCATTGGGATCAAATCAAAGACAGTCCTGCTTTTGCTCACATGACGGATATGGCGTTCCCCGAAGCTTTGAAAGCTCTGGACACCCTTCCAAAAGAACAAAAATTCCAGGAGATTCTCCGCCTGAAGGAACTTACCGAGCTTCTGTTAGACAGTCAAGATAAAGAAGCATGCGCTACCGCTATCGACGAGCTCCATAGTACTTGGTTGCGCTATCAACACATACCTCCCGAGCGCGACGAGTATACCCTGCTCTTTCTCTGGTCTGCTCAATTGAATAGTCGGTTTCTTAAACTTCTCGCAGCTCACAACCCTGTGACATGTATTATTACAACTCACTTCGCTGCCATGTTGGCTCAATCTCGTCCGGTTTGGTGGGTTGTCAAATGGCCTCAATGGCTTCTTGTAGCATCAGAACAGTTGCTAGCAGCGACTCTCCGATCTCTTGAACTGGCTAGATTGGCCACGACAGATTATTAACTCAAGACCTAGGAGTGCTACCACCACTCCAGCTGCTTCTTGATAGGCATGCTCACCAAAAACAAGGCGATAGTCATATCTTCGATGTGTGTCGCCTGTACCAAGTTTGATTACTATCCCTTAGTGAGGCGCAGAAAAATACTGTTCACCTAAGTCGCTGTCTAGGCTGTAGCGGGGCGCAGCAATGATCGATCCGTATTTACCCCACAACATTATCCAAGGCAGATTCCGGAAGAACTTTACAGCCCGCTGGGTAACGCGAGATGCAGAAATCCCGAGAAGGGATGCAGGCGCCTAGCTCGATACGGCAATCTTCGTTTTAGCGTGGAGGACTGCAAACCATTTGTTTGGCTCCCAACGACTCCGCCCCAACTTCGGTGCCCGACATGTCTTGGCAGCTGAAATGGTACTTCGCAGCAATACCTTGGTGGACCTCGGACACCACACTTTCCTAGCAGCCTTGTCCAAAATAGAACTTGAGAAGTATGAAGGTGTGGTCAGACATGCCCTAATAACTAGCCTCTGGATTCTCGAGGATAGTTCAGTTCAGTCATCTTCTTACCGCGACTTCACCATCGAACAAGCCATGTCCCCTACAGAATACCATTATGCGCTCAACGACCCCAATGTATACGTCCTATACCGATATACACCATCGAAAATTGCGGCGGGCATCTTTGTGTTTGCATTTGGCTTCACAACATTTGCGCACATCTTCCAGTTATTTCAAAAACGGACATGGTACTTCACGCCACTCATCGTTGGAGGCTTGTGTATGATTATACTTCACCCATTATTGGCCGATAAAAGCTGATATGGTCTAATCTCTAGTTGAGATAATTGGTTTTATTGGTCGATCCATCTCTCACGACGATCAATGGGCTCTTGGTCCCTTCATCATGCAGTCACTGCTTATCCTCCTCGCCCCAGCCTTATTCGCAGCTTCCATCTACATCATACTCGGTCGCATTATTCTATTGGTGGATGGAGAGCGCTACTCTTTGGTGCGCCAGAAATGGCTTACAAAAGTCTTTGTAGCGGGGGACATTTTCAGTTTCCTCCTGCAGGGTACTGGTGCGTTGATCATCATGGAAGTCAGCTCAACTGCGGACAGCTAATGACTAACTGCAGGTGCTGGTATCCAGGCTATGGCCACCAAAAGTTCCATGCATCTCGGTTCACAAATTATCATTGGTGGGCTCTTCGTCCAACTTGTCTTCTTCGGCCTTTTCATCGTCATATCAGGGGTATTCCACTACCGACTCGTGAAGGATATACCTCTGCAGAAGCGCTACGGACCGTCAATGATCTTCCGCTCCAAGGAAGCTTTCCAAGCTGAAGCACCCTCCAAGCCCTCCCTGCCGCGGGAGAGCCTATCCGACTTGCCCTGGAAGCGCCATCTCTTTAATTTGTACTTTGCGAGTACCCTTATCTTGGTCCGCAGCACCTTCAGAGTGATAGAGTACATTGGAGGCAATGCAGGTTACCTTTTAAGCCATGAAGTGTTTCTATACATATTCGATGCATTGCTCATGCTCTTTGTCATGGTGTCGTTCAACATGATCCATCCCAGCCAGGCGACCGAGATGTACCAGATGAGGCTGAGAAGCGAGTCTTCTCTGGAGCTTCAGCAGGCACCAGTGGAACCTGTTGTACGGGATGAAGAACGGCTGATCAACTGTCAAAAGGTGGATAGCGGAGTATGGCTGAGCGGTTGCATGCCATTTGGACGATGAAAGAGATGTATACACTAAGATCTACAGGGCAGATATCGTCGGAGATAAGATGACAGGTACAACGTTAGCGTAGAAAGGAAACCACCGACCCGGAGAATCACCGATACGTGAGCACACTCTACAATAGTACATAATGCATCAAAAGAACCAAAATCTATATTGCTATGGCGACATTCTTTGGACTGTTGGCCTTCTACTTGTCAGTATCTTTGACATTATTCACATTATGCCCTATTGCATATGTAGTTCACTCCGAGTTTGTCCAGGTCTCTCGGTGCACGTCCTCATCCGAGAAAAATGCGACACTTTTCCAACCGCACGGGCCCGAAAATCTAAAAAGGGTTGCATTTTTCCCGACGGGGGCATTGGTGAGAGTTTCGCGAACCGCGTCAGCCGAGCAAGTTACATCATCGTCAAACCTCAATAGCCAAGACTCCTGCAATTTTGCAAACTATCTCCAACGACTCCATCTCACGCTCATGCTTCCATTGGTGGCTTGTGGACCCTGAACCAAGAACCGATACCCCTGAGGGGGCGCAGTCAAGCGTCCTAGGGTGAGCGCAGCGGAAGCGCAGAGTAGTTCCCCTATTGATGCCCAAAGACGCGCGCCGTGGATGCTACGCTACATGGATGCATTTTTCCAATATGCTTGGACCAAAGAAATGTCCCTTTGGACTGTACCCCATCGTGAACCGCCATCTGATTCTACACCCATGGTTTTGAAAGTCACCATGCACTTGATATGTCCGCTCGGCAAGGCTAGCAGTCTTTGAGAAAAATTGTTTTGTGGGCTCGGATTAGGGGTCTTCTCAACGACGATGGGGTGGAGAGTCGGTCTGGTTGAGCAGAAACTATAGGAGAGAGAAAGTTATGGACCGAGAAGAAGTTGCGGTCTAGATCGAGTAAAGAGTAGAATGCAGAGGGCACTCGCAGTCCCCTTGCCTCTTAAGACACATTAGTTAGGCCTGCTTGTGTGGCTACCTCGCTTCCACGTGTATGTTGGATTTACTGCTGCCTGCGACAGAAACATGCTAGTCCGAACTGCGGCCGTATTCAAAGTAGAATGCATCCTAGTTGACGCTAGGAATATCATGATAAAATTCTGCCAGGTTGTTCGTATAGAATACTGCAGGGTCCTTGCTAACGGTCGGCAACGGCGTGCCTTTTGCATTGCAATTTTCGCTCTGTACCATGGGACTGTTCGAGAAAACGGTGGACGCACCAAGGTTTTCTTCACAGACTCAAAATTTGCCAAAAACCAGGAGACACCATGCAAACTCGTTGCTAGAGAGGAAGCTGGAGGTTCGAAACACGGCAAAGAAATAGCTGAAAGTTGATATAAGGGCGAGCACCTTTTTTCTCTCCTACTCAACACTGCCATAAAGTGGCGGTAAGAGGAGGCATATAGTGATACAAGGGTATCTAACTACAACTCGACTAACAAACCTCACTATGCAGATGTAAAGGTTGTAAACTTATATTTGGTGATTTTTAGGCTAGCTACGGGGTCTCTTTAAACACGAATTACTGCGTCGATGCGTCTTACAAAAGTGAAGAAAACCCGCATAATCTGCCTCCCTTTCCATACATGCTGTGATCCTATCTTGACAATTGGCATGAAGTACAATGAGACCTCTGATGTCTTGCTGCACAATCTGCCTCCCCTTCCAAGTAAGCTGTAATTCTCTCGTCTCTACAATGGGCATGGAATGCAATGTGTTCCTTTAGTTCTGCCACTTGTTCTCGATAGTAGTTTATTTCCTCCTTGAGGGCCCGATTTATCTTCTCAACCTCTCGGGATCGTCGCACCAACTCCTCCTGCTCCTGCTTCTGCTTGTTTCTGCACTTGCTAGCAGCCTTGCGGTTCTTCTCCAAGTATATAGCCCGTGCCGACCCTGGTTCGGCGTATTCGGACTTGCGCCTTCGCCCAACAGAGACTTGCTGCGTTTCTGGAGATCCATCGTCGTCTTTGATGAATATACTGTCGCGGCGATCTTTGGTAGCATCATCTTCGTACGGCGGTGGTCCAAAACAGTCGCCGATGTTCGGTTGCTCCATTTGACCCACCCGCGGCTGCATCTGCTGCGGTTGTTGTAGTTGTTGCGCTCGCTGCATCGGCTGCATTTGGGGTGATACATTCTGCCACACGGAAGGCCGAATGGGAAGATTCTGGTGTGCGACTGACGAAAAGCCCGTGTTAAATTCTTGCCTCGGCGCGTATGTACCATGCGGGTCTGTGTATTGGAAGTCATTGTGGAGCTGTGGTAGGAAACTCCCGTGAGGTGGCCCTCTGCTGCCGAATGAGAGGTGAGAATATTCAGTGTTGAGTCCTGTCGTCTTAAGCTGGAAACCTTGGTGTTCATTATAGTCGTATTGTGGCAGAGTTTCATCGTATGCTTCTCGTTCGCCGAAGGGGTGCTTGTTCTGTATCGACATTGCCTGCGTTGAGATTGCCTGAGTTGACATGGCTTAAGATTTCTTTCGATATATATATTTCTTCTTTCGGTAGCGAGAAGAATGGGCGCTTTGTTCCGCCCAATCGTAGTGATGGTGGAGGGAATGTGGTTTTGGATAACTAGAATGTTGGTGGGTAATCGATGTGGACTATCGAGGGTGTTCGGTGCAAAAAAATCCATCTATACATATGGAAGACTTGTTGTTAAGGCCAGACGGAACAACATGACCGGGGATACGGGCCAGGGTTCGTCTTATCGAGGGAAGGACCCCTTTTGTTGTCGATCAGGCGGCTAGGCATTAATACAGACATTGGAAGGTATCCCCAGTACACAGGGAAATGGCGCCTACCACATTCTGTTCCCAGTTGCTGCGAGTTTCGTCGCGCGAGCCCTGCGCAGACGCGTATGGCTAAAAGGACCGCACCCAGCTTGAACCCACTATCTGCCGACGATCCGGTACACCATTCAACGGTATTGTTAGACGGCAAAGTACCATGACGGGCTGAAGACATGGCCGCATATGCGAGCGATGCGAAACCGCGGCCATGTAGTTCTTCGGTGGGCTTTACCGGACCCGATTAGAAGGCTGCCACGCTGCGTATCACTGCGAGTACAACTGTGTTCTGTTGTAACTTATCCTTTGGCTTCAAGCCTTTTCTCACATGGAATTTGCCTCAAAGTCGAGTGTGGTCTTCTTCTTAAACGGCGCCAACAGCGGGGTATTACCATACGATGTCGGCGCGGCTCCGGAAAGGCGAAACGAGGTTCTGCATGCGCAAGTTCGGCTTGTTGAGTCGAAACCTTGGAAGCTTCCCCGCCCCCAAACAGATAGCGGCCAGCTTGGTGAACATGCATATGTGATCTTCGCCCTATGCGCCATGAGCGGCTGCCATCAAAAATAAAAAAGCAGATGCAAATGGAAATGCCAGTAATAATGAGCTGTGGTTGGTTTCGCTTTCACAGGCATAGGTCAATGCATTCGCATCGACTTCTATAATACCACAAAGCATCTTCTAACGTCGTTCCTTTTGCAGCCTACTAAGTAAGAATAGGATAAACCTTGTTGTCGAGAACAAGGAACGGCCCACATCGTTCACAAAGATGCTTAGACTTTAGTAAAGGCATGTTCAAGCATGTATTTGCACATCTGCCCTCGTACTTCCCTGTGTAGTCGGCAGCTGCGTCTTCATCTATCCACAGGTGGTCCTCATCATGTCCCGGCGGACTCTCCCGTTGGTGCATACAACTTCCAATAGACATGCAAAACAAGGATGATGCTAGTTTGTTAGCTTATTCGCTCAAGAAATAGGAAGCAGATCCTCTCCGTGGAATCATCATGCTCGCTTGCTTGTTTGGGCCATTACCAAGTCCCATAGGTACGGTAAGCCAAGGCAGCGCTCCACGGCAGCGTTCGGGAAAGCCAAGCTTGGCCAAGTCCTGTATGAACCCGAACCTGTGAACTATGGATCCGAGTCTCGCGAAGGATTCCATTGGCAGTATTTGGGCAGCCACTGGAACATGTTCCTACGAATAAGACCACCTGTCAGCCTCCACCATCAACATCTAGTTATCAAAAGCCCTGCCTGCAGCAATGACTGCCTGGAATTGCGGAAAATGCGAGCTCCAACTATAATCAGTCAGGTTTGTCTTAGTGAAAGGATACAGACTTGCTTCCGCGGCAGCATTGGCCACCCATGTGTCTACCATGGTTGATGAATCCACTCTTTTCCTATAGAAGCAAATTCTCGCTTCCTCCAATGTCTTGATTCTGATCCGTGCTCAGGTGAAGTTCAAATTCACTCAAGCTGATATCCACCGTTCTGGGAGCCACACGCTCATTACGGCATTTGATGTGACAATGCCGGGTACATTTCATTGTCTTTGTCGGTTCCTCTAAGCCGTTCTCGAATTTGATGCTCGCACTTTCAAGTCCTGTCACTTGTAATACTACATAACGATACCCAGAGTGGTGGTGAGTACGATTCTATCAAAGCCTATATCAAATTGAGAAGACAGAAACCACAATGCGAGACGCTATTCTTAAGGGATGGAGATCTGTGATGTCTCGAAGAGTCTTCGATAACAGAGTACGTTAGTATATTCATAAGATTCAGCCCATCATATACGTACCTTGGTCCATGATTGCGTATATCTGGTGTTCACGCATACGGTCGGACGTCGGACATGTTACTAACTTGCAAGCACTGTCACCATCTCTAATACCCCGCAGGACTACCGCTATTGGTGCTAGTACAATCTTTCGGACCCATCGATATACGTAGCAGGAAGTTGATCCCAAGTTACCGATCGACTAGTACCATTATCACTGGTGTCACTACTAGCACTTCTGTGAGGTCATAATAGGAAATGTTTTCCTCAAGGAACTTGCCGCGTAAGTAGTCTTGGAGGCTAGCAACTCAAACGCTACCTAGGCAGCAACTAGAAACGCTGGCCTCAATATTGGAGTTTGTGTTCATGCATCGTGTTTATGAGATGCCAAAGCGAATGCTGAGCCCCAACTATGAGTGTCTTATTAGGGAGCTACCATGGTGGGTTAACATCGAGACTATAGGTAAGCACGAGGTGGAGACGTATGCCTAAATGACGTTGTTTCATGAGAGCACCTTGTTGGATATTCTAAAAATAGTGTAAACTTGAGAGCACTGCATCTGGGGAGCGAGAAACCATCAACACTCAACTTTTTCCCTCTTTATTTCTCCCTCTTTTCGACCACGACAACGTAGTTGACAACAAATTCTTATAAGATAGTTAGAATGCTTAGTAAAAAAGATTTTATAAGAAGATTTTCTAAACAATGCTGCCGTGACAGGGCAAAGCTGCAAACATTTGGAGGTGACGGAGGTGTTAGGTTTCTCTCGCCCCTAGGATGATTGTGTGATTCACTGAGGGTGACATGACGGTGTATCTTGTTGAGTAAGGTAGTTGAAGTGTTAGAATTCTACATTACAGATGACTAGGGTATAGAATTCCGTGTTTGTATGCAAAAGAAGAACAACAGCATATTAACGGTACAGGTCAATAATACATGTCGCCTAAAATTACTAAGTTATGGAAGCTGGAACTATCCCCGAGCGCGGGTACGTGTTTCCGGGATTTGACACGGCTGATCTACTCCGCGAACTCCGCACTTGCGTACAGTATGAAACCCTGGATCCTCACTTCGCAAGGACCTTGCTGCAGGCCAAGTGCGATACTCAACAACCAAAACAGACACGAAGATAAAATACATTCACGATGCGCGTAGTTGTCTTCGGCGCATCTGGGGTCCAAGGTCGTCATCAAGTTCATGCTCTCGCGCGAGCAGGACATTCGGTCGTGGCAGTGAGTCGCAACCCAAAACAGCTTCTCGTCGACGACAAGCCCGTGGAAACTTTCGCTGCCGACTTTTGCGACAGGGCTGCAATTGAAGAAGTGGTACAAAAGGCGGATAGAATCATGCTCAACCTGCCATCGACGTCCTTCAATAAATCTGAACCTATCCTTGCTGCCGCCAAAAGCATCGGCGAAGCTGCTAAGAAGGCCGCTGTACCTTTGATCATATTCAACACAAGCATGCCAGTCCCCAAAGAAGTCCAACATATCACAGCCCAGGATGATCGGAGAAAAATGAGGGAATCCCTGCGCGAGTCTGTACCGACAATCAGTATCGAGCCTGTAGTCTACTTGGACAATCTACTTGAAGGCTGGGCCTTACCGCCCATCAGAGACCAGCAGAAGATTGTATACTGCCACAAGCCTGATCTACGCGTCTCCTGGATCTGTCACCACGATGTAGCGCAGATCATGATGGCTGCAATGCATCGCCCTGATGTCGCCGGGCGCGACATTCCCGTAGGGGGACCGGAGACTGTCGTTCTCTCCCAATTGGCTGAGAAGCTTTCCAAAGCCTGGGGCAAGAAGCTGAGTCACGAGAACCAGACAGTCGCTGATTTTTGCGATAAGATTAGTCAGACTATGAAGGGCAGGGGACTGGAGACGGACAAAGTGGTTAGTCAGATGTTCAAAGCATACACTTATTATAACGAGGCAAGGGACGAGCCTTTTAACATTGATATGAGCTCTGTAGTCAAAGAGCTGGGAATAGAGTTGACATGGATTGAAGAGTGGGCTAAGAAGAGGAGCCCTTGGGACGACAAGGGGTATTACTAGGGAAGACATATCCTGAGGAAACGAGGTGCCAATCAAGAACCGCTGCTCTCAAAATAGCCTGGGAAGTGCACTGTTCTTTCATGCTACCGTCAATATGACTGGCATTGATTCCAAAATTATTAGATATCAATTAAGCATCGTCTCTAAAACGTCCGTCTACCACCCGATCCGCTACAAGTCCATCATTATAATCACTCATAAAACCAGCGCATTCCCAGCCAACGCTCCATCATATAACGGCATTCCATAAGTCCCAATCCCCTTGCCTCTCAGTCTCTGCACCTCCAACGCCACCTCCTCGGCCTGCCTTAGCATGTCTTCACTGCTCCCCTTGCCAGGCACAAATACAAGCCCCACATCCGGCGCCGGTGCGCCGGTGCCAACAAACTTCCCTTCTGCGTCTTTGGCATAATGTGCCAGGTACTGCGCGCGCTTCATCTTGCGCACAACGATGGATTGCTTGACTGCGCCTTGTTTGTGGGAGAAGGGATTGTAATTGTGAATGCTGTTGGCGACGGTGCGGGTAACCATGGGCACGGAGATTATTTCGTCGGGTGGCCCGATGGAGAGGGTTGAGATGGCGTGTTGGACGGATTCGTAAGAGGGGGGTTGTGAGTCTGATGACGAGGACGTATAGGTTGGTGGTGCGTCTTGAGATCCGTCTGTTGGCGCCGTGCTGGCACCTTTTTCTTTGGACGAAGTACCTTTGGTCATGTTTGGAAGCCGAAAGTTTGTGAGAGTATATTGGCAACGTCTATATCGTAGGTCACGCCGAACTAGTTTTGTGTACGGACCTACAAGCCCATCCCACGTACTTATACCTGCCTCCTTCCAGTGGCTATGCTCAGGCCTATCTTCACAGCCTCTGAAGTTCGGCTAGTCAAACTAACATGGTGCACACGAGATGCCGCACAGCCCGCGTATTCCCCCCATGACTTTGCCACGTTAGCATCCTAGCCAGCCAGAGCTCAACCATACTCAGGCCCCCAAGAACAACCTGCAGGTGTGCTAGGAAATATGCAGCTAAAAGAAAGAAATCCGGAAAACGTTTTGCTATGAACCTTATCTGGCTGGTATGGACGCAGTTAATTCCGCCTCGGCGGCGAATCTGAAGGCCGGATGGCTGAGCATGCGGCAGGCTAATACCTGCGCTAGCGTCTCCCCGCCTCTACGACGTCATCTGTCTGGGGAACAACTCAGGGTCCTGTCTAAATCTCATGGCCAAGTTATTTGAGCATGTGTGTGCTGGTAGAGTTGGGTTAATATCTCTGTTTACAGCCTAGGGTTGTTGCCATTGGGACTGACGGAGGGCGGAAGAGGGAGTGGGGTATTTGCAGAGGAACCCGAATGTGTGGCCGTTTCTCTAGATTCTAATTTCTCTTCAAATCAACTAACTTAACACATTTCTCATCTTGTTCATCGGTGACATGAAGTGGCTAGTTCTGGATTACGAGGTTGAGCCTTGCCGGGCCCAACTCCGGATGAGGCGCCTGAGATTCCTTGGGCTAACAATAGAATATAGCAATGTGACGGGAGTTTGCATTTCTGCCTGCTGGAGTAGGAGAGTATTCAAGTGAACATTGTTTTCATATTTAACTATTGCTGTATCTGTCATAATCATAATTTCATCGGATAGTGTCGCAAAACCCGTTGCGACACAGCACGTCCCCCCTTTTAAACTTTAATACTTAAACGTTAACCTCTCATCGTAAGTATTCCTCCTCATCCACTTCTTTGCTGTGCTTTTCAATCATGTGTGTAGTGAAACCTTCGCTGGTGAAAGGTTGACGCGACATGCGAACGATGGCGGTGATAGACTTGCCCTCGGTGAACATGACCTCGAGCTCCTCCAGACTGCGACCCATGGTCTCAGGGTAGAACAGGAAGACAACAGGCAAGATGAGAGCCGAGATGCAGAGGAAGACGAGGTAGTATTGCCAACCAATTGTGTCGATCGCGACAGGGGTGACCATGTTTACAACAAAGTTCCAAAGCCAGTGGTTCTGAGAAATGATTAGTAATGGATTTGTGTGAGGGGTAAAGAGGGAGCTTACAGCGGTGGAGATTCCCGACATGGGGACACGAAGGCGCGTTGGTGCAACTTCTGTGCAGTATAGGAAATTGGCACCAAGGAAGCCGATTGGGATGAAGAAGTTGAACAAGAAGACGAATAGTGCTGATGCAATCTGTGCTGAGCTGTTCGACTTGGGAAAGCTGGACGCTATAGCGAGAGCCAGCATGCAAGATGCCATACCGGCACCGCTGAACATGAAGAGCTTTCGGCGTCCGAACCGGTCAATGGTGAAGAAGGCGACAAAGCAGGAGAGGAACTTCCAAGTCAGAGCGCCACCAGAAAGAATGCGGGAAGTCTCAGAGTTGAGGCCAAGGCCTTGCTGGAAGATGATCTGTGCAAGAGACATTAGTGTCTGATTCACGAAAATTGCTGGGGTTGAGGATAGGGAGACTTACAGTCGAGTATGTAGAAATGAGGTTGCTTCCACACATTTGCTGCAAGAACTGGAGGAAGATACACAGTGAAAATCGATAGAACAGCTTGTCCTTGCCCATGGTGAAGATGTCGCTCATCTTTGCTGCGCTGCGACCTGTCTCCTCGAGCGCAAACTCGATACCGGAGATCTCGGCACTGACCTCTGGGTCGGCAATGTCTAGGCCCTTGAAGCTTGACAGACTGGCGCGGGCCTCCTCAACACGCCCCTTGTTGACTAGCCATCGAGGTGACTCTGGAATCAAGAAGACACAGATCATGGGGACGAGGGAGATGACAGTCGGGATGGCGAGGGGAATGCGCCATTGTAGGGGGAGGTTCTTTTGCTCGAAGAATCCGAGATTGATCCAGGCCTCAAGGAGGTAGCCCAGAGAGATGAAGCAGCCGTCCAGGACGACGTGCTTACCACGGTTGGCAGACGACGAGCACTCGGACTGCCAGACGGGAACGGTAGCGCTCAGAGCACCAACTCCCCACCCCAGAACAAAGCGGCCGATGATGAATTGAACAAGCTGGAAGCTGGTGCATTGCAGAATCTCGCCAACGAGGGTTAGGAAAGCAGCGCCGAAGATGAGTTTGCGGCGGCCGAGAATATCGCCGATCCAGGAACAGGACAGAGCACCGAAGAGGGCACCGATGGTAAAGGTAGCAACGACAGCGCCCTGTTTGGTGGAGTGGTTTGCCTTGACGGCTCCCTTGAAATCGATTGTGTTGATGGCTGGGAAGTGATCGTTCCAGTCCCGTAGAGAGAGGAGACCGCCGACACCGGATTGGTTGTATCCAAACAACACAAAGGCTGGCAGCACAACCAGCAAAAGCTGGGCTGTCTGCAGAGTCTTGCCAGAGAGTCCCATGATGTAGAAGCAGGGAGATGAAGATGGATAGTGATTAAAGGACGTGGATGAGCCAGATGGAAAGGAAGGCGGCTCTCTACTTGTACTCCAGGACAACCTCCCCACAAAATGATTAATGTGGATGTGCTCTCGTGGAGACAATTGTCTCCAGCAAGTGCACAGTGCATTCAACGCCGTTCCCCACCTTGGGGTTACCGGAGACACCAGGTAGGAGCTCGCTCCGATGCCTCATTCTAGTCGCAAGCACCATAGGCGGTACGTATGCAGCCGCCTCAGGTTGACCGGTGTGGACCAAGTTGTCGGGGGAGTTGACTCGTATACGGACCGAGCAGCGCGACCTGTGGGCGGCCATTATTCGGGCTTGGACTGTTTGAGCGCAGCGGGTGATGGCAAAAGTCTTTGCCATCCCGCGCCGCTATTGTCAAGGTTGAGGCTTGAAGTGGGCCCCGTGATGGTGAGGTTCTGCGGCAAGATTTAAGCTTCACCAAGAAGGAGCTAGCGGGCTTAAAAACCTTGATTCGCGCCACCTGCCATTGGACGCCGCCTGTGGCCTCGGCACTTGTTTCACCCCCACTGACGCCAGGTGCCTATATTCAAACGACTCCGTAAGACTCCATACTGCCGGAATATGACAACTCGTGCGAGAGGGATTTTGCACAAGGCGGCGCCGCGGACTGGAGGGCCCAGATTCTATCATGATGAAACGCCGTGCCGGCGTTATGCTTGGCTACGTGAGCCTAACCTCGAGCGGCCGCAGCTTGGAGGCGTCAGTTGAACGCTTCTATGTCTTATCTACAGTCCTCATACACACGGCACGCACACCGGTGAGACAAGACTTTGCGCGACGAGCAATGGTGTAGCTTGTTTACGCCTTGTCAACGCTTGGCTACACCACCTCAGCGCTTCTATGGCTCTCAGATGACTTGGTTGGGTCTTGTCGATCCCTCTGCTAGTTTCAATAAGGTTTGCAGAACGGCCACGCTCGTCCCCCTTCCCCAGCCTCCGTTTCAATCTGTGCCCTCAACTCCTCCCCCCCGGTGGGTCTAATTCTCTGCTATCGTCCGACAGTTCCGTGTCAGCGCCAGCTCCTGGGGTTCTTGTAAAACCCGTTGCCAACCTGACGTGTTGATCTTCCACAGCAGCGGAAGACATGTCCTCGCTTGTTGCTGCCACGATCGGCACGAGGCCGGACTCGACACGATCAATGACGGCCTTCTCCACGCTTGGGAGGGGCTCGTCAACACCTTCCTTGTAGGCTTTGAGCAGGCCCACGGCTCTCTCATCGCCTTGCACTGCACTTCTGAGAATCAATCTTTCCCAAGTTCTCTTTCTGGGTTTCATACGGCCTTTATTCGTGCCCGTTAGATTTACGCTCGTCATCTCTTCGTAATAAAGCAGAGCGCCGTCCAGATCGCCACACTCCAAGCATACCAAAATGAGCCGGTCGTATGTGAGACGGTCGGGTTTGCAGCCCAGTTGCATCATCTCGTTTGCAAAGAACATGGCCAGCTCCTTGCGCAATTGGCGACGGCAGCCTCTAAAGAGTATGTTGAACGTATTCGTGTTGGGGCCCGCATGGGAAACAGTGTGCAGAGCCTTGTACATTTCGACGGCTTCTTCCAGGCGATCCAGGGCGATGCTAGCTTGCATACATGCATTGACGGCGGCCGTCGGAACTTTACGGCCAGCGGCCTCGAAGTCCTGCAACAGAATGAAGGCTTGCATGGGTAGACTATCCCCGCCATGCTTTTGGGTAAACAGATGCCAGTAGAGTGGGTGGCACGTCCCTTCGTCTACCTTGAGGTTGGCGTCAACCATGATGAGAATGACACTTAGCGCCGCCGACAAATCGTTGGCCTTGAGATATGTGTTGATGAGCATTTCGTATTGATGAGTTGTGATTGTGGTATCTCGCTCAGTAAGCACACGGAAAACATCCGTGGCCAGCTGGACATCTCCATGGCGGGAGGCCGTGGTCAAAACAGAGAGACAGGCGCCAGTTGCAGGTTTCAGGTAGCCGGGCTGAACTTGGGTCGTCCATACCATGTTTGTCTCGTGGTACTAAGCCGAGGTTAGCAGTGTGTTGCTGCCACGCACTCAAAGGATGCACTTACAAGATTTGCTTGCGCCGCAGCATCTAGCAATGCACCCCAGAGGGCATCACTCAGCTTGCTTGGCGCTGTTGCATTGCTCCTACTTTGCGCATCTGCCCTGAGGTTCAATACGTAAAAGGCTTCCTCAGCCTCTCCAAATTCCAACAGCATCCACATTGCCTTTTCGAACAGCCAGCTTTCGACGCGTATGTTGTTCTTTACCATGTCCTCCAGCGCGGACAATGCATGTTCAAAGTGACGCTCGCGCAGCATTCCAGCCACAACAAAGTTGCGAGCACGGTCTGAAAGCGCAAGCCACCGCGACTTCATGTATTCGAGAATGTCGGCACGTAGGAGATAGTCGGGGTGGACGGCGAGCACCTCAAGCACGCACTCGCAAGCCCGAGCATCCAGCTCGATCTTGGGCCGGCCGCTCACGGAACCGTCAGTGTCGATCCAGAAGCCCATCTCTTCGAGCACCTTGCGCACCTTGCCCGCCGTACCATTGGTGCATTCAGCAAAACTGTGCAATATGGCAGTGTACATTTCCCTATTTGGCTGCTCTCCTCTATCTTTGACCAGTATCCTGCAAATATTCATCACGTCGTTGAAGTGACCCTTGGCCCCCTCGGCGCGGACATGTTCGTAGAGGACGTGGGTGGGAAGTTGGGTAATCGGAAGCTGCTCCCTTGGACGACGGGGAGAGTCGCCTAGCGATATGAAGCCGGTTGAAGCAATGCCGGGCTGGGTGAAGAAGGAGTCGTTTGCGGCGAAGCGTGTATCTGAAGTCCTGTATGCACGCACATGGCCATGACCTGGCCATGCATTGTGCTGCAGCAGTCTAGCCCTGCGCCTCGTGCAGGCACCGGTCGTTGAGTTGGTGGAGCCAGGACAAAGACATTGCCATAGTCGGTCGTTTACGATTGGGCGTCGTGGCATTGGCGCTTACTGAGGTGCGATTTTGCAACTTGCATCCAGGTACGAAGCATGAGAGACGCTGGTGTCCGTGCGCGCCTCGGTTCCGACTGTCGGAAAGCCTCCTGCAGCTAACATGCTTTCTAGCGCGACCAACCATTACTTGGAAAACTTTGTTATCTTGAGTTTGGATTAATACTAAAATGCAAATATGCACTGGCCGAGTGTTTTCCTCAGTCCCGTAGCTGATGGCAAAAAGGGTATATACGCCTGCAAGACCAAATCCCACCCATGCATGACATGCACCTTCCCGGACCCTATTACATCGAAACCGCGTCCAGCGTAGCGTTGTTTCCCAAACCCTATAAAGCCACAAAAGCCCTTTAAATGTGAAATACCAACCGATCATCTCCTCACCATCTGTTCAGACAAGAGTTCGAGCACCTATGGCAGTTAGTTCCTACACCATGCACGGGCTGGGACAAATGCTTACCTTGGGTGATATTATGTCCTGGTTCACCAAGTGCTTGCTCATGATCTTGACGACCTCCATCTGCTCTTCGTACGTGAGTCCGGTAATGGCTGCTTCAATCACGCCACCGACCGTGGTGTGGTGGACGGCAATGAAGCTCGAATAATAGAAGAATGCAATGGACCCCATTATGAATTGGCAGTCCATGCGGTCTGTCATGCCGCCGTGCCCTGGGATCGAGTCACCAAAGTCTTTGATCTTGAAGGTGCGCTTGAGTCCAGACGCGAAAAAGCCACCAAAGGGTGCGATGAGAGAGGCAAAAGTTCCGAGCATGATGACGTGAAACTGGACAGGCATGATGTTAAACGTACGCGGTATCGGCAGGCCTTCAGGGAGAAAAGGAATCGAGTAGTCGCGGGCGACAAAAACGGGGTTTGGCCGGCACTCCAAGCCTGACCAAATGTTTGCGCCCAGATCATTGACCGGGCAGATGAAGTACTTGTACTGTGCCAGGAAGTGGGTAATTGCGATACCCCAGAGAACAGTGAAGAACCAGGCACCTAGAAAGCCCTCCCATGTCTTCTTGGGTGAAATCTGGATTAGAGGCGTGCGACCAAACGTTATACCACAGAGATAGGCGAAAATATCATTCGTCACCACCATGGAGACGGGCAGAATGAACCAGATGAAGCCCTCGAAGATGTTGTTGATGACAAAGTGTGCCTGTCCAACAATGAGAAAGAGAGCCATGTGGGTCCAGGCGAATTGGGTAAATTGGAACTTGTAGTGACCCTTTTGCAGCGAGAAGACGAAGAAGACGAAGCCTGTCAGAATCAGCATGGGTGCAACAAGTGGCAGACGGACACGTACCGATAATGTAGAGCATAAAGGAAATGAAGCGATGGTGGGTAGCCAGGGGAAGCAACAGGCGGTCGACCATGAGGATGTGCTTGAAGTAGTAAATGACACTCTCGCCGTACAGGAAGTACATGGCGATGCCCAGAAAATACCAGTTGAGCGACTTTGTGAAGCGCAAGCTACGGGCCTTGCTGGGCACGTTTGCAATGGCAATGACCTCCTTGAAGGAGATGACCTGGACGGCGGTAACAGCAATCATTATGAAGACGTGACCGGCGCCTAGGGCCCAGAAGAAACCTCCGATCATGACGAGGGTCCATATTGTGCGCGTTATAAAGTTTGCCTTTTTCTTTTCGTACTCGCTCTGGGGCTGTTCCTCGATGAGCTGGGGCGCATGTCAGTATGTCAAGTTTCAGACAGACGCGGGCCTAATCAAACGTACCGGAGGCGCGGCTTCCTCTTTGATGGTGGGACTCCCGGGATCGCTGAATTCTGACATGCTCTGCGAGGGTCGTCGGGCCCTCCCGTTGCTGGCACTGCGCACTTGGTGCTGAAACTTGACGTCCTTTCTTGGACGCGCCATCATGTGCGGGAGCGCGGGCAGCGGCCAAGAGTGCTGTCCGAGCTTGGGATACTAAGCGTGGGATTGGGGGTAGGGGAGGAGGGGGTAGGGAGGACAAGTAGACGAGGGCGCACGGGTTTGAAGATATTGGCCAAAGGTGAATGTGCGACGGCGGGGTAATGGCAGCAGTCGTGTGTTTGGTAAGTTACAGCGAGTGAGTAGCGACCAAGGCAAGCTTGCAGGGCTGGCAGGGCTGGCAGGGCTGGCAGGCTGTGAAATTGCGGACAAGTAACGACGGGCAGACGTCATGGCACCAGCACCGCCGCCGCTTAGCGATGCGACTCGACCTGCATAGTCCAACAACGCGTCGCGCCCCACCGCCGCCGACAAACATGAGCTGGCGGCCGGGAATTGGGTTTTGGTAGTTGGCATAATGGCCGACGACGAGTTTGACTTTAGCGACGATGACTTTGACCACCTGCCCACCAACACGCTGGACCACCTCGAGGCGAGCGCCTTGCGAGCCACACAGCACCAGGCGGACAAGACGCGCGATCCGGAATCCGACTATGGCCTCGACGACGACGGTGATGAGGTGATCAATCTCGACGATGCGCCCCAGTACGCCCGCCCACAAGACGAATATGACCATCTTGGCCATGGCATCCAAGTCCAAGACGCGCCGCGCACCTCGCAAGCCGACCCGAATCACTTGCTCCAGCGGATAAAGAAGGTGCGACTCACACCCGCCGCCACTCACCACCACACAAGGACGTGGCTAATCATCGCAGCTAGAACAAGACAAGGCACGTGAGAGGCGCGAAGCCCAAGAGCTCAAGGTGAAGCTGCAGACAAAGGCTGGGGAAGCCGACACACTGCGTAGACGATATGACGCCGACACGCGACGACATGAGCGCCAGCTTGCCGACCAGCAGCACGCCCACAGCGCCGAAGTGGCCAAGCTGCGCGCAGACATGGACAAGCTTCGTCGCGAGAAAGATGAGGTGACGACGGACAACATGTTCAACCAACATGAGGCGCGCGAGGCAGGCATGACCCGACGGACGGCAAGAGCCATGCCTTCCCGTCCCAAGTCGGCCGCGCCTGCAATCAGCCCAGCACGCACACCGAGGAAGGTGCAGAAGACTCTCGGCACGCTTGGGGATGGCTTTGACGACGACGACGTCGTCATGGCGTCACCGTCAAGACACAAGACGGCGACGCCAAAGCAGCCTGGGAAGCGGAAGCGCCAAATCGCTGACCAAAGCCCCATACCGCTACCTGCTCTACAGTTGAGTGAGCCACGGAGCAGACGTAGAGAGCAGGACCCTCCACCACCACCAAGTACGCTTGCCGTGCCACAAATACATGGCGCCCTCCTTGACCACTTTCGACGTGACGACCGCCGATTCACTCTCTTGCACCGTTTGCTTTCACATCCCTCTTCAAACGGCACCGACCGCATACTAGAAGCACTTACTCTGCACTCCTTTCCTTCGACGCCTTCCAAGAGGCTGTCTTCCACTGTCTATGACGCTCTGGCCGATATCAACACACTCGATGTACATGAGCTAGCTTTGCACATCTGTCACATTTTCCTTGATCTATGGAAACAGTGTCACAATGAGAAGCACTACACCCCGACCGCACTGATACTCGATGCACTTCACTTCCTCCTAGCCTGCGAACCTGTAGAAACTGCTGTCAAAATCACTGAGCGCATCGTGCCCCTCATCATCGCCACTGTAGATCTCGTTGCAGACCCCATCTCCAAAGCAGCCAAAGGCGGAGAAAAAGCCGTCGCTGAACTTTACTCAACCTGGCAGCGAGAGGTTGCTTCACAGATAAATGTCGAAGACTGCCTTGAGCTACTCCATCTCATAGCAAGCAGTTGCCTATCTTCATCTGACTCTGGCGCAATCACCCGGCTCTGGCAAACTATCCCGTCCTCGTTTGCCATCATGCTCTTGGTAAAGGAGCAGCCACAACAGCAAATAACCCTCATGTTGCGCATCCTTGCCACATCCGCTCTCACAAACACTCTCGGCCCAATAACCACGGTCGACTCTACGCAAGATAACCAGGCAAACAACGAAGATGCTCTTCTCAATCGTTTGACAAACCTGTTCACCGAGATACCAAAGCCCGTACCTGACCCTTCCGCACAACCGACATCACCACAAGCCATCTCAGAGCCGGACCTCTGGGACCTCCGTCTGCTCGTCTTATCCGTGCTCACACAATTCTCTATACCAGAGTACGGTTCAAGCCGCCTTGCTCAAAACCGGCTTTGCATAGGCAGACTCATCAAGTACCTCGACTATTGCATAACCAGTCTCTATCGATTTCCCATCTCACCAACCCAAGACCACAAAGTTGACTCTATCAATGCGACCATGAAGCTTATTTACCACGTGGCTACGACGAATGCTGATTTTGACATCAAGGGCAAGCTTGTCAACACTCTAGGTGGACAGCATGCATACTTGGTTGCTCTGACGAGATTAGCCTTCAGCGAGGGGTTGGTTTTGGAAGCTGGCATTGAGGACGAGGTAGTTAATATGGCACATGACATTCTCGACGAAGGCCTCAGTATGGAAGAGGGCGATGCTTTTGGAAAGGTTTTTAGTAGTGGGAGCACAACATGATTGAAGATATCAAAGTGTGGTCATTTTTATATACCCCAGCAAACACCGCACTTGTATTTGGTACACGAAGAGTTCCCAGAACAGAGCTTCAGCTTCATTCGACATGTGTGCCTATCCAATCCATCATCTAAATGTACAGAAAAATGCAAAATCCACAACAAACACGTAGACCTCTGTTCACGTCGCAAGCAGCCAACAAGCATGCTGCAGAACTTTTCAAGTTAAAGTGCTCATTGCCTGACGCTATCTATACATTCCTGAGTCCACTACCAACAACCCCAAGGCCATGGAATTACCACAGCAAAAATAATCGATTAAGCCTTCTCATATGCAATGAACGACACATGCATCCTAGAGATAGCCACATCCAACCGTCCATGATGCAGTTGCCAGAACACTTCGCTCGTGCCGGCTTGTACAGAAGTCGCGCCTGTTTTCTTGAACAATCTCTACCGCCCATCTACGCCGTTTGGACATGATCGCATAACCACATGCGACTTGTAAACCAGAGCTAAAATCTCGAACCAAGGCACCAAACTGACATTCTCGGGGGAATGCAGAAGTATTTTGTTGACCATACATGTGACCAACCGACTGGAAGACTGATGTCAGCAGTTGTTGTTGAGCTTGTGCTTTGGCCACCCATAGCCCGTTTGATCCCAAGTCTGTTCGACGTTAGTGACTCAACCTTGTAAACTGACCAGATATATACATACAGTGTAGTTGGGATTGTTGTAAGCTTTTGGGTGCTTGTTGATGTACTCGGTAGTTTCGAAACCTGGGGGGTCGCACGTCACCATCTCTTCGCCCTTCTTCTGATACCACCTGACGTAGTCGAAACGGATAGTTGTTGGAAACACCAAATCTTTCCAGTCAATCCAAGTCCACGAATTGCTGATCCCAAGATTGAGGATCAGCGACATTGGCTCCTCTGTTATTTGTCGCGCTTGTATGTTGCCATTGGCCCCGATAGCACGGCCATCCATCATGAACATTGTCTGATTGCCCACTTTCCAGGATATGAAAGCTTCCTCGCCTTCGCCGGGTGCGTACTCAAAGGAGTAGCGTTGATATTGCTTATTGTCGAACCAATCCTTATTCAGAACCGTAGTCGCGGATATAGCCTGCTGGAATGCGCCACCAGTGTAAGTGTTGTATCCACTCAGCCGTGTATCTGGGCAGGCTGTGAAGTTATAATTTGGATAATAGTAAATATCGAATGGAGCAACCTGATAGCTCTGGGTTGCAATCGGATGCCCTTGGGGGCCTGAGCTGGCTCCGACTTCAATGATATCAATTTCAGGTGCGCCTCTTCCGGTCCCTGGCGTAGGGTGATCTTCACCCGGGCAGGTGCACGACGACAACCTCTGTCCAGGGAGGTGGGATAGACCATCTGGACTTGATTGGTTTGGCGTGATGCCTACATCGCATGCTTGGTATGTGTATGGCCAAAGGCCATCCGTGGTACTCAAATAGCCTGGCCGTCCAAGGTTACCCATGGTCCACGCACCAGGCCACAAGCCTTGTATGCCTGCAGGCCCCGGGAGAGAGACGGATACTTCGAATATGCCGCCTTTGAAGCATAACTGATTCCAGCTGTTCAGCATACCAGACCGAAACCTGAGGTTGTGGTTGAAAAATTCCTCCAGCCGCAGTTGCAGTGTGCCGTCTTGGGTAGTTACAGCGTCCGGATCATACCACTCTTGGTCTTGTGTCGCACCATACCAGATATTGGGAGCATAGAAGTATGGGTCATCTCCCTCATAGAAGGTGCGGCTGTTGTCGTTGAATTCATCGCTGAAAACTAATACGTACTCATCGCCAAACTCACCGGTCCTCGTCTTGACACCTTGAGGGGTATCAGGATCGATCAAGCCTGTCCTCATATTGGCCAATAACGGGTACTTCCGGTTGTTGACTGTAGCCCACGGTTGAGACTTCCAAGGGGTGGGAAACATGCTCAGTGGCACGCCATAAGATGAGTTGTACTCGATAATCTTGAGGGCAGAAAGCACGGGAAGTCCGATGAATGTGAACAGTAAGCCAGATATCATGACTGCTAGGCCAATCGTGGACGCAATGCTGTCTTTTGTGAAATGGTCGCGTATCGATGGGCGAAACTTGATGTCATCATCATCGCGAGGCATGTGCATTTCATCGTCTGCCTCTTCCTGATCGCACACCAATGGCCAAGATGCCAAGCCCTTCTCCTCATAGGGTGCAGTCAAGCGATCGTCGACAAAAGATGCGTTCCTTTCTGGGTCAAAGACACTGTTGTCGTGTTGGTGAAGGCCTGCTGTAGAGGCGTCAGGTGTGAGAAATGGATTCACAGATAGTGCGCCGGGAGGTGGTGTGGTTGCGCCTGGATGGACGCCAAACTGGCTGTGGGAGCACCGTTCTGACATGGAAGTTCTCCGGCTGCGACTGTGTGTGCTGGCGCTGTCTGAAAAAGGATTGAAGTATCGAGTGTAATCGGTACCCAAATCATTCAGCGTGAGCTGGGTACCAGAAGAGCGAGGGACCTGGCCCCGAACATCTGGTGTGCTTCTGGTTTGTAGGGGTCGCAGGTGAGGCCATGGTGGGCGCCGTACGTGAAGAAGGCCTCCCGTGGTCGGAGTGCGACGAGCATTTGGCCGTGTGTCATCACTGGATATGACATCTTTTCCTTCTAGACTCTCATTGCTTGAGGATCGGGAAAAGGCGGGATTCAATGGTGACGGTACGATGGGTGCGAAGGGTAGGGGCGAAGAGGAGAGCTCTGCCGATGGGAGGATGCCGAAATCTAGACCGGCGTCCGAAGCCGAGTGCTGACTGCTGCCATTGTGTGTGATTAGTGGCTGTTCGGCTGCCCTAACTTGCTCGGTAGCTCCTTCTGTCCTTGCCTGGGACGGACTCGCGGCTTCCTTCTCTACACTTGAGCTCGACCAGGACCGCCGTCGCTGTTCAATTGGCCGTCCAGTGCGCGTATCCGAGTATTCCGACGACGTGTAAGACTCGGGTTTCCCTGGCATTGCCATGGGTTCTGCTCCTAGGCCGTTTGGCGACTAAATGGCGGATGCGCCCGTGTTTTGCCCCACAACCCGCTCAACGTCGTGCAACTCGCGCGAATAGCGACGACTGTCTCTTGTGTGAGAACGACGAGCTAGTAGGATACACCAGGAGAAAAGAGGAGGGTTCGACGATTTCGCAGGCGAAGAGCCGCTGCAGTGTGGTTTAGTGTGGAGCGTGGCGGTGGAGGGTGAAGTGCTCGTCGGGAAGTCCTGACGTTGTGAGACCAGGGAAGGATTGGGTCGAGGCGGAGATGGCACCTGTACGTATATGAGCAGCACGGATAGCGGGGTACTCGCCGAGAAGAAACTTGGGTGGGCGAGCGGGGAGAGTGCCAAAAGTCCAGTAGTAGCGACTGTGAGTAGCGATGTTGGCCTGGGAAGCGCGTTGAGCGTATTTGGGGGAGAGAGGCGGAGGCCCAGAGACGGGATTGATGGTAGCAGTGGTATTCGAGACGAATTGGCTGCGTACGTAACTAATCACTTTCCCTCGTCGTGGACAACAAACGACTGCCCCCGTTTCCGCCAAAGGCAACCACGGTTCTCTGCACCTGTCCCATGCTGCGCCTCGGACTCTCCTCATCTGTCACCACAGTCTAGCCGTAGCGGGCCCAGCCTTCAACGTGCACCATGCGAGAAACGTCACCTCATCGCCCTCAAGCAGAATACTCAGGGCGCCAGGTAAGCCATGTTGTGCACCCATTACATGTAGCTGCCTATCATGGCTTGTACCATGGCAGGTACGGGCCTGGCTCCCCTGTTTTCATGTCTTCACAAACGCGCACACGAACCACTATGGCGTAACACACATCATCCATGTTTGGACGTCCTCGGACTCTCTAACCCAAGTTATCAGAAAACGCGGATTTACTCAATTCATATACCTCAATGCCGCCCAGTCTGCATCACCATGCTGCCTCTACAGTCTTTCTATCGTAAACAGCACGGACGCGTTGGTCTCAATCCTGACCACATCTGCCTTGACATGATTGCTTGTGCTAACCTGTCCACCAATTCGCGTCTCCCATTCCCGAACGTCCCACTCTAGTCCCTCTGTTGAGATGATGGCCGGCCCATAAATAGGCAGGATGCCGACGTTTTCGCTAAAGACCCCGCTTTGCTGTAAGCCGCTCAGAAAATTCGTTCCACTCCGGAGTATAAAACTCAAGCTCGACTCGGAAAAGAGCCATAGGCGTAGGTTCTCATGCCGGGATTCTTCCCTTGCCATCTCGTGCAAAAGCCCCAGGCCTTGGTCGACTCTTCCACCAAGAGTGCCAAGAACAAGTACGTCTCTCAGTGCAGACGCAGGAAGACGAGAAGATAATTTCCTCATGCATTTTCCAAAGTCTGTACTTATTTGGTCTCCATCTCGTAACACAGGGACGCCACGTCCCTCGTAGTAGTCACGCACATCATCGCGCAACGAGTCTAGATCCCCATGAATGAGATTAGGTAGCTGCCCACATCAGCGACATACGCTGCAACTCGAGCCGTGGGCCTTACTCACGTAGTGTTTGCGCTGCTCGGCCAAGTCACCCTTGAACATGTCAAAGAGTCTGTTGGCACCACCATCTGCGCATATACGATGTCCACTATGCTTCCAAAGGCGAGAAAATGCATCAAAGTGGGCTATGGGCTGGTTGAGAATAAGAAGATCTGGCGGATTCGACGTCGTCTCGGGATGGGCTGCGTCTGCAAGAAACTTTCCTGGCTCATACTCGCTACCAACTTCGTTTGCCATGATTTCTGGAGATGATTCAGCAGCCCTAGAACGCCAATATACTATGTGTAGCTATCGCATAGGTATAATGATAATAGCAGATGGAGGAGGCGCATTGGTTGCAGCAGTGACTGGAACCGGTATGCAAGTGCGGGCAGCCGCTGCAGGTGCGACGCGTGCGCATGCGCAACCAGCTAAGCTGCAAGCGTGCTAGTCAGTGTGCGTCACGATTCCTGCCCACCCAGCAGCCGCTCATTCGCTAAGTCGGGCTCAACAGCTAGAGCTGATGTATCGCGCATCGGAACATGGGCAAATATGCGCTAGTATATGTAAAATCGAATTTAAACATATCTCATCTTGTCCAGTACTACCTGATGACTACCATGTACCAGCTTCTTCATGACGCATGGCTGCATCTCGCACGTATCGTCTCCACATGCGGTTGGAGAACCTGCTCTACATTACCCAACACAGGATATTCAATACGGAGACTGTCCAGCTCGCATCTGATCTCCTCGTCTGACATGTTGCTAGGCGGAGTGACGTATTTGCAATCTCTACGTCGCGCAAGGAACATGTCCGCATATTCTTCCTGGACTTTGAGTCAGACTTTGATATAAAATCTTACTAACAAGTGAAATGTCTCAGAGAACTCACTGCTAGAACTTCCTTGCACACCGTAATATACTGTTCCGCCTCTCGAAAGCTGTATCCGACAATGACGGAAACCTGTCTTATGACCTGCCCACGGCAACGTTCAACGAACAAGAGTTGACCATGCGCAAGGTGAGATCGTACTTCCCAGCGTCTAGACATTCGAAGAGGTTGGTAGGATTCCAACATGCCGTAGAGTAAAGGCATGGAAAGGCGAGGCTGAGTGCCGTCGTGAACGATGCATATCTTCCTCAAGCTCTTCATGTGTTTCTCCCAAAGCATCTTCCACAAAATCAGAACTACCAGCTCACGCCCCCGACCTCCAGCGCCTTCATCGTGATGTTCAGGACGATATCGAAAATACACCTCTTCCAGGCTAGTAAGACCAGCCAGGGCAAAGTCAAAGCTTTTTATGCGGCTTCGTGTAGAGTCGTTCATGTAGAGCCCTTCGAGTCTGGATGGGAGCTGAATCTGGAGCTTGGTGATTGATGATGCGACTACATGAGGCAGTATGCTGGCCTTTGCGATGAGGTCGTTCGCTGATGACCATTGTATAGTGAAAACGGTGCTGTGGCGGACAAGCGATTGAAATTCGAGGTACAATTGGCGACAGGTCCATGGAATTGCCAAAGGAGATCTGCGCAATGGAGGTGGATAGGTGCCAAGTTCGCGATCGAGTATGTATTCGACGATCTGATTCCTTATCTCACCTGGGAGAGTAAGGAGGACAGATGTCTGCGCCATAGATAATAAAAAATAGGTAACGTAACGTGTTCCACGGGCGAGCGGCGCACCCCACCAACTTTGCGCACCTCGCTGATCTCAACCCATTATAGCTCAACGCAACGCTACTCTATTATCATCAAATAAAGCAGATATTCAGCTTACTATCTCCTCTATTAATGTGCAACAGATCCAAGGCACCCGTAATGCTGCAGTAGTCTACAACGTAGCCGAAACAACGCTCCGCCGCCGGCGCGCTGGTGTACCTGCCCGACGTGATTGCCAGCCCAACTCAAGGAAGCTTATCCAGAAAGAAGAGGAGGCGATTATTAACCATATAGTTAGCCTAGATCAGCGTGGGTTTGCGCCTACGTACGCAGCTATACGTGATATGGCTGATAAGCTGCTAGCTACGCGTAGTGGCGGACGTGTTGGAGTTAACTGGCCATCTACCTTTGTTAAGCGTACAGAAAGTCTTACAACACGCTTTAATCGAGCGTACGATAGGCAGAGGGCTCTGTGTGAGGATCTAGCTCTAATTAGGAGCTGGTTTAAGCTAGTAGAGCAGACAAAGGTCAAGTACGGCATCTGTGATAAGGATGTTTACAACTTTAATAAAGCTAGCTTTATAATAGGCAAGATTACAACTCAGCTTATTGTAACAGCGTCAGAGAGGAGAGGCAGGCCAAAGACTATTCAACTAGGCAATCGCGAGTAGGCAACGTTAATCGCTGCAATCAACGCAGCCGGCTGGTCTGTGAAGGTCGTCCGAAGATGATCTTGGGTTGGTTCTCGGGGATAGAGTGATGCGATGGACACGAGGGTGTATAGCACGATTGGTAGATCGATGTAATATACGGGGAGTTGAGAATCAAGTACTAATCCTTAGATTTCGAAGTTGAACACAATGAACCGTAAGGGCTCATTGCCTATTGTTATATACTAACGAATGTCCTATGTCCTATACGTCCTACGTTGTCCTACACTGTCCCATGCGTGGGACATCGTGGTACATCGTGGGATTCCTTGGGACACACGTGACATGTCCCATGGTGGCGTTCCGCCAAGCTTTGTGGGATGCGGGGCAGGCTTACGTCATTGGTCCTTGTACACCTTTGTACGCCTTTGTCTGAGAAGGGATTCCGACAAGGTCTCCATCCTTCTGCCCTTCATATCTTGCACTGTGTCCTCTCCTTAGGTTCGTAACATGGTCAGTCCCACTATTCCTCATCTTTGCTGGCCAGTATCATCGATCTGCCTGGTACAAGGAAGCTGAGATCCTAGGCGACTAGGCGATCGCAGTCAGCGATAACAGCTAGACCAACAACGAGCTAGGAGTTAAGTAGCTAAAGCACTTTAACGCTCACACAAAGGCTCGTGCTATAGGCGCGCGTCGCCTACTCATTCTGAATAGCTATAAGAGCCACCAGTCGCTTAAGTTTCAGGAGCTCTACAAGGAGAACGACATCTACACACTTTGTATGCCGCCTCACTCATCTCACCTACTCTAGCCTCTTAACGTTGGCTACTTTGCGCCATTAAAGCGCGCGTACCGTCGTGAGGTGGAGAGCCTAATCCGCCACCACATTAACCACATCACTAACCTTGAGTTCCTGCCGGCCTTCAAGGCAGCGTTTGATCGAGCGTTCACGCCAGCTAATATTCGCTCAGCTTTCCGCGGCGCAGGCCTTGTTCCTCTACAACCAGACACTGTCCTATTAAAGCTAGACGTGCAGCTACGTACGCCGACTCTAGCTGCTCTACCAGAGGCTCCCTAGGAGGCTCGTACGCCGAGCAACGTACGTGAGCTTAAGTCTCAGTCAAGTCTAATACGTGAGCGCGTGCGCCGGCATAAGAGCTCATCACCTGCCTCAATCATTGAAGCGATCAACCAGCTCAAGAAGGGGGCTGAGGTAATAATGCTCTCGGCTGAGCTAATGCGCGATCGGATCGCCAGCCTTGAGAGAGCCAACGAAGCAGCGTCAACGCGTAGGCAGCGCAAGAAAAAGCGACTACAGCAATGCGGAGTCTTAACAAAGAGATCTGGAGAGGATATACTGGCTCAAAATGAGGCTGACCAGCAGATTGCTCAAGAAGAGCGTCAAGGAGGGGAGCGATTAGGCACAAGCCAGCGCGCTCAAAAGCGCTGCAGTAGGTGTAAAGAGACTGGGCATGACTTGCGTACATGTAAAAAAGATACTATAGATAGAGCCTAGTCTACGCTAACATGATCCATGGGCGAGCGGCGCACACGGGCGAGCGGCGCACCCCACCAACTTTTGCAACTTTAAAGCGATGCATCTCAACAACGCGATAATATTATTGCTAGATATTGATACAGTAGATTACTCTATATTAATAGTATCAGTCTTGCATGTGCGCGAGTTGTGCCCAGTCTCCTTGCACCTAGTGCAGCGCCTTTGAGCCCGCTGGCTGAGGCCTGATCGCGCTCCTCCTTGACGCTCTTCATGAGCAATCTGCTGGTCAGCCTCATTTTGAGCCAGTATATCCTCTCCAGCTCCCTTTGTGAGTACTCCATGCTTCTGTATACGCCTTTTAGAGCGCCGCCTACGCTCTGAGGCTGCGCTATTGGCCTTCTCAAGACTAGAGATCCGATCGCGCATCAGCTCAGCAGAGAGCATCATCACCTCGGCGCCCTTCTTTAGCTGGTCAATCGCCATAATAATTGAAGCTGGTGATGAGCTCTTGTGCTGGCGCACGCGCTCACGTATTAGGCTTGACTGAGCCTCAAGCTCACGCGCGTTGCTCGGCGTTTGAGCTACCCAGGGAGCCTCTGGCAGAGCTGCTGGAGGAGTAGGTGTACGCAGTTGTACATCTACCTTTGATAGAACAGCCTCTGGTTGTAGAGGAACAAGGCCTGCGCCGCGGAAGGCTGAGCAGATATTGGCTGGCGTGAACGCTTGATCAAATGCTGCCTTGAACGCTGGCAGAAACTCTAGCTTGGTGATGTGGTTGATGTGGTTGCGCATAAGGCTCTCCACCTCACGGCTGTACGCGCGCTTCAATGGCGAGAAGCAGCCAACATCAAGTGGCTGGAGTAGGTGAGATGAGTGAGGAGGCATACAGAGCGTATGGATATTGTTCTCCTTGCAGAGCTCCTGGAACTCTAGAGATTGGTGGCTCTTATGGCCATCAATAATAAGCAGGCGACGCGCGCCTACACTACGAGCCTGCGTGTGAGCGTTGAAGTGCTTTAGCCACTCAACTCCAAGCTCATTATTCGTCCAGCCATTATCGCTGACTGCGATCGCCCAGTCGCGTGGGATCTCAGCTTCCTTATACCAGGCTGATAGGTGGTACTGGCCAGCGAAGATGAGGAACGGTGGGACTGACCAGCCAGCAGCGCTGATAGCAGCGATCAGCGTTACCCACTCGCGATTGCCTGGCTGAATACTCTTCGGCCTGCCTCTCCTCTCTGCTCCTGTTATAACTAGCTGCGTTGTAATCTTGCCCATCATAAAGCCAGCTTCATCAAAGTTGTAGACGTCCTCATCGCAGATACCTAGCTCAGCCTTTGTCTCTTCTACAAGCTTAAACCACCTCTTTATTAATGTTGCATCCTCACAAAGAGCTCTCTGCCTATCGTACGCTTGGTTGAAACACGTCCGAAGACTGTCTGTACGCTTAACAAAGGTAGATGGCCAGTTGACTCCAACCTGCTCTCCACCACGCGCAGCCAGCAGCTTATCAGCCATATCACGTACAGCTGTGTAGGTAGGCGCAAATCCACGCAGATCTAGCTGAAGTATATAGCTAATAATCACCTCCTCTTCTCTCTGGGTAAGCTTCCTTGAGTTGGGCGGGCAATCGCGTCGGGCAGGTATACCAGCGCGTCGGCGGCGGAGCGTTGTTTCGGCTACGTTGTAGACTACTGCAGCAGTACGGGTACCTTGGATCTGGTGCGCATTAATAGATGAGATAGCAAGCTGAATATCTGCTTCATTTGATAGTAATTGAGTAGCGCTGCGTTGAGCCATTGTAGATTAAGATCAGTAAGGTGAGTAAAGTTGGTGGGGTGCGCCGCTCGCCCGTGTGCGCCGCTCGCCCATGGATCATGTTACATGTTTCTTAAATTTATATAATTATGTTGTTAAGATACGTTGCTTTGAGGGTGCGACAGTTGGTGGGGTGCGCTGCTCGCCCATGGAACACGTTAATCCATAAGCAAGTGTTACTCCTAAGCGAGTGTTACTATTTTACCAAGACTTTACTAAAATTATTACTAACTAGTTAGCGATTTTGGGTGGTCAACTCAGGCGTGTAGCTAACTCGCCCGTGGGGTACGTTAAGCTGCATTGCATTACATTTTTTAGCTTACGTTATTCTAGCAAAGCGGCTTACCTCGCTAATCTTTTCTATCTAGGTAAGTAGTAAGGCTGACATCTGTATCTAGAAATCGGATTTTAAAAATAACCTATCATGACGTACTTAAGGTTCCAAGGTGCGTTCAAAGCAAGGCAGATTATGGTGCAGTAGATGGTTGGCACACCCGCACTAGGTCGAATCCGGCGATGTAGCTAGACGGATCGATTAAAGCTGCGTTAAGCAATCTGCTTCCCAGCAGTCTATGATTGATGCCTTACTCTTCTGGTTCTCATTTGCCCTATCAATCTATAGGCTTCAGCTGTCCAAGCCATGCATAGCATTCCAATCAACCTGTGCCACGTATATATGGCTCTGGAGCCTTGTGGCGTGCATGGCGCAACACCATCACGTCTATTGAGGGGTACAATCATACAAGCCACATTGGTTCACGGTGGGTCACGAAGGCTGATCGATAAATTTAGTCAAAGCCAGGCCTGCCTGTCTTCTCTCTCATCACTTATCAGCAAATTACGATACGATTCTAGAAACAATGCACCGCTCCGAACCGAACCGACGGCATCATAAACATCAGACCCAAAGGCGTTACATTAGAACTTTTCTACGCCATGACTGGAAGTCGACACTCGCATTCATTGCAGGACTAGTCGGCGTCGCAGCAGTGATTGCATTCACAACCTGGTTGAGCAAGCAGATCCTCCGCTGCCCAGAATGGGCAATCGAATGCCACGTGGCAGTCAAGGTCGAAGAATTCGGGAAGAACATTGCAGTCGTTCAGGGTATGGTGACAGTCATTTATAGCGTCGGATTGGCAGCACTCGCATTCGCTGCCCATGGAATGTCTGAGGTGGCGCTTTGGCCCCTGTTGAATACACGGTCCCTCACAATCGACCAAGTGGATGACTATCTCGAAGCTAGTCGAGGCTCCATACCGTCTTCATTTTGGGCTCTCACGGCTGCACGCGGCTTGCACTCTGTTTTTGTCGTCTTTTGCACCATCGGAATAACTTTGTTACCCCTTGTGGCTGCCCCGCTCACTGGTTTTGTATATGACCAGCATAACATCACCACGGCATTCAAAAGCCATGCCTGGCCAGGGGGAGGTATTGGGCCACCTTTCAGTCAAAACAATCCACCGACGTCTCTTAATGCAGGGGCGACGGCCTTTTATAGCTCGTGGTCGACAGGTATCTCTGAGGAGCCAATGCAGGAATATCAGGATTGGTTCATTGATCGTTTGGCTTTTGAGAAGCGAGGCAACATGACTGTTCGGGCTGTCAAATTGAAGCAATCTATATCATGTGGTGCTTCAAAACCGGAAAAATTCATATGGGAGAACAAGACTCTTGGTTGTAAAACCAACATGAAAAAGAGTCCGGGCAATCTCAATGAGGCGGGAAGAGACTTGAACGACGAGGAAGTTTTGATAAGGCCAGGGCAAAGGCTTACAGTGTGGGCTCACGAATACGATTTCGATCCGCCGACTAAAACATCGGCCACACTATTCTTTGCAGCGATGGATGGGTCTATTGAAGGCGGGGAGGTCATCATGAATCCCAACGACGAAAAGAAGATTGCCAATATCTCCACAATATCTTGCAGTATCAGCGTCGAAATCGTGGAAGACACTCTTGCAGTCGGGTCAGTTCCGCAAGGTCTACCAATCCCACAGATCAACTTCCTTGGTCGTCTTCGCAACCCTGGTGGAGCCAACAACAAGCACAACAATGAAGAGCTTGTAGGAAGCCAGAATCTCACCTCTCTTGCTCTCTGGTTTGTCATGGCCCCTATAGTCATCGGACAAAGCAGCCGAGGTGCGCAACCCCTCTATGGATATAATGAACCCAAGCTTCCCTTGATAGTAACGGCGGGCATGAAAGATGCAAATAACACCAAATGGACCATCGATTACATCGAGAAGTTCATTCGCGGGGCTATAGGCGCCCTTGCTCAGGCCGCGAGCGGTGGTTGGGATGAGGGCGATCCTGTAGTCATGACCTCGATTGCCTTTACCCGGAAACTAGATCCTCAAAGGGTAGCTCTGCTTGCTATCCCGCCGATTCTCATCGTCATGCTTGGGCTGCTGTTGATGATCTGGAATCAAAAGCGTTATGTGAAGCTTCGGCTTCCTAACATGCGCAAAGCGTCGCTCAGTGAGATCCTCAAGAGCGCACTTACGGATGACATGTACCATGTAGCCCTATCGGAGAAAGATAACCCCGGTCGGCCTTCTCGACTAAATAAAGTAATGATCAAATACGAGGAAGTATCTATGTCAGGAGAATGGAGTCTGGTGAAGGTGGGGAAGAACACTAGAGAAGGGGATAGCCTAGTGTCATCAGAGCCGTGACGACCGAAGCCTAGCGCTTATTGGATGAAGGACTAAGCAATCGCTGGAAAAGGTGTCCGTGAGAAACGACATGATTCAAGTAGAAAAAGGACGTAGGATGGCTATGACATCTACTTCTTTGAAGCAGTGAAATCACAAAGTAGTATAATAAAGAGCCGTTTTCTAACCCTAACCATGCTCACAATCGCCGAACTCTTAAAGTTCTTAATCAAGCTAAATCTGCGAGAGCAAACCCACTTTCATAGTGTGCATCTAAAACAACCCACCGCGGAGATTACGCTTGCCAAAAGCAGAGTGCTCGGCAGTGTTTCCATCTTAAGCAGACTGGTTGTGTTGCGGATAATGCTTGTCGTGTCTATGATTTTCATAATGGTAGTCTTATCCGGTTTCTTAGTCTAACCCAGCTCGTTTGGAAGACGTTCATTCTCTGTTCGGCTCTTAGCTTCTAGTCCATTAATCGATTCCACACGTTGCATATAGACTCACCAAAGAAGTACTCTATTAACGTACTGTTGACGGTACTATTCTCTAGAGAACCAAGGTTAACAATAGGTGCTGAGACCTCTCTGAGACTGAATTCTTTAGTCGAAGCAGTAAATGTATAGTCTAGGTTTAGCACTTAGCTCTCTAACTAGCAAAAAATCTTAGAGTTAGCTAGCATCTCAAGCGTTATAATTTTCTCTATCTGTAAAGGCACTAGTACACTGCAATAGTTAGGATGCCTCTAATAAGTGAGATTGTGTGTACAGATCTATATACAAGTACGAGGGGAACTTTATTATTCCTCGCACGGGCCACCTGCCAGCGTGGCACGTGATTGTATGGCACGTGATCGCGTGAGGGATCGTAGGTTTGATCCATCACTGTGAGGGATCGATCAAGAAAGATTGGATTTGACAAGATACAAGCTATCGAGCTATCTACGTTGTGAGCCCGAACTTATGCTGTGGGCGCCAAGGCGCTAGTCCGATAAGATAAGGATCTTATCGATATGGGGGCCATGGGCCGAGCGAGTCTATGGATCCGTAACATTACCCCCCCCTTTCAGAAGACGGTTGCACCTGCAAGCCGTGAATGTCCTTTATTTTATGACGCTGTGCTTGATGCCGAGCAGTTATGTTGTGTCTCATCCTTCGGGTCCTTGCTTCTGCTTGGAGACAGACGTCCTGAGTTGTGCCACCTTCCCAGGTCCAAGCTGTGCCATCGGTGAATGCGAAGGTGATGGGGCAAGCTCACAACTGTCTAGTACGCTAACAACTTCAACATCATCGCGACCAAGTGAATATGCGGCGACTAGGTTGAGATACAACGCTAGGTCTCGATACAGTTCGTGAGGTGGGGGCTTGTCGGGATAGAGACGGTGAAAGTCTTCAACCGCTTCCTCTGCGCCCCACAGGTCTGTATAGTCTTGCCATGCGGGCGAGGCATTCCAGTCTGGGGAGTTGGTGTACTTAACCTTATACTGGAGCATGCCTTTCTTGTTTGTGAGGGTGTCCTTGCGTCGTTTATCTATGCGACAGTCGACGACCATGTCTACGTAGTAGTCGTGCTCTCCGTCAGGGTGTTTATCAGCGATGACGCCCTCAGTTGGGCGAGCTGTTTGATCGGCGTCCAGGTGTAGTAACCATGGGTGGAACACTGGATGGACTTGTTTGTAGCAGTCTGGTAGTGCGAGCTCGACTGCATATCGGTTGGGCAAAGCTCGCACTTTGTATGGGCCAAGGTTCTTTGCGCTGAGACCGCGGCTCGGGCGCATCGTAGGGATATTGCGGGCATCAATATAGACTTTGTCACCGACGCGGTAGTCTGGAGCGGGCTGTCTGTGCTGGTTGGCGTAGTGTTCCATCTTGTTTTGGGACCAGCGAAGATTTTCTTGCATGAAACGGATAACGTCGGTCATCCTTTTCACCGTGCCTCGGGCGTCTTCGCGGAGCAACTGTTCTGCGCGTGAACGGGCGTCGGTAATGGGCGAGTCTTCGGTGACTAGTTCCGATCCCATGCGAGGTAGGTAGCCCTTGGTGGCAAGCGCGGGTGCGACGCCAGAGGACACGTTTTCTCTGTTATTGATGGCGAGCTGGGCTAGTGGCAGCCAGTCTACCCAGTCGTTTTGCATATAGTTCGTGTAAGCACGCAGGTAACACTTTAGTCCGGCGTTGGCGACTTCAGTCTGGCCGTCTGTTTCTGGGTGGTAAGCTGTAGAGAGCTTTGGTGTAACACCCAGTCGATGACACAGCTCCTTCCAGAAATGAGAGACGAACTGTGACCCTCGGTCAGACACAATTGTAGTAGGGAAACCTTCCTCTCTCCAGACGTAATCGACAAATGCTCGGACAACAGCATCAACTTCAAGGCTGTCTAGGGCGATAAACCGTTGCGACTTGCTTAGCCGGTCAATCACGACCATAACATGAGAGTAGGTGCGTCCGAATCTAGTACAGTCTGGCAGGGGTGTGATGAAGTCGACTGAAATGTCAGTCCAGAATCGTTTCGGTACGGGGAGCGGGTGCAGCAGTCCCTGCTTGCGGTCTCTGTATGGCTTTGCGCGTCGGCAGACCACACAACTCCGGGTATACTGAGCGACTGTGTCTGTCATGAGCGGCCAGTAGTACTGTTGGCTAACTAGGTAGTAGGTAGAGCGCTTGCCGCCGTGGCCCGCCGTGGCGGTGTCGTGGAACCGACGGACGATGTCTTTGCGAAGATCGTCGTCGTAGGGGATGAAGAGTCTGCCGCGGAAGTAAACCAGACTGTTGCGGATTTCGCAGTCCTGTAGCTCTAGCTTCAGCTTCATTTGTATGGCGACAGTGTGGGGAAGGTGACGGGCGCCGTCTGCCTTTGCTCGTATTATTTCTTGTAGTGTGGGATCGACGCGGTAGGCATTTACGATCGCTGTCATGAGTCCATCGTCAGGCGCGTTCTCCCCCGGCACGGGTGCCGGGGGAGCTGGCGCAGCAGCGTGAGGGATCTCCATTGTCTCCCCCTCAGGCTGGCTGTCCAAGGCTACGTCTGGGGTTGAGTCGTCATCCACTGAATCATCGACGCCATACGCCTCCTCGCTCATTAGATATAGCATGCCTGCTAGCGTTTGTACCTCCTCCGCGTATTCGAATAACAGCGCCGCGAGTTGAATTGCTTGTCGGGCGTCGTTGTGTGTGTGCGTGTCTCGTTTGATGACGTCGTCGACGCGGTCGGGGCCGAGGATCGTCTGGGTCTGATGTATGATCCGTGGATCGTTTGGGTTCGTGGGTGTGTCGCCGGGGCGTCTCGTCAAGGCGTCGGGTTTGCTGCCTAGTCTGCCTGGTCGGTAAGTGATCTTAAAGTTGAATTCGCTCAGAAACTCAGCCCATCTTGCTTGACGCCTGTTGAGTGCTTTGTTGACCATAAAGGTCTGTAAGGTGGCATGGTCTGAGATGACCTTCACCGGGTCCGAGGTGCCGGCCAGCTCTGGTCTCCATTCCTCAAAGGCGCGGACGATGGCCATGAGCTCCTTGTCGTAGATGGCATAGTTGCACTCAGCTGGTGACATCTTTGTGGAGATAAAAGCGACTGGTTTTAGCACTCCGTCAGTCTGGACTTGGGACAGCACGGCTGCTGTTACGGTGTCGGAGGAGTCTGTTTCGACCCAGGTCTCAAGCGCGGGGTTGAAGTGCGCGAGGACCGGGGCGATGGTAAATGCTTTCTTAAGCTTTTCGAATGCGTCGTGGGCAGCAGATCCTTGGGCGATAGGAAAGTTCAGCTTGACGTCGCCGTTTGTCCCGCGGGTAAGATCCGTGAGCGGCCGCGCGATATAAGAGAAGGCAACAATAAACCTTCGGTAGAAATTTGCGAAACCTAGGAATGCTTGCAACTCTTTCAATGTTGTTGGGGTGCCCCAGTCGAGCACTGACTTAACCTTGGCGGGGTCCATTTTGATGCCTTCAGTTGTAAGAATGAGGCCCAGGTATCTCACCTCTTGGACGGCAAACTCGGACTTGTCAATGTCTAGATGAAGTCCGGCCTCACCTAGACTCTCGATAACCTTGCGGACATGAACCTTATGCTCTGCCAAAGACGCGCTGTAGACTAGGACGTCGTCGAGGTATGCAGAGCAGAACTCGTCAAGGTAATCGCGTAAAACCTCGTTAATGTAGGCCTGAAAGGTACCTGGTGCGTTGCAGAGTCCGAAAGGCATCACTAAGTATTCGAATAGGCCATACCGTGTTAGGAAGGCAGTCTTATGTTCGTCGCCTTCCTTGATGCGGATTTTGTTAAAGGCGGCGATGACGTCGACCACGGTGAAGTAGGCGACGTTAGCTAGCCGCGCGAGCGTTTCTTTAATCATTGGAGGAGCGTTCCTGTTCTTGATAGTGACGGCATTGAGCGCTCTGTAGTCCACGCAAATGCGGAGTCCACCTCCAGGTTTGCGGACGACGAGCACAGGCGAAGCGAAGTCTGACTTGCTTTCACGGATCTCACCGCGTCCTCTCATGTCCTCAACATAAGCTTTAACGGCAAGGCCTTCGTCCTTACTTATGCCGTACATCTTAGCGTTTGGGTGTTTTGATCCGGGGATAATGTCAATGCTGTGGTCGACCGCGCCTCGTCGAGCGGGCAAGTCTGTCGTGGCGGGATCAGGATTAAATCCGTGGGCGAGATCGTGGAGCCATTCGGGCAACTTGTCTAGGACCTCGTCGCGAGTTTTAGCGGGCGAGTTCAGCTTCTGGTGGAACTTATCAATGTCTTCCTGAGATAGGGCGTTCATGTCCATGGCAAATAGTGAGGCGAAGACGCGGCTAGCCTGGGCTCTCTCGGCGTCATCGCTGTCATCTTTGTCGAGTTGTTCAAAATCATGTGGGTACAGCCAGATAGCACCGTTCTCTGGTCGTGATGCCAGTGCGGCAGCGGCCTCACCTGACACATGGTGTATGTCCATGTTCGCGTAGGTCGGGTTCCGTTCTTTGGCTTTTGCTGCGGCCCGTCGGTGTCGACTGCTGCGAACAGTGACTTGCTCGCCTTTGTGTAGGCAGTTGGCGTAGCAATGCTCGCTGTTGAAACGCATAGTTTTTTCCCTCCAGTCGATGTGTGGATTATGCTCTTCTAGCCATGAAGTGCCGAAAATAAAGTCGTAAGTCGTCATAGGTACACTGTAGAAGAGTTCCTCGCTAACGTGTTCAGCGTGGGAGATGGGGGCTAGGACGCCGTGTGTGATAGGCGCCATGGCGAAATTGCCGTCGCCAAGTCGTAGTTGCAAAGGTTGTTTAAGCCGAAACGTCGGCAGGTTATGTCGTTGCGCAAATAGTGTGGAGATACAGTTTCCAGTAGCACCAGAGTCAGTCAAAGCTTCCGTATCAATATAGCTATTCGAAGTGGCGACCTTGCACTTGAAAACGAACTGCTGGCCTTGGACAAGCTGCTTGCCTTTGACCATAGTGTTCGCGCTCAAGACAACGTGTCTGTCCTCTATAGCCTGGGGAGGCGTCCAGTCCTCCAATTCTTGTAAACAAACGCGTAAAGTGCTAGGTGTAGCTCCGGTGAGCGGGGTAGTTTGGGTATCAAGGGTCGGTGAAACAATGGGGGGTATCGCTAACAAGGGTTGGACTAGTAGGTGTGGCTTTGACTGTGACTGTAACTGTATCTGTGGACCATTTTGGTGCGGTCCCCGGGGGCGTCTTTCGCCGGGGACGGCTAGTTTTCCGACTCGTCGGTGGCGTCGACGACTGTGGCCTGGAGGGCGGCGTTGGTGAATGTAGCTTTAAGGGCAGGGACGCGGCTAGCTGGCACGATAGAGCCAGACTTGCAGGCTGCTGGGACGTCTGCGTCGGTCGGACGATGTTTCTTGCCGCTGACATTTGCCGTGCCTCCGCATTTAAAGCACTCGCCTTGCTTAGTCAACGCGTTGAGTTGCGCGCGCGTGCGACCGTAGTTGTTACGCATTGTAGAGCCGCTGCTATTGCTGTTGCCGTTGCTATTACCTCCACCACCAGCGTTAGACGTGTTGCGGCCGGTTCGGGTACCATTATTTCCGCTGCTCTGGGTGAGACGTGAGAGCTGTTGCTGAGTGCGGCAATTCTGGGCAAACGCTTCCCAAGTATCACCATGGCGGAATTGTAAACCTGCGTTACGACCAAACTTCATGAGTCGGATCGCGTGCTAGATTATTTCGTTGTCGCCCAGGTTCAATGGTGCGACTGTAGAGGTAAAGCGGGCTACCCAGGTGTTGAACGATTCATTGTCGCGTTGCTTTAATCCTCCAGAGCCGCTGTCGTGTAGCGCTGCGCTGGCTTCGGTGACCTTGTCGACCGTGTCAAAGATGCGATCAAGTTCCGTGAAGACTTCTTCCGCTGTCACGTAGGCGTTACGAGCTCCGGGGGCTGCTCTATATTCCACCTGTGCAGCGGCTGGTCCTCGCAAGTGGTCAATCAGGTAGTCGAGCTGATCTTGAACAGTCGTGTGGATAGTGGTTTTGTTTAAGAAGTTCCTGGCGCTGCGGCGCCAATACTTGTAGTCCTCTTTGTCGGTGCTGTCTCCGCGAAAGATGTCAATATCCTTCAGCTTTGCACCCGTTGCAGTGAGGTTGTCCGATACAGCAGACCGAGCTAGGGGTCGGTTTTTCTGATGATGTGCCATAGGGGGAGGCAGCATCAAGTCGTGAGTGCCAGTGCCAATGAACGGGTTCGCAGTCATTGGAGGAGGGGACGACTGGAACTGAGCTGGGCGCGTGTCATATAAATTTCCATTCGTCGGGACGCCCGCGTGCTGTTGCAGGACACTCCTCTCGTTGTAGAGGTCGCTAATCTGGGAGTAGAGCTTCACGTTTGACTCGCGCGAGGCTGCAAGCTCGTCTTCGAGCACTGCTAGCCGTGAAGCGTAGCTGTTCTTAGTGGTGATCATGCGGTTGCATTTCTGGGTGACTTGGGCAAGCTCGTCTGCGGCGGCAGCGCGAGCTTGCGTCTGGGCGCGCTCCACGCGGGCGTCGGCTGCTTCTTGTTGTACACGGGCTTCATTGTGTGCTTGGTCTAGCTGTTCGGCTTGTTCAGCTATCTGACTAAGCAAATCTGCTAGGTGTCCAAAGACACTCTCAGCATGTTCGGCGATGCAAGCGGTGAAGTCGTCAACGTTCCTCATGTCCGCGAGGATCTCGCGCTCATCGTTGTCGTGGATGCCATAAAAACGTAGATACATGTCATCCGTGTCGTCGTCGTAGCCTAGTTCTATAGAAGTCTTATCCGCTGGCTTAACGGCTTTCTTAAGAGACTGTCTACAAGACTGTCGTCGGCGTTCAGCGGCGTTGACGTCATTGCCCTCGTCCTCGCTGTTGCCTTGGCCGTCTCCACGGCCAAAAGTGACCTGTCTCTTGCGGGTGGCGAGCTTCTGTCTAATAGTCGCCTTCTCCGCTTCGGTGAGGTCGTCGTCATTCTCAAAGTCGCCGTACTCAAGGTGCGACTCTGCTGGAATGGTTTGTGTGTCGTTCTGAGCACCCTGGTCGTGGGCATCCTTGCTCGTCTCGTTTAGTCGGGCCATCATCGGCGGCAGCGCTAGAAGCGGCGGCGGATCTTTTCTGGCAGGTGGGTACAGCTATGCAGCTGGGCAATCCAGTGTCTTCCGCGGCGGCACTCTGCGGCGGCGGGTCTTTTCTGGCAGGTGGGTACAGCTATGCAGCTGGGCAATCAGGTGTCTTTACTACGGCGGCTCTTCTGCGGCGGTACGTATAGTCAATGCGATCCTCGTCGCGTGAGTGTTTCTGTCGTTGGCGTGTCGCTGGCAGCGACAAGAAAATACAATTCGCGAACGAGCTTCCAGGGCCCGTCTTGAAAGGGAGCTTGTATAATGTGAGGGATCGATCAAGAAAGATTGGATTTGACAAGATACAAGCTATCGAGCTATCTACGTTGTGAGCCCGAACTTATGCTGTGGGCGCCAAGGCGCTAGTCCGATAAGATAAGGATCTTATCGATATGGGGGCCATGGGCCGAGCGAGTCTATGGATCCGTAACATCTGGCTGCGTCTTCGGCTGTTTTGAATGCTATTACAATAGAGCTGTTCTTCTTGTTTTGCCATTCTCTTGATATCCAGTATGGGTTGCCAGTAATTTGTAGTCCGTTGTTGTATGCTGGGATTTCTGTGTGGAGTATCTCTAGTGTCTCTGCTCCCTCCCATTCTGTTGGCACATTATGTACTACTACTTTCGTCCATGATTCTAGTAGTTGTACATTCTTTAGCTCAAACTTTTGATGCCATATATGCTTGTGTTGGACTAGGTATTCTCCTGAGTAGGTTGGAGTGGTTGTTAGAATAATATTGTTCTTTCTACTTGTTGTTACTTCCTTCACTACTGGGTCTTTGATGCCGCCCTTTGTGAACTCTTCGTTGATTAGGTCTCTAATCTGGAGTGGTGTGTGAGACGTAGGCTGGGTAAGCGTAAGGACTGCTTGGTAGTAGCTTGCTGGCTTTTTGTTTGTCTTCTTTTTGTTAGACACTGTAGTCCATGTGTTTCCGTTGTTCTGGGCGGCTACGCTAGCGTATGATGTCTTGTTTTGTTGGGTGTTTTGGGTGTTTTGGGTGTTTTGGATGTTCTGGGTGTTCTGGTTGTTTGGTTTTTCTTGGTTGTTTGGGTTTTGTGGTCCAGTTGCGGCATTAACAGCTTTCTTTAGTGTCTTTGTAGCTTGTTGGGAGGCGCTTGTAAGCGTTGCAGTCTGGTACGCAAGCTGTGCTGTAAACTTCTCAGTCATTTGCTGCGTAACCCTGCCTAGTTCCGTAAAGTCTCTAAAGACGTCCAGTAGTTGTAGTAGTTTGTTTTGGGATAGATGGGATTCGGCCATAGTAGATGCTTGTAGAATTAGGTCCCTTGCCCAGAAGATTGCTTGGGTTGAGTCCTTTGCTCTTGGTTTCTTTTCTTGGCTGTTCTGGAATGGGTTTCTCTCTCTTGTAGTTATCTCTGGGGAGAATGCCGCTGGTCTTTTATTTAGTGGTGGCTGAATAATTAACCTTGGTGTTTCTTGGGTGGTCTGCTCGATGGGTGTTGTTGGGTTGTCTTGGTGCCTTTCGTCGGTCTCCATTTCGTCGTCCAGTGTGCTTGAGGTCCGGAGGTCTTCTGGTAGCTGGACTACGATAGTGTCGCTATCTGGGGCCATTTTAGCCTCTCTGTTGTCTTGTTGTTGTTGTTTCTTGGCTTGGTCTGTGCGTTTGCTTCTGAAAGTTCGGACGCGTCGCGTTTGGGGTACTAGACTCCTTGTATCTCCACAACCACGCGGCTGCACGGCTTGGGAGTAGTCGGAATCTATTTCTTTCGATGGATATAGTTGGTTTCTGATGGAGTTTCACGTGTTCGGAAAAACTCGAAGTTGGTGTGCTAGTCTTCCATTGGCGCGGGTGCTAAAGAGCAGTGTGGTGAACAGAAAGAGATGTAACAGCGAGCTCTTTGCGAAAAGAAATATTGTTTGTAGTTTTATACAGTGTCTGTCTGTTGTTTTGTGTAGGCGTCTGTATATAGGGATCTACAAGAGAGAGAATAGATCTATACAGCTGTTGCCTGGTCGATGTTTTGCTCGTGCGTGTGCTAGTGAAAGCAGGTGCTGGAGCGGTTCGGTATATGGGGTCGGTATATCGAGTCGGTTTAGGGCGTTCGGTAGAGAGGGTGTTTGGTGTAGGCGTCTGTATATAGGGATCTACAAGAGAGAGAATAGATCTATACAGCTATTGCCTAGTCGATGTTTTTGGGCGTTTTGGTGTAGGCGTCTGTATACAGGGATCTATTATAACCTAACAATAATAGACCTATACAGCTATTGCCTAGTCGATGTTTTGCTCGTGCGTGTGCTAGTGAAAGCAGGTGCTAGAGCGGTTCGGTATATGGGGTCGGTATATCGAGTCGGTTTAGGGCGTTCGGTGGAGAGGGCGTTTTTGGTGTAGGCGTCTGTATATAGGGATCTACAAGAGAGAGAATAGATCTATACAGCTATTCCTGGTCGATGTTTTGCTCGTGCGTGTGCTAGTGAAAGCAG